CCTAGTTGTAGCCAATTTAAAACTGAAGCAAAAAAGAACTGGACAACTGGACAAACAGCAATACAAAGGTTTAATACGTCCTTCCTTCGAGATACTGACAGACTCAATGAATTCAAGATAGCTCTTAACAACAGGTTCCAAGCCTTACAAGATCTACTGAAGGAAGAAGAAACTACTATGGAGGACAACTGGAAAGGCATCAAGGAAGCATTAACTTCAACGTGTCAAGAGGTTCTGGGCCTAAAGAAGCATCATAAGGAATGGATCTCTATAGAAACACTAGACAAGATCAAAGAAAGAAAAAACAAGAAGACAGCAATCAACAACAACCGAACATGAGCAGAGAAAGTCCAAGCACAAGCTGAATACACAGAAGCAAACAAGCAAGTGAAGAGGAGCATTAGAGCCGACAAGAAGAAATACGTGGAAGAACTAGCAACAACGGGAGGAAAAAGCTGCAAGAGAAGGAAATATGAAACAACTTTACGATACAACGAAGAAACTAGCAGGGAAATACAGTAAACCAGAGAGACCGGTGAAGGACAAAGAAGGCAGGCCAATCACTGAAATTCAACAACAGCGGAGCAGATGGGTAGAATACTTCGAGGAACTCCTGAATAGGTCGGCTCCAATGAATCCACCGGACATGGAAGCAGCACACACAGATCTTCCTATAGATGTCAATCCATCAACGACGGAAGAAATCAGAATAGCGACCAGACAAATCAAGAGCGGGAAAGCAGCAGGACTCGGCAATATACCAGCTGGAGCACTGAAGTCAGACATCAAAGTAACTACAAACATGTTTCATACTCTATTTAGGAGGATTTGGGAGGAGGAACAAGTACCGATGGACTGGAAAGAAGGATACCTCATCAAGATTCCAAAGAAAGGAGATCTGAGCAAATGTAAAAACTACAGAGGCATCACACTGCTGTCAATACCAGGGAAAGTCTTTAACAGATTGTTGCTGAACCGGATGAAAGATGCAGTAGACGCGCAACTTCGAGATCAACAAGCTGGATTCCGTAAGGATCGGTCGTGCACAGACCAAATCACAACACTACGGATCATCGTCGAACAATCAATTGAGTGGAACTCAACACTGCACATCAACTTCATGGATTATGAAAAGGCATTTGACAGTGTAGAGGACGTTATGGAAACTTCTTCGACACTACGGAGTTCCTGAGAAGATTATCAATATTATCCGGAACTCATACGACGGACTACAGTCCAAGGTCGTGCATGGAGGACAGATGACAGACGCATTCCAAGTAAGGACCGGAGGCAGACAAGGCTGTTTACTCTCTCCCTTCATTTTTCTTCTGGTGGTCGACTGGATTATGAGGACCTCGACATCTGAGGAAAGACACGGAATACAATGGACAGCTCAGAATCAATTAGACGATTTGGACTTCGCAGATGACCTAGGCCTCCTATCACATACACACCAACAAATGCAGATAAAGACAGCCAGTGTAGCAGCAGTCTCTGCATCAGTGGGTCTCAGCATACACAAGGGGAAAACCAAGGTCCTCAAATTCAAAACGAAGAACAGCAATCCAATCACTCTTGATGGCGAAACTCTGGAAAATGTAGAATCCTTCACATAACTGGGATGCATCATCGATGAACAAGGAGGTTCAGATGCAGACGTAAAGTCAAGGATTGGAAAAGCAAGGGTCGCATTCCTTCAGTTGAAGAACATATGGGACTCAAAACAACTTTCAACCAATATCAAAGTGAGAATCTTCAATACAAACGTCAAGGCAGTTCTACTGTATGGAGATGAAACTTGGAGAACTACAACAACCACCATCAAGAAGGTGCAAATATTTATGAATAGCTGTCTACGCAAGATACTCAACATCCATTAGCCGGATACCATCAGCAACAGCCTTCTCTGGGAGAGAACAAACCAGCTTCCAGCTGAAGAAGAAATTAGGAAAAGACGATGGAAATGGATAGGACATAGATTACGCAAATCATCAAACTGCATCACGAGGCAAGCCCTAACTTGGAATCTTGAAGGAAGGCGGAAAAGAGGAAGGCCAAAGAACACATTACTTCGGGAAATAGAAGTAGATATGAAAAAGATAAATAACAACTGGAAGGAGCTGGAAAGGATTGTCCAGGACAGGGTTGGATGGAGAATGCTGGTGAGCGGCCCATGCTCCTTCACGAGGAGTAACAGGCGTAAGTAAGTAATGCTTATGAGAGCATACAAGTTTATAGTAATTTATACTCAAGTTTAGCGGCTGGTACTTGACACTAATCCACTTGTCTACATTTTCGAAATTCGGCCTCTTATGTACAGAATGTGATTATGTTTCAGTCATATCGGTAAATTATCATCCTTGATTTTCATTTGATTTACGCTCAACATAAGGTCCTTCATTTCATAGATATACATTACAATTCAGTGTAGTAGATTAGAAATGCCGTTTATCACTCACTATGTAATTCCTTCGAAGTATTTCTTTAAAATCTTGGTAGGAAAATTTTATTTTCTTCTACAGATTTATAAATGATCACATTCTAATGATTGGAACACACTCGGAATCGGCTGAACGAAATATATTTTCCAAATATGGTTTACATTATCCAATTAATAACTCATCTGGAACATAGAACAAAGCAGATATACGCATTGTATCAAGTTGCCATACTATATTAGCACAACGAGATGAAATGTTCGAGACATATCTTGGACTAGTAAAATTAAAAACAGTAGAAAACATAAGGTACAAATGATATAATTCGAAAAAAATGAGGTCATGGAATTAAAAAATATCTATTCTAATTAATTGAAAACAAGCACAATCAATCACATATATGAAAACAAATAAAAACACTGATACTTTAGTTCCCGTTATTATGTGTTCGCTGTTTCGATTATTTTCTTCCTAGTTGTAAATAACTGTAAGTACTCCGTGATAGCATTAAAACTGATATAACGGATAGTTTAAAAATATTTCACTTTCAATTTTACTACGGTAAAACGGTAATGAGATTGGTCACGCAATATCAGATCAAAGATTGACCACAAAGAATAGAGAACCAGAGTGAAAGCTAGATAATACTTTATTCAACACAGTTACAAGTAGTCACTCTCAGTGAGTCTGGAGTAGAAATGAATGAGAAGAAAGGAAATGACATATATAATAGTTACTAGGCTAAGTGCCTGTTTGTTTACGCTCAACGACCAATTATATTTTACTTAGAATACAACACGTCAAAAACCATCAAGTATGAAGTATCAGTAGTGAACCTCAACTTCAGCTTCACATTATTATATTCCCTGTGACAAATATCCTTCTAAAACATATTACTTATCTTTTCAAACAATTTATATTTAGATCTCTAAGGTTTTCCATGCTAGATTAGTTAGTGAATTAATCTCATCATACCTGTACACCAACATGAATTATGTAACTGTTTTTAGAATATTTATTTAATTGATGATTCATAGTGATAGTTAAATTAATAATGATGTTCAAGTATGGAAGATCTGATCTTTGTAATGACTTGTATGCACTCCTTATTACGTTCAAAGTGAGTTCATTCTGTACAATCAATAAGTAACAAGTGCAAATAAATCGCTTGTAACGTAGATCAATCTTAAATATATATATGCTTGGATTAACTGTCCATCTATTATCTGTAATAGAATATACATTATTCGCTTTATATGTAAACTGAATCACCTTTTATCGTTCGTCTACTACTCATGTGCACGTATAAAATATAAGTAGGTATTCAAAATACATTTCATATTCGACTTTTATGAACATGATTAGTCGACAGAAGGCATGTGAATTTCAAAACAATAAATATCTCGTTAGTACCAGTATCCTCCGATCATCGTGAAATCAACATAGTGCTTCATCTTCAAGTAGGAAATTTCCACCTCACCAATTCTAACAAAACTCGATTGATACAGACTACTATATCCTAACGAAGAATAAATGAATGGTAGCTGCTAGGAATTATTTACAGACTATTATTACATATATTCCTATTGGATTACTAAATTATATGGATATTCATATTTCTTTTATTATAAGCTTTTATTTGACCTATTAACTACTATTATACAATTTACTATTCTCAAGTTATCCTCAATCTATTAATCACAGCCTCTCACATTTACAACTACTTTTAGCTTGATCTTGGATAATTGTTATTTTCTATTTTATGGTATGATGAGGTCTGATTTACTTGTATATAAACTAAGTATGTCTGAAATACATCATTCCTACAGTGGAAGCTGATATTGATGTTTTGGACTCAAACAGACAGGGTTAGACAAGAAGAACCAATAAGAACTGATAGTTAACTCTAGGCTGCTTGTACTGGTTAACGCATCATTGGTTTGGGATAGTGTCAAAGTCACACATGATAATTAACCGAATACAAGTCATAACACAGACTGAGTATACACAAAAAGGAAGAAAATCACTGAAATCTAATCGAATAAATATATAATTTTTTCCATATCTCATTTGATGCAGAAAGTTTAATTATCCTAAACATGATTATTATGTTATTAAGTACAAATATGAGAAATCACTAAAAAAATAAACAAAACGAAATGTCGTGTGAAGGACAAAGAAAAAAGACAATCATCACATTACTAAACACATAAGCACAAAACAAAAATATAAAGATAACACAAAAAAGAAGAAAAAAGGTGATTTCTAGTCGTATTACTTAGAAAAAGGAGTATATAAGTGAATAAAATACAAATCTATCTATCTGTATCAAAAGTCAGAAGAAAAACAAAAAGAGAAAAAGAAAACAGAGAAAAAACAAAAATTGGTTCTACCTACTTTATTTGTATAATAATTTGTTAATTATGACATTGGAGAAACAAACAAACAAACAACAACAGCACGTTATGCCATTGAGTATTCCCTGTGTTTTCATTGATAAAACATTGGCGTTGGATATACATGTATATATATATATATATATATATATATATATATATATATATATATATCTTGTTCAATTGACTGGTTGTGTGGGTGTGTGTGTGAGAGAGAGTGAGTGATTCATTAAAATAGTAAAATCTGTTAGAATATTAACTGTTAAAATAATGGTATATTTCTAATGAAAATTTTATTCTATGAAATGAAAAATGTCGTTGCCGTGCTTCAATAATGATTGTTCTCGTTCGGTACAAATAACAAATGAATTGACCAAGAAAAAAAATCAATGTACAAATAACTCAATAGAAAGAGAAAACAAAACGAAACAAATTACGTAATAGTAACAACAACAACAACACAATATGTAGTAGGCAAGATAAACAAATAAATGAGTGAAGTAGAACAAAGAAATTAAACTAACTATTTATATAATTTAAATGAAAGAATGACAATATTGAACAAAAAAATAGGATAAACATTAAAAAAAAAACAACATATTATATAAGTTTGGGTTTTAAATCATATTCTTGTTATTATGATTGCTTAAATCTTCGAATCCAATAGATGGTCGGTTATCATGTAAATTAGGCACAGTAAGATGCATTGGTTGTGATGACTAGGAATAGAGAGAGAGAGAGAGAGAGAAAAAAAGCAGATAGGACAGAAGTAAAAGGGTGAGATATTTTCATGTTTACAAGTGAATTTTAGGTGCTGACATTACATACCTAAAGAAGTAAATGATAGTGTATAATGTTGTGAATTGGTATCACTTATGTGAAGCAGTAGACAGCCGTTTTGTCCTAGTATGGAACTCCTCTGCAATGTGCGTGCACTCACAACCCTCTTCAGGATAGAACTTAGTATCCTTAAATCCTACGGTTAGCGTGTTACCATTTAGATCACTGAAGAGACATATAGTGGTCTACATTTCCAACTATTCTCGATGTAGCGTAGTAGGTAACTGTTTTACTGCTCACATCAGCCTTGCTACAACTATAGCTGATCACAAAGTCAATCATTACTGAACAAATGCTTAGTGTTTAGTCAAAAGATTTGTAAAGAAGTTAACTGATAACCATCCCTAGATAAATCCGATTTCAACTCATCTCTTCAAATCCCTCAGATAAATGTCCAATATATTTAATCCTATCTAAATTTGACAAACAACAGTCTGATGTTTTAGTTTGAAGCTCTCTACCAGAATGTACTATTGTTCATGTGAAATGGAATTCAAGACCTTTAAACTACAGAGCAAACTTGTTATCACTGTGTTGTTGAACTAGAAACAGATGACCAATATTTGTAGACTAATGTACGCTAGCGATGTAATATGACCGTTATTATCGAAAAGATAAATGAATAACGATACTTATCATAGTTTCGATTGATTACACATATCACAGTATAGATTTATCACAAAGTTTAATATCGTCAAACTAGAGCGGAACTAATAGCTATTCCCTTATTATTTGTTTTTCGAAAAAAGAAAACTAGGAGTGATTACAATGAAACGTATGCGATGGAAAAGGGATATCATTAAAGGGAAGTTTTTGCAATGTTCCATAAATTTTCTATTTACAATACTTAACTGTGAGCAAACATATATTCAATAAAACGATTTTTACTCTCAGTAAAGAGACGAATACAGCAAAGAAATATTTCTTTTCAATCAGTTTTCCATCATGGCTTCATAGTAATGTGTATATCTTTAATAATATTAAAGAAATATACTCTTTGTCAGTAAAATCCAAGTCGCTTTTCTAAATAACTGACTTTATATACATGTTTAAAACTCATAAATTAGTGTTACACATACAGATAACTATAATAATTCTGAATCGCTTCCTAATATGATAGGTTTTAATACAACCGTTCATTGATGAGTAATACCATTAGATACAAGCTCAGTGGTCTAGAGGTAAAGCGTTCGCGCGAGACGAAAGTTAATCGATTTGAGTCCCGAGTGCGGGATCGCTGATGAGCACTGTCAAGGAGTCCTATACTAGAACGAAACGGCCGTCAAGTACTTCCGGGTTTTCAATGGTGGTCTAGCTTAGATTGACCCATGAATTCAGCCATTAAAACAAATATGTTAGAATATAGGCTAATAATACACCGTTCAAAATGAAAATACTTACCAGTGTAACAGTTGGTAGCCTTTCAAAACTCACATATTTATAAACAAGCGATTGAGAACAAATTTCATTTCTATCAATATTTCCTTCTTGATCGTTGTTCTCAGTCACTTCATTATTAATATTACAATTACTAGATTGAAGTTTCTCATGTTGTTGTTTTAACATGAAAATTTTCTGAAAGTTTACATCTTTTGTAATCGCATTATTATATTGTTGATTGCCAACTTCTGCATTTAAAATAATTGCATTTGTAATATTGGTTTCATGAACTATTTGCTTTCTAACACTTTTAGGGACATCCGGTACAGCTGCCATGATCACATTAGTTAGAATAGTCGCTATAGTCTATTATAATTAATTAATAATTATGGTCATAAAGATTAATACTATATATATGCATTATATGTTAAACGAATAAAGATTTCTGGGTTTTATCAAAGCGATTTTCTTAAAAATTTGATATTAGTCAAACAGTTATAAAGAATACAAAAGCTTTCTGTTGTTACTTTCAGCTTGCCAATCGGAATACGTCTTATACAATTCTAGCACTGTGCCAAACCAATGACGTATCGACCGGTATGAGCAACCTAGCGTCCTAACTGGTCCTTTTCCTTCAAAACCAAGCCAATTGAGTCCACAACACCAATAACAGCTTCAACTATACCAGTCATTTATTGCAAACACACCTGATTTATATGCAAAATGGACCACATCACATAATAAATTAGGAAATAACATTTGTACAAGACCAAACGAAAAAGTGGTTGTGAACGTAGGAGACTGTAATTACTAAACTCAGCCAGTTAAAACATAAGACCAGGCAAATAAATACATCGATCCAAGTTGCGACACCGCATTAGCACAACAAGATGAACACCAAATCCATAGAAGTAGTCACTTCAATGGTAATGTTCAAAAGACAGATTGTGTATAAGGATACAGTACAGGAAGAAAGAATTAGTTCATAGAAATAAAGGTATCCAGCAATTTTGATCTCACGGTTTAAAGGAAGAGAAAGAGTGTATACACATACACCACTGTGATCGATTCTAAGCCATGTCACCAAGAGTCTCCAACCATTGGTTACGATAGTCACGCGGACCCCAACCAAGTAGTCTGCATCTACCAACATGCCTCAGACCAGAAGTTAGTGACTTCAAGCACTGATGCCACGTTTTGGTTTGGCCGCCCCTAAATTTCTTCCAACCATTTGCAATACCGGATAGCATTGCACGTCGTGGTAATCGGTGTTCAGGCATACGTAACACGTGGCCCAACCGTCTCAGTCGATGAAGATTCACAACCTCACCAACTGATTTACCATCATTCCCTAATACCCTGCGTCTTACTTCACTATTACTTACCCGGTGGTCCCAGCAGATGCCAATAATATTTCTAAGACATCTGTGGTCAAATACTAGTAGCTTACCTATATCTTCTACTCTTAATGGCCACATTTCGCAGCCGTAAAGTAGAACAGAACGAACTGCCAAGCAGTATACTTTTCCCTTAATTGATAGACGGATATCTCTCCCTCACCATAAGTGTCGTAAGTTGGCAAAAGCCAAACGAGCTGTCTGAATCCGCGATGAGATTTCGTTAGATATCAACCCAGTATGGCTGGTCAGACTTCCAAGTTAAGTGAAGTTGTCAACGCGTTCGACTACTTCACTCCCTATCCTTAGTTCAGATGTTGATGCAGGCCAGTCCTGAAGCAACAACTTGCATTTAGAGGGAAAGAAACGCAACCCAAACATCCTAGCTATTAATAAACTGGACATAACTTAAGAGCAGTATATCATATAATAATAATTTATAGGTCAAAATGAAGCTTAGAATAAGAGGAATATAAACATATATAATCTAGCTACTCAATAGTTATAATATAAGAATATACGTATAGTATTAGTTCATAAATGGATCCCAGAAGTTACAATCCATTATTCTCGTCGGGATATAACACTTTCACTGATTGTTCGGTTTACTCACTAGTCATTATATCTTATCATTGCATCAGTATAAGAATGTGTTTGTAGTTATTGTAGTAAATTAACAAAAATTATGTACTTGGATAATTCTACATCTATGGGTGTCCTATGATCCCTCATGAGGGGTAATAGGCGTAAGTAAGTAAGTTAATTATGATCTCTTCGTAATAATTATTATGAATTACAAAAACAATCAACTAGCTATACACTTGGTAGAACTGACAGTTATAGGAGTTAATTGTATTATGCAGTTTACTATTGAACTTATTCACTAAACTGCCTGTTTTTATTTAGTCAATGGTTTTTTTTCTTGACCAATTATCCAGTGGCTGTGAATGATAACCAGAGATTCTTAATACTTTTTTGTTATATCCCGATAAAAATAATGAATGGTAACTTTTGGGATTCGTTTATGGACCAATATTATGAGTATATTTTTATCGTATAATTGTTATGTAACTAAACTGTTCATATTCATGTCGCTCTTATTATAAGCTTTAATTTGACCCATAAACTATTACTATACGATTTACCATTCTTGAGTTATGGCCTGTCTATTAATTACTATCTCCCCTATTCACAGCCACTTTTGGCCAAATATTGTACAAATGTTATTTTCTATTTTATGGTACGTTGTGGTCTGTTTGATTGGTATATAAACCCCGTATGTTTGAAATAAAGGATTCATATTGAAGAAGCTGAGATTGGTGTTCTGGACTTAACTAGACAGGAAGCGAGACTAATAAGGACTCACTGGTTCGATCGGTAATTCGCTGCTCTCTGATTGGCGGCATCATTGCGTTATACAATAAACAGGGCACATAGGTTATAACATTTTTAATCCATGAGATCTATTTGATCTAATGAAGTCCAATTAAATGATGAAAATACTATGTAGATGAATTCTCTATTGTAAACTATTAATCCATAATTTTAAAACTTATAATATGCTTTAAATGCTTGAGCGTAATTCAACACAAATAAGAGATTACACAACTCAATCATATAAGATATAAAAGCATAACAATAAGAAAATAACTAATTAATGATAAATCCACAACAGTGACATAAATAATAATGTATTTTAGGATATCTATTGGATTGTTTTCGCTTCTGTGAGACGTGCATTAAACTTCAGAAACTCATTGAGTGTCTTAAATGCAACAGGGTCCCCAGGCGATTTTAGAATATTAAAGATTCCCATTGTGAAAATTAGAATAACACATATAAGCGAACAACTGTTTTCAATTAGATCGTCATCAGGCTTTACTCTAATATACATGAATATTTATACGAGTCTATTTATCCACGTTTAACCTTCTATCTCCAACGTTTTACTAATGATAAGACTAATGATCCTGGGTTTGAATCCTGCGTGTGAGATCGTGGATGAGCACTGCTGAGGAGTTCCATACTCGAATGAAACGGCCGTTCGGTGCTTCAAGGTTTTCAATGGTGGTACAAATTTGGTCGATTCATGATCTCAATGAAATTAATTCATCGCTTTGTTATTTATTACTGTTATTTACATAATGTGTTTGGCTTATACATATTTTTATCGATTAAGAAATATTATATGAATAATTTACAAATGAATTCTATCGAACAGTTGTGCCGTGAGGGTAATATAATTATATAACAGAATTACTATTATAGGTGTTAAACACGAGTGTCACTAGATATCATATACCTAATAATTTTACTTAGATTAACTTTTTGATCCATACTAAAAAGGAATATGTACATTCAGTGGTCATTCAATGATGCAACTCATGAAGTACAGATTCGTTTATTCAACTTTGAGACTAAAATGAAGCCGGCTCGTGGTACTCAAACCTAAGTCTTGAGTGTTTGGAAGTCGATGCCTCTAAGTCATTTCTTCAAAAACATGGATTGATTCTAACGACGTTTAACATCGGTGATCGAATGAGGACCGGTATATTCAAAGCCGTATGATCGCCGACTAACTCTATACAGTACACATCCAAGATGTTAACGTAAATCAGATACATTCACAGTCAAAATCAACGTAAAAATCGAAAATGTAATTAGAAATATAGAAGTGTATACAACATATAAGTTGCAATAACCTAAATTAAATGAATATACAAATAAGTGAACCTCATTCAAGAAAATAAAACGTTTAACTTACTTCAAAAGCAAAAACAAAAATGAATTTAGCTGCCAACACATGATAATAAACGGAAGTGAATACATATGGTTCTGAAGACCAAGGTGGTGACCGATAAGAATCATATCTTGTGTAAAACGACAAAAAACACACACACACAAACACACAGTAATATTTAAACAGAAAATGTTTACTTTTACACAAGAAAAATCTATTTCAAGAAATTTTTTATCATGAAAAAAAACAAACTCTCATCAATAATAAATTTTATTAGTGACTAAAGGTTAGATACAAATAATGTATTCCTTTTGAATAGATTTAGACTGATGTTAATATCACTATTAATTTTGAAAATAGTTTGTGAGCTTGCCAAAACATGGTCATTTTTTCTTAAATAATTTCTTTTAAACTAATTACTGTCTTATGCAGACTCACCTAAACTAATGACCACATTGAAACTTGGCTTGGTAGAATTCGATCTGCACTAAGAAGGATCTGACACACATGACATTGATCACTACCCAGTGATCAACTAATTGTAAATACATTTCAGTCCTATAGGAGGTCATTCGCTGCTCTCACAGCTCAGTGGTAACGTGTCTGACTGTGAAGCTGGGTGACACGAGGTCGAATCCTTCAGAAAGCTTCAGTTCCCTCAAGATTACAGGCACACCTTGCTGATGAGTACCAAATAGCACGAAACCTAGGTTTAAGCCTAGATTTAAAGTTTTAAAACACTCGCTATATATCGAAAAAAGAACAAAGTAATCGTAATTGATAAGACAATTTCTTGTATCGACGAGCCTATACACACTCTCTCAGCGCCAATGTTTATTTAACCTAAATAGTACAAAATACATAATGACAAATCAATCAATCGGATTAATCTGAAATTATTACAAGAGTTAAAATGTTGATTGAGGAAGTGATAATCTAAGTAACAAGTGGAGTTAAACAATACTTGAATTTCAATAAACTAAATATAAGTAGTGAATGTGCTATGGAATTTGTTATGACACGCAATTTCTTAAGCTAATACTGATACACGAAATTCCTCTATACACAATCAATAAATTATTTTCAAACAAGTCAATCGACTTTGTTTGGCATTAGACACCTTAGATTAGTATATACTGCGAACAGAGGTATGAAACCAAACAGAAACACATTCGAATGGCTGGACAACTATATTTTTGAAATGTATACACACCTTAAAGAATGATACACATACATACAACACAGTTATCGTTCAAATTTAATAATACCTGCAATAAGTTTCATTAGTTGGAACATCAAAACGAGTTGTAGACATATAGGAGAGAGTGAAATTCACAAAACCTTTCATAGTACCATCTGGACTATAAGTATAACGGTATACACATCGGTCAATAAACTGTGTAGTAAATGCAATAATACAAGCCTAGATTGAAATAAGGAAATAGAATAGAAATAAAAAATACATGGTTAATTTAGTAATCTTTATCAATCAGTATACAGTCACATTGTAACATGTTTAACAGACTTATTCAAAGAAGATAAAGGTGCAAGGCGTAAATGATAGCTTGTCTATTCAGTCACACAAAATTTCATTTCATCCATAGGAGTTTTTAAAATTCTAATGAACAGTTAAATACTTACATTCGTTTTGTATCGTTTACTTTAGTCTTCCCTCTAATGTTTGGGGCTGCAATTGATCAGTTTCTTATGTTCCTGCAGGTTCTACCATGCCAGGCAGGTCGATTGGCGAACGGTAAGACTAAAAGCAGCAACTCAAGGTCTGAGGGCGAAGTCGTACTGCTGACTGTAGAGAGGTGTGACAGCAGTAACGTGTTTCCCTCGGACAACCAGCATGACAGCGATGCTGCCTTCCCACAAGGAGCGGTGGGGTTAGAAAAGGTCGACCCTAAAAATGCACACCTCACCTTACCTCACGGATTTCCGTCTCCGGCGGTAAGGCCCCTTGAAGAACGGAGCTAACACGTCAAAAACCTTCCACAAAAAGGCCGTGCGCGACCGGCCTCAAGCAGTTGTCCCTTGGGCTCTGCGGTCACGCTCCCAGGTCGTCAAGACCAACACTAATCCAATTTCCTTTTCAGGTTCCTCAAGAAATACCCTTCCACGGTGTGGGCAGCCGGGAAGTGACATCAGCCCTCATACCCGTAACAGCACACGAGACCAAGGTGGTCACATTCAAATCCTTCCTACACCTCCTAATACCTCTCTTATCCTCCCGACTAACCCTCCTCACATCTCTTTATCATCTCGCACCGCTAGGGCAAACGATTCGAGTACGTGGAACGCCATTCCTGGTCTCCTGAAACCACGCTCTAAACTACACGTAGGAGCTTTTAACGTACGAACACTTTGCCAAATAGGACAGCAGGCTTCCTTAGCTAAAACTTTAGAATCTCGCGCCATCGATGTGTGCTGCGTCTCCGAAACGCGCATACAGGATCCGAGTAGCGTCATTCATTTGACCTCACCATGTCAAAATAAAGAACCGACTCGATTTACGCTTCGTGTATCTGGAAGCCCAGATTCTGCTTCCCGTGGCCTCGCCGGCGTAGGTATAGCATTGAGTCTCAAGGCAGAACTAGCTCTCTTAGAGTGGATCCCAGTAGACAGTCATTTGTGCGCTGTCCGACTAAACGGAACAGTAAGAATCCGGAAAGATAGGGACACTCGTCGTTGCCTCTTCGTCGTCTCTGCCTATTCTCCCACTGACTGCAGCTCAGATGATGTAAAAGATGAGTTTTACAGAAAGCTTTCGGACCTTCTCCGAAAAGCTAGGCGCTCGGATGTAGTATTAGTGGCCGGTGACTTTAATGCTCAAGTAGGTAAACTAAGCGATAGGGAAAGACACCTAGGTGGATCTTACGGTGTCGTGGCTCAAAGAACAGATAATGGCGACCGTCTGTTGCAGCTATGCTCAGATAACCGCCTGTTCCTTGCAAATACTAACTTTAAGCATAAGGAAAAACATCTTTTAACATGGCGACCCTCTAATTCGTCCCAACGTTGGACCCAAATAGATCACATCGCTATCAGCCACCGATGGAGGGGCTCGATAGAAGACTGTCGCTCATTCTGGAGCACATGCCTAGATTCAGATCATGCTCTAGTGCGAGCGCGTATTTGCTTGCGTCTTACTGGACGTAGGAAAGATCCTGCAAGGAAACCTCTTGGGGCCCTACTTAATGATAGTCAAGCTAAGAGTATATTTCAGGAACAACTAGGAAAACAGTTAGGCAGCCATGTATGTGATGCCCACCCCGATGCAGCATGGAATGATATCCGAAAAGCTGTGGAAACAGCAGTGATATCTGCTAGTAAGGTAAACCAGAAGGTTAGGGAGCAACACTGGATCTCAGCAGCATCTATCTCACTGATAAATGCTCGGAAACACATTCCACCTGGCTCTGAACATAATGAAGAGCGGAGTCAGCTTAAGCGCAAGCTGACAAGAAGTCTACGCAATGATCGCGAACAGTGGTGGGTAGCGAAAGCAAGACAGATGGAAAAGGCAGCGGCAATAGGTAATAGCAGACAATTGTTCAGACTCGTTAAGGAAACCGGAATTAGGAACCCGACCGTTAGCGAAACAATCTCAGAGAAAGATGGACATATTATTCATTCTCAATCCAGGAGATTGGATCGATGGGCAGAACACTTTAGGGATCAGTTCAACTGGCCTTCAGCCACACTTCGGTTTCCCACGATCTCCAGTCAACCTGAATGGCAAGTTAATGTAAGTCCTCCATCCCTTTACGAAGTTGAAAAAGCCATAGGAAATCTGAAACGAGGGAGAGCAGCAGGCCCTGACAGGTTTACTCCTGAGATTTTTAAGGATGGTGGTCCAGTATTAGCAATGAGATTAACCGAGGTCTTAGGTAGAATTTGGGAACTGGACGTAATCCCATCTGACTGGTCTCAATCACTGATTGTGCCAGTTTTTAAGAAAGGACAAAAGTCCTCTTGTGACAATCACAGAGGAATCAGTTTGACTAATATAGTGTCTAAAATATTAGCCTCAATAATACTTCGACGCCTAACTAAAGCTCGTGAAGAGCAGACTAGAGAAAACCAGGCTGGTTTTCGACCTGGACGTGGTTGTATAGATCAGATATTCACACTACGTCAGGTTCTAGAACACAGACACACATTCAGACGCCCCACAATGGTAGTATTTCTCGACCTTAAGGCGGCATTCGACTCTATTGATTGTGAGGTTCTATGGCAGTGTTTGTCACTGAAAGGAGTACCAAAGAAGTACATTAACCTTATAAAGGCTCTCTACTCAAACACAACTGGTAGAGTGAGAGCTTATGGCGAACTGTCATCAGAATTGATCACCTCAAGTGGTGTTCGTCAGGGCTGTCCACTCTCCCCATTCTTGTTCAACTTTGTCATTGACGTACTTTTAGAGATAACACTCTCCTCATCTAAATTTACAGGGGTTGAACTTCTACCAGGAGGTTCACTTGTTGACTTAGAATATGCTGATGACATAGTTTTATTTGGTGAAGACGCTGACAAAATGCAGAGTCTTCTGACCACTCTAAGCAACAATGCAAGCATGTTCGGGATGCGATTCTCTCCCTCGAAATGCAAAATGTTGCTTCAGGATTGGGTTACATCGACACCCGAACTAGTGATAGGGAGTGAAGTAGTTGAGTGTGTCGACCGCTTCACTTATCTTGGAAGTCTCATCAGCCCTTGTGGTCTGGTGTGTGACGAAATCTCAGCACGGATACAGAAGGCTCGACTAGCTTTTGCCAACTTGCGTCATTTATGGCGTAGGCGAGATATCCGTCTATCAACCAAAGGACGTGTTTACTGCGCAGCAGTTCGTTCCGTCCTACTTTATGGCAGTGAAACATGGCCGGCAAGAGTAGAGGATATCCATAGGTTACTAATATTCGATCATAGGTGTCTTCGAAACATTGCTTGTATATTCTGGGACCGCCGAGTAGGTGATACAGTTGTTAGGATAAGGGTACTAGGTAAGGATGGAAAATTACTTGATGAAGTAATGAGACTTCATCAGTTGAGATAACTGGGACACGTGTTACCAATGCCCAACCAACGACTGCCTCGACGTGCGACGTTTTGTTGTATAGGAGTAGGTTGGAAGAAAGCTAGGGGCGGCCAGATCAAAACATGGCACACGTCCATGAAGTCACTGACAAGTGGACTAAACCTTGTTGGTAGGTGTAGACTACCTGGTTGGGGACCGCGAGATGACAGCAACCGATGGTTAGAGACCCTGAATGACATGGCTCAAAATCGTTTGCAATGGCGCAGGTGCATCCACTCTCTGTGTTCTCCCAAATTCTAATCTTCTGAATTCTTCATGTCCCTTTTTTCCTCTTTCCAAATTTCTTTCACTGGATTATACTCTTTAAATAACATCTCCAAACCCTAATCTTCCCGATTACTCCTTATACTCTTATTACCTCTACCACTACGGGATTTGAATCGACAAGTGCATCTCTGTGCTAATGTGGTGTGGCAACTCGAACTGATGTACGTACGTACGAAGTTCTACGTTGTTACTGACTGACTGACTGAGTTTCTTATGAACATACGTGCATCTTGTGCGAATTACCTTGATATTACCTCAAGTTATAAGTATTATAAGCAGAGATAGATAGTGACTAGTAGTGGAATCTAGGTCAAATCCCAAATAGGATGAAACGTTTGTCCTAGACTTCCACTGCTAGCAACCAACCATCTTTGCTTATAAGTTAATTACTTAGCTACATTTCACTTAACAATAAGTTAGACCCTTTACAAACTGTTATGATAACACAATCGAAATAATAATATTTACTGGAAAGTTATTTAAATGAAACTTAAAAGAAAAAGTTGTCTACGTTTGGAGATAGTTACTGGTGTGTAATGACCTAATTCTAGATATATTGTTTGTTTGACGGAATGTTTTGTGTTCACTTATCAATTAGTAAACGAAAATGAGTCGCCTCAAATTTTCTGTCAATACTTTAGCAACCATCTGTCTATCTGTAGATGAGAGAGAAAGGTAGTTCCCATGAAATTTCAAGAATATATGACAGGAGTCAAAAGTATCACAGTTTTACCAATGTCGTCATAGAAGGATGATATTATATTCGAACGAAAACTAAAGGAATAGTAACTTCCAGGACTAATTAGTCGACTATTATTAAAAATATATTCCTATTATATAATTATTAGTAACTAGGCTACTATCACATATATATATATTTCTATTAAAACGAGCTTTAGACTAGCCCACTAACCAATGTTTTACGATTTACCACTCTTAATGTATTCCCAATCTATTACTTACAGTCTCTCCTATTTACAGCCACTTTTTGGCTTGATCATGTGGTCGGGTATGTCCGTATATAAACTATTTATGCTTGAAATATAATATGCGTATAGTGGATTACTATGTTCTGGACTAAACGGGCGGGGCAGGGAGAGAAGTTGCCGAATCGAAGACCGATAAGAGATTAGCGTTGAGTCAACGTTATTAGTGCTGAACGGATTACGATTGGTGTCTTGTCACGTGGTACTAATAAGGAGACATTAGTTATGACAAATACACATGAATTCACTGAAGAGCAAGAGATCTTCAATATTCATATTATTCAGTCATATTGTGGTGTGAGCTACTTATATTCATATAAGTAGTATATAACGTGCGTTAAAAGAACGTAATGTCCGGCAGCAGAAGATGGCGAAGATCAAGAAAGGAAGAGCAAGAGCACAATGGAATTGTAAGAAAACGCATGTACAATGGAATGGGAGACAATGGATTAGTGTTTGCAACGGGAACAGTACAGTTTCATATGATGGAATGATATTTTGCAAATTGACGATTGACTTTATGGTATTCACATTTTATTGAGATAGTCTGTAATCTTTGTGCTAAATACAATCGATTGTCCCCACCCGTGTTCTTGTTCACTACAATATTATCTAGTCACGTTTATCTTGTATTAACATTTGGTCTATAAGCATGTAATTTTATTACGTGAAAAAAACTATTCTATTCGGGAAATGTTACATCTTGTAACAGCTATTCATTCGAAGGCTTACGTCAATAACTCTGTTTTGTGACCAGCTATCACAGGGTCATATTGTGTCATTGAATGTTACCAATCGACTAACATTATATTTATCAAAATATATCCGAGCGTATTTACTTACAAATGATCCAATTCCAATCCGTTAATCAAGTGTCTCTAAAACTCCAACTGGGGAGTTGTTATGGACCAACAAATATCAGTCCTATACAACTTCGTGCACACTACAGCATCAAATTGCAAAGTGACTATCTCTCCACTTTTCCTATTCAGTCCCTGCATCGGCAACCAATGCTCGATTTGGAAGATGCTGAGATGATATTTGTAGGATATATACAAGCCAATGAAGTCATTGTTTAAAGACAGTGATACTACTTAATGACCCCAAATACACACTGTCGGATCACAGTATGAGAACTGAAGGTCCTGGGTTAGATTTTGTGTGGAAAAAGCGAAGAAAAAGAAAGTGATAAGTATGAAAAGAAGGACTTACATTAGTTCGAATAGCGATGCTTGCGAGAACAGTAATGATCGACAACCATATACCTGAAAGAAAAATAAAAGACGATAATTTAAAATGCATCTATAAGCCAGACATAAAATGTTAATTTAATTACTAACTTATATGTTTATTAATCATTCATAGAGTATCGTAGAGATATAAATGATCACTTTATTTATCAGCGAAATAGTATGAACGTTTTAAAATTGACACTAAATGGTATAATGATAGTGTTTAGTGATGGTCAATAGTAAAATCTCGCACATATATTTCATTCTATCTGTAAATTAGTAACTGGATAATTTTCCATCATGGAACTTTTGGTGCACAGCTAACCTGTTATGTTAGTATTAAAAGTCTTCATTTAATGAATGTTGATTCTAATGTTATGTGATTATGTACTGTATTTATATAACGGAACAAATGAAGATTGTTTATTTTGATATTAATTCTCAATACGAAGGGTTTTATGAAGTGTTCTTCCAATTGTGGATATTCTAGTCGGTTCATCATAATGAATAGTAAGTATTAACTAAACTTCAATTTGTTAAGATAATGAAGATAATCAATCTGCCATTTTAGTAGAATGTTATGATACCATTAATTTATTCATAAATAATATATAGATACTGACACATTATATGACCATCGATTTTAAAGGTGATATAGCTACATACATTATAAGAGGAGGATTTCCAACTCACTCAACAGAACGTTCTCCACAGAAATTTTGTGATTAGTATTCTCTAGCTAACCAGTATTCAACAACTATCGCTTTTGACCAATTCTATGTGGATTTTTCAATTTACCTGTTCATGCGGAGCCAGGCATCTAGGTCGTTCGATGAGTAGTTTATCCCAAAGAATTCAAGAACAACACCTGGTTCGGCTGAAAAGAGGCAGAAATGCCTCAATAAGAAGCTTTATAATCGAAAAGCTTGTTAACACAGATCACTCAACCAAAACGAACTCTGCATTTAAAGTCCTTTACAAGTTAAGTAGAAAGCTATCAAAGGCAGTTAGCTCCTACCTTCATAGCATAGCCAAAACACTTGTTATACCATTTAGAAAAATCAGAATTCTGAGTAAAAAGAAAACTCAGACAGCCTTTTTTTCTACCACGGTCTTATTCTCCTATGATTTCTATTTTTCTCCCAACCGACTGCTTCCTTCCTCTCTTCTTCTCCGTAAACCTTTTACCCCCAGATGATTAGTTTGTGTTTATATGATCATTTTTGATCACAATTTTTTCTCGATCCCCACATTTTATCTTATCACCCTAAGCTTTCCCTTCCTAATTATAATCCATTTTCACTAACAACATCATTATTAGTTTCCTTAGTAAAAATAACGTTTTTATGCATTTATTTACTTTACTTCACTGTTATCATGTTCAGCAAAATTTCATTATCCCTATTATTACAATTATTACCATTTTGAAAATTAAGTATATAGTTACGATTGAATAACTTTGAAAATACATCCAACGAAAAGTGAACTCTTCACTGAATCAAACTTTCTTATTTTATATCTTAAAGAGTATATTCCATTTACATATGTATTAGTTTGAGTTGAGACACAATGAACCAATAGTGAGTGATAAAATTGTAAAGAAGAAAGGTCAAAATGTATTGAACCGAGCAATAAGAAACAACAATATCACTTACCAATTGTTTGAACTCTTTCAAGAACTGGACGACGATATTGATTCACTAATTTTTTAGCATCACCACGAATCTCAAACAGATTGTTTAATAAACCAAATAATGGTGCAAGTGGAAATGCAGGGACAAACATAGTGATGAATCCATATTGAATCACTAAAAAAAAATTGATCATAAAAATACTTGTGAAAAAATGGAAAAAACCTGTGAAGTAAATGAGAAGACACCAAACTCTAGCCAAATAAGTCTATTATGCTGAACATATTCCCACTCCAAAAGACTGATCACTAGACGTGGAATTTTTTATCACGACATATGCATGTTAAGTATAGCCTACTATGTCTTGTTAGGACTGACAAGTGAGGCAGTTTGGTTACGATATGTTTCACCTTGTTAATTTTGTCATCCACGCTATTGAATATAAACATTCTGGGTAAGATTTTATCCTTCAAATTGAATTAGGAAAACGGGAAGACCTGGTCCATAGGTTAAGATGCACTACGTTAGAAAGTCATTCATTGGATCGTATAGTCTTAATGTAAAGTCATATAAGTTAGGTATTCTTAGAAACTCTAGCCGACTGAGATTACTAGTTCAAAAAAATAAATAAGCTTAATACTGAGTATTTTATAATTCCATAAATTTTCTGTAGAAGTCAATTTATGAATTCTATCGTTATTCATTGTGTCACATATAGAAACAAAGTTTAAATAAAACTTGGATTTGTCGTTATTATTTAATGAACACTTACAATTTAGTGCATTGTAAAATTAGCCAGGAAATATTAAGGTCAGTGGTTAAGACTATTTATAATGTTTTCAATTAGTATGTAATACATTATTTATTTATTTAAACACGTAAACATTGGTACAAGGAGGCACCAAATATATATGTGGCACACTTCTCCATTCGATTTGTGTAAAGGCTGGAATACTGGCTGGGCGACCAAAACAGGTGGCTTTCTTAAGGGGCCACTTCCCGACCATTTAACCTAGGGGTCTAATCCACAAGGGAATGGAGCAACGTTAGGAGATGTAGTCCGATGATAGCCGGTGACAAACAATAGGTTCATACGCCATTTGTTCCCTCAGGATACTGGAGCTCATATGTACCATTGGTTTGAAATTATGGTTTTCCAACTCCCGTAGGTGTGTCATACATGACACTATCAGTCAGTTTCCATCTATTTGATATATAATCTCAGATATAATAACACAAATAAATAAATAATGTTCCCTTCAACCTACCACCAAAATAATATCAAGTAGAGAAAATAAATAATAAAAAAAAGAAAACGGAATCACTTACTCATTTCTAAGTACTCATTAAACAATGGTCTAGATCCAGGATCTAACATATTAAAATCAGCACGACATAGAATATTTCGTCCACGCAACGAACGATATTTTGCTGGTAAAAGAGAAGTAGTCACTGAATTCTGTTCATTATAATTTGTACTGTTCATATAATTATGATTAGCATGATTAGATGAACGTTTCATTGAACGAAATTTGAAAAATAATTTCCATAGAATACTAAATGGAATAAATAAAAGTTAGGCAAGAAATGAATGATAAACCAGAAAAATTATTCAATAAAGTATGATATAATAGATTAAAAAAGCGCAGAAAAAAATGATTATGTATACAAAAAAGCAACATGATAATGTAATGGTGAAGGTAGAAGCCTGCTTGAATATACGCGTCACCTGTTCCTTATCTGTTTCTTCGTTTCTCTTAACACATCATTACGTCTATGTTGAGTCGGCTTTCGGAGAACTTCAACGGAGCCTCCAGAGGCCCAAAAAGAGCCAAAGAGTCCTAGCTAATAAGAGCATGATGGAGCATTCTAGAATTCCAACGTGGTGTGCTACTATTGGTCAGTAGCATAATATGTCGTTAACAGATTGGCCGAGATATGGTGTTGATTTAACAAACGTTAACATCTATAAATACCCATGTTTTCCGTACAAAACGAACCTTGGAGTAACGTGTTTCTCTCATACTTTGCGTCTTCTTTCTGGTGTTCAGGTCGCTGTATAGTTCTAGCGTGCGGGTCATCAGAATAGCTTAGGAACGAATATAGCGTCCGAATCAGCAAAACTTAACAGTCTATTAAGAGAATAACCATTTCAGGTGAGTTTATGAAAAGTTTACAACCTTTCACTCTACAAGATTCGAAAAACACACAATCAAACACATCGTGGTGGCTGGCAACACACATTGAAAACAATCAATATTATTAAGATGTCGATTCCTGAACAACTAACATCTAACTGGCGATCAATCAATATTCATTGTCAGGATCGATAAAGATATGAGGAAAGGAAACCTATCGCAATAACTTTTGAGGAGAATTCATTATTGTACCAAAATTATAATACTGGATAAAACCATTAATAATAATAATAATAATAATAATAATAATAATAATAATAATAATTATTATTATTATTATTATTATTATTATTATTATTATTTGTAATTTTCGACAGTTAACATTCAAGATTGAAAATGAACAGTCTTTATTGACAAATGTGTATTCTATGAGGTACATTCAGCTGATGAATCTCAAATAGAACGAAACATACGTCGTAGATTCCACTGTTAATCATATACCATAATATCATTAATTAATTCTTACAAAACAGAAATCTGAAAAAGAATCTCATAGAATTTTCGTGTTGTTTTCTATGTTTATCAGATTACAAATAACTTGTTAGGGTAGCCCAATAGCTGTAAAATATATACTATTCATAATGATTAAACATTCCTATTCTATCAGATTTAGAAAATCCTTCTACTGTTACCTCACTATTTTAAACTTCACTTGTTTGTTGAAAATCAAAGTCATGATATGTGTTTATATCAGAAAACATCACACCAGACAAGATTCATAGTAAAAATTTATCACTTGGTTTTAAATACAGTGGGTTTTTATATTAAAAAATTGAAAAGCAACTGCAGACTAGAGAAAAATGGACAAAATGTATATATTTACGACTCCATATAGGATATATACTTATTAATAATGCATAGTAATTAGTTTAATGAGTTTGTGCAAATAGTTACACTTGTAATAGACATCACAGACTGACATCAGTGGCATATTGATAGAAGTTAGTGGTTAAAAGTCAAACGCCAACCACGGAATTTGAAGAACATGGTTCCCATCTCCAATAGGGTTAGAGATTCATACTGCTGAGGAGCCCCATACTAAGACGAAACGGCTCTTCATTGTTTCCTGGTTTTCAATGACTGTCTAAATACAGCTGTTTAGTGATATCAACCATAAAAATGGATAGAAAATTGTTTGAACAACTTACGGCATTAAAGATTCTTGAATGAAACTTAATATTTGTTTACCAACCATAATTATAACTAGTTGTATGAATAATTCGAACAGACAATCACCTTGGTCACACTGTTTAAAAAGAAAACAGATGATAATAGAAATGCAAGTACATAACAGAAATAAACACAGACAAAAACATATTCATGAAGAAATTATGTTATTATGTACAATTCACGTTTTATTAAAATAGGAGATCTTCAGAATTCACTTGATTAAAGACAATTAAGAATAAACTGTGACTCTATTGAAAGCCTAAAAACGATTAACAGCATATAAAACATTAGGAAACTCTTGGATTCTGAGGTGTCTTTGCATACATTGTTAAGTGATGTGAGTAAGAACATATTGGTTATATTATTGAACTAATAATGTTGTTATTTATGCCACATAATTAACCAAATTCTATTGAATAATGTAAAAAATGTGGGATATTTTCAGTTAGCGCTTTTGTTTTTTTAAAGGAAACAGTGAAGTTTAGCTAAGCTGAACATGAAACAGATTTCCAACGATAAGTTACAACATATCGTGAGGTAAATAGAATTTTGCAGTGAATACCATGAGCTGACTGTAGCCAGATAACCACTGAAAACAAGAAAACACTGGACAAGTGCATCGACCTGGGATGTCAGAAGTTTTTATCCATGATCTAATCAGGGATTAAGTTTAGGGCCTTCAGGCCTCGCAGCGAGTCCTTAGCCTTCATATCGCTAGGTTGACATCTAGTGTTTTATCTTCCTAAATTCAGTGAATTTTTGGTATTGCATCACTATTATTAATAACTGTCATTCGCCCGACATGGTTGAACTCCATAAGATCTCAAGAGTTATCGTTCAAATCTAGTCAATAAAGAGCATGTATCTACTCTTCTTCTTCTTCTTCTTCTTCTTCTTCTTATTATTATTATTATTATTATTATTATTATTATTATTATTATTATTATTATTATAGTAGAGAGTTGTAGGGATTGCCAAATTTGTAATTTCTACCATAAATTCAGGATTGTCAAGCTTATTAAGATCTATAGAATGGAATTGAAGAGATTATTTAGCTAGTCAGTTTTAGCAGTTTTCAGTTATCAGTTAGAGTCAACGTAAATGGTAAAGATTGTCCATCTTGTAGATATCAACGAATATGTACATGGACAATTATGTAATGGAACATATATATGAAACATGAAACTTCTGTTCGAATTCCTTCAATGAGTTTGAAAGAAATAAGTAACTGTGTTGAAATCATGCGTTAATCTAAGTGTTATGAACTCTTATCACAACACAGCTACTTCTAATGCTTAATATTACTCGGATAGTTTACTTCATTCAACAAGCCCTTAAATCAGAACGAGGTTGAACAGGAACGTACTTATATTACAAATAAATAGGGTTGAATGAAAGTAGGAATCAAAATATGGATAACATTAGTATATTTATAATTTTACACAATAAAATTCTAGTCCTCTCCAAGTGTCTGCATGCGCTGATTAGCTAAGAAATAGTGAATCTGAGTGCCGCGACATAATCCTGCACAGAGCATAATTTAATTCATTCTATATCCCAGTAACACTACGCTGAATCACTGTTAAAATCTAAAATTCTTAAGCGTCAATGATTGATTTGTAATAACTCATCGTTAAGAAATAATTTAAATATGTTTGTAATCATAAATTAACTTCAGGGCAAGCATTCAAAGAAAAGAATCAGGAATTCGTCATTTATAAAACAATGACAAAAATCAAATTTATTAGGATTATGTCAATACGTTCCTGGACTATGATAATATTTCGTAACCCTAACTTCAATACATTGAACGAGAATATTTCTACTCTCTTCTTTGATGCCGGGTTAACTAGAGGAAATAATTATCGGTTTAGTAATTGATGCCATTTTGTGATAACCTTAGAATATCACTTCGAAAAGTTAGTTGATGACATGTCAACTATAGTGATTAAAATCCATGAATTGAGTATTTGTCACTAAATAAAGATTATGGTAAAAATGTACTGAGAGTCCATGAGCAGAGTTCAAACTGAATAATTTGATTTAACGAAAATTCATCGTAATCGACATTCAGCAGTATAAAACTGTTAAGATTGTTGAATTCCATTGAAATCACAGACCAATCTAAGCCAGACAACCATTGGGAACCTGGAAGCACTTAAGGACTGTTCCATTCTGCTTAGCAGTGCAGATCTAAGCCACCAAAAACCTGGGATCGAGTTCAAGATCTCGAGTATCGAGCACGACTGGTTAACCACTGAGCGAGGATACAATGGTGAACAATCCTAACTTTAATCAAGTGACGATCGGTCAGTGGTTTCAATAAAATTAATCAACACTTATTTTCTTTTTAGTAAGTTGTATTTGCAGACTGTACATCACTAACAATTCGAACAATCTGATAACAGTGATTTCAGACATTATTATGAGAAATGAAGGACGGCATAGATGAACTCGAACACAAAGAAGGTAAATATGATAAGAAAAATTCGTATAAAACTCATTAGTCTGGATATTATATTCGAATCCATATAACAGTGATAGGTTTAATGACAATAAAAAGTCATTCCTGGACAGATTACTGAGTTGAAATTTACAAAGACTGAAGCTTCAAAGAGTTTAATTATCAGCCTAAATGATTAACATACAAAAATGTAGAGGCTGAGTTAAGATGGTGGTTGGAGGTAGTCAACAAGAAACCCTGGATCCAGGTTTCGTGTTATTCGGTACTCGTCGGCAAAGTGTACCTGTAATCTTGAGGGAACTGATGCTCCCTGATGGATTCGATCCCGTGTCACCAGGTATCACAGTCAGAGATGTCAGGGAGCATCAGTTCCCCCAAGATTATAGGTACACCTTGCTGACAAGTGCCAAATAGCACGAAACCCGGGTCCAGGATTTCCTGTTGACTACCTCCAACCACCATCTTATTCCAACATAGTAAACGCAATGTCGAGTCACCTAGACTAGTAGCCACAACGCAACTTAGTCGATAGCATTTGATCTGCACTAAGAAGGACCTGACGCACATGACATTGATCACCATCCAGTGATCAATCAACTGTGAAGGCTGAGTTAAGATTAATCTTATAATATGTGTGTTTGGAAATTGTGGGATGTGGAAGTTCTTTGGTTAGTAAAAATGTGAGTAGTGTAAAGGATCGGATATATATATATATATATATATATAATCATATAGTCATATATGGTCGTATCAAAAATTGTCACTAGATGTGATATATGTATATTCACAGGTTAGATGAATATTAGACAGGAATTTGTTGTAATATTACACATTTTGTACCGAAAGTTTTTTAACCGCAACCAAATATGGACAGGTATTTAAGAAGGTTATTCTTATTCATTCTTCATATAAAAATCTAAGATTTTAATTAAAATAATTTATAATGGTAATCAACGATAACGACCGTTCATTATCTATCTCTTTTTCTTCTTGTTTAAGCACACCTACAATAGTTATGTGAAAATATGGTCTCTTTTCTTTGAACAATAAAATCTGAAGTATTAACTTATATTTCATACATCAAAATTTAAATAAGCAACATAATCTGAGATATAAACGTACGTGAAAAATTTAACAATAACTTAACAATAAATTATATGAATCAATAATAACATCAATATCAAAGACGTTAACAACTCTTGTATAACAGATTCGAACTTCTATCTGCACATGATTCAGTTTGATCAACCAAGTAGTTATACTAGCCGTTACATGTACACACAATCGAGAATAGTTATTTGTACTTGATAAAGAGTTATATTATTCACAAATCTATATTAAACAGTGATTTCTGGGATGAGTCAATTAACTAAGCAGAAGCTATCTTCAAGAAAGATAGTAGAGAATGAAGGATCATAAAATTATATTACTAAAAATATGTAGTTAACTCAGCTTGTAGCTCTTCTAGAGTTACTGCCGGTCCCAAGCCCGGGTAAAGGAGGAGGGTTGGGCATGGGATTAGCGACCCCATCCCGTAGAAAACTAACTCGCTAAAAAAACGCTAACCAGAAAAAAATATTCAAACCATATTAACTCTGAACTGAGAGTTCGGAGTTCTTCATTTAGAAGAATTATGACGCTTCATGGTGAAAGCCAAGTTCCTTCAGAAGCCACGAGGCTGATGCCCCTTCTAACAACCAGAGCAACAATTTTTATAGGTAAGTGGAACGTCCGAACAATGTGGGAGACTCGGAAGATCAGTCAAATAGCAACGGAAATGAGGAGATACAACTTGGCAGTACTGGGAATCAGCGAAACCCATTGGACACAAGCTGGACAACAAAGGCTAGCTACGGAAGAGATGCTGCTATACTCCGGCCACGAAGATGAAAATGCTTCACACACTCACGGAGTTGCTCTAATGCTGTCCAAAGTAGCACGGGATGGGAATCTCACGGATCCAGAATCATAAAAGCATCATTCAAAACAAAGAACGAGGGGATCACAATGAATATTATCCAATGTTATGCATCCACCAATGATAGCAACGACGACATTAAAGATCAATTCTACGAGCGGCTGCAATCAATCATAGAGAAGTGCCCAAAAAACGACCTCACCATTATGATGGGAGATCTAAATGCCAAAGTCGGAAAAGACAACACCGGATATGAAGATATCATGGGACGACATTGACTGGGAAAGAGAAACGAAAATGGAGAAAGATTTGCAAATCTATGTGCATTCAACAAATTGGCCATAGGAGGCACAATATTTCCACACAAGCGTATACACAAAGCTACATGGATCTCACCGGACCACACTACAGCAAATGTGAAAACTACAGAGGCATCACACTGCTGTCTTTAACAGAGTGTTGCTGAACCGGATGAAAGATGTAGTAGACGCCTAACTTCGAGATCAACAAGCTGGATTCCGTAAGGATCGGTCGTGCATAGACCAAATCACGACACTACGGATCATCGTCGAACAATCAATTGAATGGAACTCAACACTGTACATCAACTTCATTGATTATGAAAAGGCATTTGACAGTGTAGATAGGAGGACGTTATGGAAACTTCTTCGACACTACTGAGGTCCTGAGAAGATTATCAATATTATGCGGAACTCATACGACGGACTACAATGCAAGGTCGTGCATGGAGGACAGCTGACAGACGCATTCCAAGTAAGAATCGGAGTCAGATAAGACTGTTTACTCTCTCCCTTCCTCTTTCTTCTGGTGGTCGACTGGATTATGAAGACCTCGACATCTGAGGAAAAATACGGAATACAATGGACAGCTCAGAATCAATTAGACGATTTGGACTTCGCAGATGACCTAGGCCTCCTATCGCATACACACGAACAGATGCTGATAAAGACAGCCAGTGTAGCATCAGTCTCTGCATCAGTGGGTCTCAGCATACAAAAAGGGAAAATCAAGGTCCTCAAATTCAACACGGAGAACAGCAATCAAATCACTCTTGATGGCGAAACTCTGGAAGATGTAGAATCCTTCACATAACTGGGATGCATCATCGATGAACAAGGAGGTTCAGATGCAGACGTAAAGTCAAGGATTGGAAAAGCAAGGGCCACATTCCTTCAGTTGAAGAACATCAGTCAGTCAGTAACAACGTAGAACTTCGTACGTACGTACATCAGTTCGAGTTGCCACACCACATTAGCACAGAGATGCACTTGTCGATTCAAATCCCGTAGTGGTAGAGGTAATAAGAGTATAAGGAGTAATCGGGAAGATTAGGGTTTGGAGGTGTTATTTAAAGAGTATAATACAGTGAAAAAAATTTGGAAAGAGGAAAAAAGGGACATGAAGAATTCAGAAGATTAGAATTTGGGAGAACACAGAGTGGATGCACCTGCGCCATTGCAAACGATTTTGAGCCATGTCATTCAGGGTCTCTAACCGTCGGTTGTTATCATCTCGCAGTCCTCAACCAGGTAGTCTACACCTACCAACATGACTCAGTTCACTTGTCAGTGACTTCATGGACTTGTGCCATGTTTTGGTCTGTTCGTCTCTAGCTTTCTTTTAATTTACTCCTATACAACAAAACATCGCACGTCGAGGCAGTCGGTCGTTGGGCACACGTAACACGTGTCCCAGCCATCTCAACTGATGAAGTTTCACTACTTCATCAATTGATTTGCCATCCTTACCTAGTACCCGTTTCCTAACAACTGTGTTACTTATTCGATGGTCCATGATATACGAGCAAGTTTCGAAGACACCTTGATCGAAACTGTAACCTACGGTTCCTCTACTCTTGCCGGCCATGTTTCACTGCCATAAAGTAGGACGGAACGAACTGCTGCGCAGTAAACACGTCCTTTGGTTGATAGACGGATATCTCGCCTACGCCATAAATGACGCAAGTTGGCAAAAGCTAGTCGAGCCTTCTGTATCCGTGCTGAGATTTCGTCACACACCAGACCACAAGGACTGATGAGACTTCCAAGATAAGTGAAGCGGTCGACACACTCAACTACTTCACTCCCTATCACTAGTTCGGGTGTCGATGTAACCCAATCCTGAAGCAACATTTTGCATTTCGAGGGAGAGAATCGCATCCCGAACATGCTTGCATTGTTGCTTAGAGTGGTCAGAAGACTCTATATCAAAGTTAGAATCTACAATACGAATATCAAGGCAGTTCTACTGTATGGAGATGAAACTTGGAGAACTACAATAACCATCATCAAGAAGGTGCAAGTATTTATGAATAGCTGTCTACGCAAGATACTCAACATCCATTGGCCGGATACCATCAGCAACAGCCTTCTCTAGGAGAGAACAAACCAGCTTCCAGCTGAAGCGGAAATTAGGAAAAGACGATGGAAATGGATAGGACATGCACTACGCAAATCGCCAAACTGCATCACGAGACAAGCCCTAACTTGGAATCCTGAAGGGAAACGGAAAAGAGGAAGGCCAAAGAACACATTACTTCGGGAAATAGAAGCAGATATGAAAAAGATGAATAACAACTGGAAGGAGCTGGAAAGGATTGTCCAGGACAGGGTTGGATGGAAAATGCTGGTGAGCGGCCTGAGCTCCTTCACGAGGAGTAACAGGCGTAAGAAAGTAAGTAAAAATGTGTAGTTATTGAGATCATTTATCGAGAAGTCCGGTATGATCAAATGCTGAATCATCTAATCAGGTGCGAATAACCGAGTGTACAAGTGATCAGTAAAATATGTTATAATTGTAGTTAAGCTTCGATCTAATGAGTTATTCATTATTGACAGGTAGTTCAGAAATCCTCTGGATATTTAACAAAAAAGGTGTAAATTGTTATGTGTTCAATCTCTAGTTTGTATATGTAAACCAGTAAACTATATGAACAAAGATCGATGATGGCTATAATCGAAATCCAGAATGAGCGTTTCATCCCATTCGGGACTCGTCAGTTGAATATCTGCATACCAGTGTTGGCATATATCTAAATATATGACATCAACTTCAGAGGTGTTTAATATAAATCTCTCCGATTACTGACTTCTAGTCAATCAGTTATTACCAACTTTGAGTCTGGCATAAGTATGTTGATATGATAGAAAGAACAGCCAAAATTCGATTGATTTACTCATTACGAGTTTTGTTCAAAATTACTTCCGCTTTGTTCAATGTGATGATTAGTCAGTGTAGTATCTGTTTTGTTTTCTCGTATGATATTTTATTCTGTATAATATACGGTATTCTTGTATTCAATTGACATGAACTATGCTCAGTAGGTGACTTGTTATATATGTGATTTCATCCTAATTATTAATCAAAATGGGTGTACAATTAATATATAAATGAGTGTGTTTTCGACTAGGGTAGTTGTCGTTGTGTTTTGGGGTTAATAAACCTTCACTTGTATCAGTCTTTGTATTCTTACTTTCGCGTCGTAGGTATTGCGTAGGTCCCTCGTTCCGAGTATAAGTGATGAGCGTTTCCGACACAACAATCAGCGACGAACAGATATGTAACGTAGCGTTCAAAACAACAAGACATATCATATGTATTAGCCCAAATTGCAGTGACAATGAGAAAGATTAAAGATTGGATATATAATTCGTGAAAAAAAAACAGGATAAAAAATATGCACGAAAGAATAATGGAAATGGAAGGAAAACTGAGATGTCAAAGACAGCATAGTCCACCTATAATAAATAATTTAATTTACAAAAATATACATATAATCGTATAAATAGAAAATAATACGTAATGCTTACACCAGTTGACTGAATTAATATATGATCACTACCAGGAACAGCTGAAGTTGTACCTTGTATAAATGCAATATAAAATATTGACGAATAATAATTGACAAATTGTAATAGGTATAATTTTAGCGTTAAACTATTATCATATTCCACTTGTGTACGATGATGTTCAACATCAGTCAATTTAATGGCCATACGATCATAAATCTGAAAAATTAAAAATAGAATGAATTATTAAAATCAATAAAAACTATCAGTATAGGTAATTCACGGAGTTCTAGTGAGAAGCCATGACTAGCGGAGTTCAACCGTATCGGTTGTGAGGTAGTTAACCACCGCAGACAATGTGAAATGATTGAAGATAGACTCTGGCTCAGTGGTGTAGAGGTTAAGCGTTCGCACATGAGATCGAAGGTGTTGGGTTCAGTAACCGCGCACGGGATCGCGGATGTACGCTAAGCAGGACCATGCTGAGACGAAACGGTCATCCAGTGCTGCCAGGTTTCCAAAGGTTGTCTAGCATTGATTAACTCATGATCTCAATATAAAATATAATTAGATATTGTTTGGTAAAACATATTAACACTAATCAAAGCTGGGAAATAAATTTCAAAAAAATTTGTGTTAATATTTGTAGATGCCTAAAAACTAACAGTAGCTGTAGTGTTTTTATCTCTGTTCAAAAGAAATATGGTAACTGGAAGTAATCAACACACTCGACCAAGGTTTTATGATATTAGGTAATCATCAACAAGGCATACCTGCAATTTTACTCTTACTAAGGCATATCAGCTTTCTCAAGTTTGCAGCTACACCTTACAGTTGTCAACTAGCAAGTCCAGTAGAATTTCCTACTGATTACCAACAACCAGCTAATTTCAAAAATTACTCTCTGTAGACAATTTTAGATAACTTAAATCTACAATAGAAAAATAACTGAATGATTATTGTCAATTCGTCTTACAGCACAGTAAAGTGTTCAGTAATGTGATACAGACCGCGTTACAGTAGGGATCAAAATTTAGAGCAGAAAACTAACTACTGCTAACATCAACCCTACGGTTCGAAATATTGAGCTCCAATTTATCCACTCACTCTTAGTAAAAGGCTGATGAGTCGAAATTTATCTAAAATCAAAAATCTACCACTATAAACCTTATAAGAACGTTACTGAAAAGAAACGTTTTCGACAGTAAATTAAAACATTCCACGAATTATTGAATTATCACTTTTTGTGTATTTATCAATGTTGTGTGTTGTGGTTCAACTTAATTTTAATGTACCACTCCCAGTAGCATACCAAATCCACTAAGCAAATGAAAAGATTACAGTAGGTAATTTCAATTGCCAAAACGAATTTCGATATGCTCCTATCATGAGTATATACATAGATATGCTTGTTCTTTTAACTTAGATGCAACAAGACGATTTGGACTTCGATGACCTAGCTCTTCTATCCCATACATAGCAACGAATGCAGGTGAAGAAACCCAGTATAGCAGTGGGATCTGCAACAGTTGGCCTCAGCACACACACAGAGAAAGGAGCGAGATCCTCAAATACAACATAGCGAACACCAACCAAGTCACACTTGATGGAGTTCTCAAAGAGGTGGACACTTTCACGAACATAGGAGGGTCTGATGCAGATGTACAGGTAAGGATTTTCAAAGCAAGGGCAGTATTTCTATAGTTGAAGAACACATGAGACTCAAAATAACTGTCAAAGTCAAAATCTTCAATACGAACGTCAAAACAGTTCTTTTGTACGGAGCTGAAACTTCGAGAACTACTACAACTATCATCAATAAAGTACAAATATTTATAAACAATTGTCTACGCAAGATGCTGATTATCCACAGACTCACATATCATACCTTCCCAACATGTACAAATTTTATAATAAATGAATACAATCAGTGATGTAATTAAACGTACTAGTTTTAAAAAGAATATTGTCACTAAATTAACTAAAGATCCAGTCATAGTAGCAATCATACCAGAGGTACTTTGTACCATAGGATTATGATGACGATACAAAATTGCTTTGATCACTAATTTGTATAAAACCACACCAACAAGAAAAGCTAATGTGAGCATCACCTGTGAAACAGAAAGTATGCATATACATAAACAATAAAAAGTGAGATAATAGCATGAATTTATAATCTTTAACTGAACAAAATTATCAATTTGTTACCATTTCAAAAAGACTACAAAAAATATTTTTTTGAAAGAAAAACAAGTAATATATATCTGAATCATTAGTTAAAATAACTTTATCTCAATCCGTCAGTCATAACTAACGTAGAATTTAGTGCGTATGCCAAGGTTGAATACGATAGTTTCAAACAAATTGAGTATTGAGTAAAAAGTTAATAATAAATCGATATATTTTATGTCATACCTAAATGAGTAGAAAACTGTATTTCTGACGTTTCGTAACTTAATTTAGACCATTTCTTTAGAGTTCATTAATTACCGATTTCCGTTAGGATCACGGAAACGTCAAAAATACAATTTTCTACTCATTGGAATATTATATATATATATATATATATATATTATCAGTCTTAAATGTTGTTAGCGGGACATAGACTGGATTAAAGCATGCTCACTGCACGATTGCTTTGGTGCACGCTGATTGCCTAATTCTTATCCAATCAGCACCAGTCGATAGTTGGAGAATACTCTAGAATCTTCTCATGTAAAAACTATAAATATACTGACGTTTTTCCCTATTGTGCTTCTTACTTGCTTCTTACTTCCATCTAACCTTGTTATTTGGAATATAATCTCTTTCCTGTTCAACCGTGTTCTGATTCGGGGTCTTGTCGAGTGATTTGGTGTCCAAGAATACAAAGCAATAGGAATAGCTGGGGTCATAACCGTAAGAAAGAGATTATAACAAATGTTCCTTGGTAATAATTAAAGAGAACAAGAAGTAAAAAATCAATATGTAAATACATTTTGACATGAGAAAAATAAGAAAAACATTAACGAGAGGAAAAAAGTTTAATCAATTTAGTGAAAGTTTTGTAATGAAATACGAGATGATGAGAAACCTTACAGTATTGGTCAAGATATTTTTATTATTATTAAAAACAGAAAAAAAAACAAGAGAAAACTTGACCAAAATACTTTTATTGGTAAATTGAATATGAATATGAAAATAGTTAGTTAGAAGTGTACAAAATTTTATTTTATTTCAATGAAACTCATGTATGAATATTTCATGCATGAATAACAACATAATTATCAGTATGGGGTTGTGGAGATCATTTAAGCTTTTGATTGAAATCATGAACCGGTTGATGTTGTGCGATTACTCAGCAGTGCGTAACCCACAATAGGACGAAACGGCCATCCAGTGATTCCAGGTTTTCAGTGGTCGTCTAACATCAATCGGTTCATGATTTCAATAAAATCTTAATACTCTCCAAAACCCCATACTGATAATTACTATGTGCTGAATAATGACTAGCTTCGTGAGGGAATTCTCGGAGTTCTAGTGAGAAGCCGTGACCAGTGTCGGATAGAGATAGGTATCTACCTCAGTACAATGGAAGACGGTCGCGTAATTTCGTGGATTGGTTGAAGTTAGACATTAAGACCTCTGGATGCCGGCTCAGTGGTTTAGAGGTTGAGCGATCGTGCGCGAAACCGAAGACCCTGGGTTCGAGTTCCGCGGTGGGATCGCGGACGTGCTCTGGTGAGGAGTCTCGCAATAGGACGAAACGACAGTCCAGTGGTTCCAAGTATTCAATGGTGGTCAAATATCAATCGTTTCATGCTCTCAGTCAAAAAATAATATAATTATCAATGAATAAATTATATTGTTAGTGTTGTTAAAAATTTATGATTCTTTATAAGATGCAGTTGAGATCTAATACTACTGGTTCAAAAAATCTGTCAACTTCATGATTGAAACCTAAAAGCTAACTTAATTTTAATTTAAACAACTAGAATGTATTCGTATGCGGTTCTTTACTAAAAATGCTAATTTAAAACCTATTTTAATAGTAGAAAATACTAAACTGAATCATTAACAAGTCAATTATCATCAACTAATGACGGCAAAATAAATCATGTCGCTGGTCAACTAGAATGAAGAAAACAATAAAAATCTATTCAGATCGCGTGCAAAGCAGTTACCCACCGAAAAAAATGGAAGATGGTCGCGCAACACCGTAGACTGATTGAAGTTAGACCTTGACACCGTTAGGCTCAGTGGTCAAGGGGTCCTGGATTCGAAACCCGTGCGTGGGGTCGCGGATGCGCCCTGCTGAGGAGCCACATGCTGAAACGAAACGGCCGTCCAGTGCTTCCAGGTTTCAATGGTATTTTAACATTGGTCGGTTCATGATTTCAATGAAATCTGGTTGAAACCATTGGATTAACACAGTATAATCGATTGTTTGCTTTCTATTTATACGGCACATAAGACTTCGGAAGTGGCAAACAGCATATATATTAAAAAACATAATGACAACTAATTACAGAGATTAGCATTGGAACATAAAATCCCAAACTCATATATTGCAACAAACGTATCGCCTATTTAAGCTTCATCGTAAACAGTTTTGGCCATTTTAATTATTACATAAAATATTGAATTCGTTAACCACAATACTAGAAGCACTTATCTATAAACACGAATATTTTCCACTACTTTCAACAGGTAATAAAAAAGATGAGCGAAGAGAACAGGATATTGTCAATCTTGAAGAAGAGTTTCACATTTAAATGATAGAAAGTCAGTATCATGTATATAGACACTAATCGTTGAATGAAATAGTGCGATTTAGGTAGTTTATGTAATTCCAAACATGGTAATATCCACATAACCACGGTTCTTTTATGGATAAGAAACCTAATTCATCACGAATTTCCTTAAAAACTGTTTCCAGAATGCTGTAGCCTCTAGAATTTCTTGCAGATGCTTGTTCTATTAAGTCGGTTAATATTTACTAGTTACTATGGGCTAGTACCCAATATGTTTGACTTTTTAAGTGAAATGCAAACTTGCATTATAATATTTCTGACAGTTCAACAACAAGTATATAATGTATCTTAAATGTACTGTAACAAATCATAACTAGGACTTACAGTTTCAGGACTAAACACACACACTATACGGCTATATTCAAAACATTACTTAGAGTAAAACTGTTATCTAACAGTTATGTTGAAACCATTGTTAGGTATTTTCATCATTTCAAGATTTTGAAAGTAATTCAAAAAAACAACCAAGATAACATAAAAAGAGAACTTACAGTTAACAGAACAGTAGAGAAACTGAGAAAGATAATTGGTACTTTACGTCGCCAAAATGGAATAAATGGTTCTACATACTATTAAAAAAATAGAAAAGAAAATTTACATAGTATTCCCCGCAAATTGATCATAAATAAAATGTTATTGAAAACAAGGAAGCACTTATTAAACATCTATTTCATCTTAGCAAGAGGTCTCTCAGCAGTACATACTAATGAACCCAATAGGCGGAGCGTACCTAAGAAATTCAGATCTTTAGATAAATACCTAATTATTAAAACCACTGGATCAGCACTCAATAGTATATATGTTCAACTACATACTTAAGTAATTTGTTATGAAAATGTTTTCCCCCCGAAAATCATACTCTTTTGAAGGGTTTCACACAATTCCTAAACACCTAGTAATAATTTGCAGGTAATTAATAACACAGTAAAAATTTTAAGGACCAGAGATTTTATTGGTTGTAGTTAAGTTTTAACTTTATGTACATTAATAAAAAACATGAATAATATCAAATTAATCACTATAAAATAATCAATAAATACAATTCACTATCTGTGTATATCATTTTTTCTCTAATTGGAGTATACTAGAAAGGAAAGCCCAGGTTGGTTGGAGAATCCTGGTTAGCAGCTTATGTTCTACAAAAAGGTAACAGGCATTAATAAATGAAAAAGTAATGTGTCATTTTCTCTCTACTCAAAGTGTATGCAATGCATTTTTCATACTTGAAATCACAATTATTAACAGAAATATGTTATAGTACATTGAATAAAAACTGATAATTGTTTGAAAGTGCAAAATAAAACAGAGTAAACTCAAAGTGGAGAGAATTAAACAGCATTAGAAAAAATAATAATAATAATAAGAAATTTATACTTACTCCACTTAAAGGATTCATTTTACGAGGACACATTTTACTAAGTAATGCCATAAATTCTGGTCTCGGCGGTTGATCCATTGGTTCCAGTGAGTATACATTCCAACGATAAGCAAATGAGACTTGCCTACGTTTCCACATTTCGAAAAATATTACAGCTATTTCATAAAAATGTAGAAATGACAGAAAGATAAGAAAATATGATTCATTCTACCATTTATTAAGTAGTAATAAAAATATAAATAATGAAGTAAAACTAAATATTCCTACTTAAATAAATTTGAGTATTTGTCGAGATAGATTGACTAAGCTATTGAAGTGTCGAAGCTACAGATATAAAAAGATAAAGACATATGAATTCACTATTTCATGAGCGAGATATAGGTAAAAACTTACATAAATGACTAGCCACTGACTACCATTGAGTATAATGGTATTTTTTGTTCCAATTTCATGACACCAAATGCCCTGGAAGTCCTACTCACTGTCTCCTCGATTTCACAGTGTTCTTTTTTTACAAAATTGAGAGGACGAAAAACGAATATTTGGCTCCTTGACCGGTTTGGTGGATACGGAGGATTCACCTAGGGGAGTTGGAAAACCCTCATTCCAAACCAATTGTGCACATTTGTCCCATGATCCTAAGAAAACAAACAGCGTAGGAACCAATGGTTGTTCACTGGTTACCATCATGGGACTACATCTCCTTACATTGCTCCACTGTAGATTAGGTGTCTATGTTAAAGGGTGGGTTAGTGGCTTCGTAAGAAAACCACGTGCTTCGGTTTGAGCTCCCGATCAGTTTACCAACCCCCACAGTAATCAAATGGTCTGTGAGGCGCTTATATATTTGCTGCCTCCTTGTACCAATGTTTACGAGTTTAAATAAATATATAAAAGAATCAACAGAAAATGTACGAATCCATCTATTCAACGACAGAGGGTTAGAATTGAGTAGAGAAGTCCAGATAGGGTGATCGATGGGTCTGATACAGAAGCAAATGAATACCAGTTAACCATGATGAGAAATGATCCTAATGATACAGAAACCCTTTAGTTACACCTCTATATATTCATTTACAACATCGGTTCTACTCTTTTAGAAAAAACTCTATATGTTTGTAAAGTATACACAGTAAGCAAAATAGCTTCTTCGCCAAACATCTTTATCCGTCTCCAGTTTTAAAAATAGTTTTCCAGAGGGTATAACAATTCCAAGAAATTGGAAGGCTCAGAATTGTGCTACATATTTGAAGGTAGTTGATAAGTAACTTTGTTTGATTTTGATTTAATAGCTAGTTGGTATTAGTCAGTAAAGCGTTCCAGAAATTATTAAGAGAATTAGTGTCCTTGTTCAATCAGAACCCCGGTCACTACTCAGCTTCATAGTATGAAACCTTACCACTGAGCTATTCGAGCTGTAAATGACCTCCTGAAAAACTGAGATATTTACAGTTAAGTGACCACCGAGTAGTGACCGATGTCATGTTTGTCAGGTGCTTTAGTGCTGATCGATCAAGAAATTCAGAAATGTATTAATCATCTAGACGACAAATATTCCAGACTTTTATTCATATAGGAAATAAAACAAAAATGAGTTATGTTTTATTACACGTAGTATAAAATTCTTGAAAACGTTATAAAGAGAACCGACATACCCCACAAAGACATAACCACAGCAAATAAAACAGTCCCTTCATGATCCACTAATCGCATTAACTTAGTACGTAAACAAGATCTGTCCAGAGTCCAAAATTTGCATTTAGATGATTTACATAATGGACACATATATATGTTGTGACCGAGATCACATACTTCATGGCTTGAAAACAATATCGATATTAACAAAAAAAAGCTGAGTTGTAGGAAGCATACAATAAAAAAGAGAAGTGTTTTGACTAATAAAATGAATTAATGAAAATATTATATATGAATTAATTAAAGGCAATAATTCGGATGTGCTTAATGAACATACGTGAATGGAGTATAGGGGAGAGGTGCTTGAAATCTGATAACAGAAGTCTTCTTTCAGTCAATTTATGTAACTTATTAACTCGATACAGTTTAATTTACTCAGCTTTGAAGTATACCAACTATGGGATGGCTATAGTGGTGAGAACCAACGTAACATGGAGTGAAGTTTAAAAATTGTAATGTATTGAATAAAATTTGAACAATTTCACCAGTAAGTCACTGATTCTTTAACTTAAAATCATCATTGTGAGTCATAGTATCCATATGAGATGAAAGCTTGATTTCCATGATTTAAAAAACAAATATTTAACGATCAAGAAAACATTTTTGTTTTACTGAAAACTGTATACGTTAAAATAGGTAAATAGAGTTTGTTGAGTTCTTCAATATAAAAAGACATTCGTAAATTCATATTATCGACATCAATTATTGAGTTAGGCTTCATTTAATAGCTATAACAAATGTTTTATAATTCGAGGTGTATTTATTTAGGTTTTAGTGTTTAGAAAGATAGACATTTCAAATATTGATAAGATTAAAACATTGGTCAAATCTATTTTAATCCGGGAATTATAATACACTATGTAAACAAAAATCCAGCTGAAAAGGACAACTAACTTATTGTAAATGTATAACATTTCACTAAAATTTCTTCAGGTAAATAGTCAAAAGTCAGAATTATTGAATATAGATAAATTTACAAAGTAACAACATACTAAACGATTATTCAACCATGTTTAATATGTTATATATTAATGTCTAGTGTGTGAAATTGAGTCGTCTAATGTGAAATATATTCAATTCATAGTAATTAATAGAGAAATGTACGTACATTTATGGAAATTCGTATTTGAAAACAAAACAAATGACCATATATAAGTAGTAAGCTATAGTTGAGGTTCAATTAATCATTCTAGTTGATAGCCATATATTAAACTTATCAGGACACATAGATTGCCAATAAATAAATGGTTTAACTCTTGTGTTGCTATGTTGACATTTTTATTAAAAAAATGTTTGTTTTCTTAAAAAAGTAATATGTATAAAATATTTTGACCTTTATAAGTGCACGAAACAATTTTGATCACGATTGTGAAAGAAACGACACAAAGAAAAAAGTAACGAATGAAAAGATTCATTAATGACATTAATATTAAAACATTTCCGATAAGATTAATCAGGCGTCGAATATTCAATCACTGAAACCAGCTAGTTAGTAATTCACAACGTAGAACCTGGCGCATACATACATTAGTTCGAGCTCTTACACCAAATTAGCTTAGCAAGATAAAAAGGATCAAGAAAAACCCCACAGTATAAGTAGTAACAGCAGTAGTGGTAATAATAGCAGAAAATATTAACCGCTCAAAAGATATACATGAATATGAATTATACAGTCTATGGTATACAGACATTTACCAAAAGAGAAATTTCTATGATTAAGATGTAACCTAGTTACTATATTTCATTTGTTTAGCGATAATTCCTCAACAGACCTGATTATTTGATTAAAACAGTGTTTGATTTATTTATAATCTGGCAGACTTTCATTAAGAGTACATTTTTATTTATTTAGCATAACACTATTGTTGTACGTAAAATAAATCAGAAGATATTCTTTTTAAGCAACATGGAAATTACCAACAAAGACGTGGCTACAACTCGTTACAGAGTGATTCTTAAACTCAACAATAGAGTTTGATAATTAGAAACGGATTAATGTATCGGACATCATACAGTTTTTTATTCTTGCGTGGAAGCTAGGACTACTGCTACCCGAACGTTCAGAGTTAAAACAGATACGAATGAATTAGAATTTATATGATAAGTGTAATGAAAAATTTGAAATACTTCTAGAAACCAATATAACTTTAAATATTAAAGACTAAGTGTGATGTAATTCAAAATTGAAACATTGACTTTCTCTATGAAACTATAAAACTAGATTCAAACAATCCTATCAGTGAACATTTATTAAAACCACATAAACAACCTTACTTCACAGAATACCACTGATTGTTAAAAAGAAATAGAGGAGCCACTTTTTTATTAGAACGTTGAACAATGAGCATTCGGAGTTTCAAGTGACTTGAAGTTCAAAACAAAGCTATAAACACATCTTGTTAATAATTTAATAGCTGGGTAAATGTAACTACATGAAATTACAAATCTCGACAGCAAACAAAAACTGTCAATAGACTCACTGTGAACACTATAACGTCTGTTAGTGTAGGGTTGTGAGGATTATTGGATTTCAGTAAAAACGTGAGCCAATCAAAGTTGGACAATCAATAAAAACGTGGAAGGACTGAACGGTTACCATTGAATCTTGACTCAGTGGTCTGAAGGTTAAGGATTCCCGGGAAAGACCAAAGGCTCTGGGTTCGATTCCCATTTGCAGGGTCGTGGGTAGGCACTGCTAAAAAACTCCGCACTACGACGAAATGGTCATCTAATGATCTCACTTTCACAATAATTACACAACTTAAATCGGTTCTTCATTTAAATTAAGTAACTATCTTTCTTCAAATGTTCTCATAAGGTAGGAATACAAATGTTATGTCATCCTGAAAATAGAATCTTAAGTAATGAAAGCTTTCATTTATTCAAACGTTTATACATTTGAATATTATCGGTTATCTAATTTGAAATTTACATAAAATCACACCACTGCGACCTGCTGGAATATATACGTCACCTGTTCTTGTCATCTAGATATTTGAACAACTTATCTGGTTCTTCGTTTCTTTTAACACATCATTACGTCTATTAACAGTGTAACTTATTCAGGTGAGTTTATGAAAAGTTTACAACCTTTTACTCTACAACGTTCGAAAAACGCACAATCAAAGACATCGTGGTGGCTCGCAATACACATTGAAAACAATCAATATTATCCAGATGTCGATTCCTGAACAACTAACATCTAACTGGCGATCAATCAATATTCATCGTCACGATCGATAAAGATATGAGGAAAGGAAACTTATCGCAATAATTTTTGCGGAGAATTCATTATTGTACCAAAATTATAATACTGGATAAAGCCATTAATAATAATAATAATCTCTGACTATTATGAGGTGAATAAAAGGTACAATCACTGATAGCTAATAATGGTCCAACAAATTAATTTTTTCTGCAATTACGATACACAGTTCTTCGATATATATATATATATATATATATATATATATATATATATATATATATATATATATATATATATATATATATATATATAAACATGCACAGACGTCGATTTACGTGAAAACATCTAAAACCAAGTTATTGATTAATCTGCACATAACATATGCACTATTTCATTGATTACTTTTCATATTGTAATTCTTTGAAAAAAATTACTTCCAAACAAGTTGGTGATTTTTAATTAGTGAAAAGAAGTTTCTGATAAAGAGAAAATGAATATTTGATAGCTTTATCCTATGATTTGTCCGATAATTAATTTTATTTATTTAAACTCGTAAACATTGGTACAAGGAGGCAACAAATATATAAGCGCCTCACAGACCATTTGATTATTGTGAAGTGTGGTAAACTGACCGGGAGCTCAAACCGAAGCACGTGGTTTTCTTACGAAGCCACTAACCCACCCCTTTAACATAGACACCTAATCTACAAGGCAGTGGAGCAATGTAAGGAGATGTAGTCTCATGATGGTAACCAGTGAACAACCATTGGTTCCTACGCTGTTTGTTTTCTTAGGATCATGGGACACATGTGCACAATTGGTTTGGAATGAGGGTTTTCCAACTCCCCTAGGTGAATCCTCCATATCCACCAAACTGATCAAGGAGCCAAATATTCGTTTTTCGTCCTCTTAATTTTGTAAAAAAAACACCCTGAAAACGAGGAGACAGTGAGTAGGACTTCCCTTGTAGTGGTTGTATACACGTGGTTCTGTGAGAGTACTTCGAGAGGGAGATCTAACTCTCCTCACCCTCGGCTGTACCAGGGCATTTGAGGGGTGATTTGTTCAATAAACGAGTTATTTTCTGGTGTTAATGTATTTGACTTCGAACCAAATTCTATGTACAACAGTTTATGATACTATGCGGATGTGCAAACAGATATAGATGGAGCTAGGCTCGAATCTGATACCTGATGACTGAAAGCCGAACATCTTAGCCAATACGCTTTTGTTTCCTCTCACTAGGTATCAAGAGTCCTAGTGAAGATTGTCCTTAAAGACAAATTCAAAACTTATGTTTTTCGATTCTCTCATCATTGACTTACAATTCGTAATTGACCAAAAAGAGTTATCAGAGAGTAGTCAATAATCATTTAAGTAGTAGAGGGAAGTGATAAATGAATTAAATGAACTAGTAATTTACAGGTTAGTATCCGCCTCTGTCTACTTCACTTTCGGAAGCTTAATGAATTAGTTCTTAGTCAACATAAACGATTTCAAAAAAGTCGAACACATGAATATATATTCGGTACATAAGTCATTATTTATATTGATTATATTTTCAAATAGTAGTGTTGAGACACTAGTTCACTGAAAGGAAGATTATATTAGGTAGAAAAACAGTAAACAATAATCCATTTCATTCAAATTTGAACAACCATGATAAGTAAACCGGAAAAAGGATAAACCTATCAAAAGTGAAAATGATACCAAAATATATCATGATTCGGCTGGAAATTGTGTGTTGAAACCAAGTTTATTGAAAATAATCTGGTTAGATATTTTTGTCGGTGAATAAAATTCACAAAATAAAAACAAGGGTTTTTTTCGACAAATTCACAATGAACACCATGTCAACAAACAATAAATAAACATTCTGATAGTACATGGATATATATATTTATATATAAATCCAAACTATGGCAGTTAAAATATTATCTTTTTGTGAAAATGTATTAAAAACAACAATACACAATTTATAGAACTTACATAATCGAGTCGGATTTTAAATCCAATAAACCGAAAAGAAAAACAAGAATTCCAAATATTGCAATTGGTAAAAGCCAAGCTGTGTAGAAACCAAGCCAAGCAAAATAAAAAGCCACAGCTTCACCGAAATAATATCTAATTTAAATTATAAGATGGAAAAAAGCGTTTAAATTACTGTGTGAAATATAAATCTAGTTTTAGGACAACAGTATTTGTGGTGATTGTACAATTGTAATGGTTTAAGTCACGAACAGATCTTAGCTAAACCACCAATTAGAACATGGAAGCACTCATCGGCAGTTTTGTCTCAGTATGAGATTCCTCATCAATGCCCATCCATAAACCTGTACCCAGGAATCGAACCCAAGACCTTTAATTTCATGCGTTAACACTGAGCGAGGATCCAGTAGTGTACTTGTATAACTAGTCAATTTACGACGCTATCCGATCTTTATCCATTACTTGAAGTGGATAACTTGCCCAATGTGACTGAATTCCATTGTTCACGGCTTCTCACTAGAATTCCAGGATTCTCATCTTGTCACCAGTGAGTACAATATTATCAGTATAGGGAGATTTGTGAATACTGTAGAATTTTCAGTCTGAATCATTAAATAATCTTATCTTCACTATCATCAAAAACTTGTAATCGATTGGAGCTAGACATGTATTCTATTGCATGCTGCCTCAATGTTTTATAGAACAAGCTTTCATTCGCGAGGTTGAGGGTCTTCGGTTCGATTTCTGGGTACAGGTTTATGGATGAGCACTAATGAGGAATCTCATACTGGGATAGAACGGCTATTCAGTGCTTCCAGCTTCTCAATAGTGGTTAAGCTAAAGTATGTTCGCTATTTAAGTTATAATAAGTCTATTATTCTTATGACATTATATTATGAAGTGTCGATTCTTTCTGAATTCTTGTCTAACGGATAGACTTGTCCTGATTTACTTAAACAGCTCGCTGAGTAATCGATTACCTTTCAAATAATAAACACAGTAGGACGACTATATAGAGTATTTGAATATTCATGTCCGAATAAATCCTTAGTTTATGAATGAAAATGTATCACAAAAAAGTACAGAGTAAGCAACTTAAGATCCAGTTCTTTACACAATCAAGGAGTATACACAATCACTATATAAATAGAAGCTTGAATAACTCACAATTCACCTGATGTACAATATTAACCCATGGATACATAGATACTGTTGACCTTACCAATGTATCTAAAATAATTTCCAGTGAGGATATTGCTTATTTTTAATTTTTATTAGGATTTCATTCAGAAAACTTTGTAATATTTTACGTACATAGGTCTATTGTTTAGCTAAAATCATATACATATCGTCATTTATGCGCATGAATCTTTGCTAAATATGCGAAGAGGGGATAAAATGCATGATCATATTTTAATTAAGTGTTATATTTAATAAAACATTCTTTTGTATTAATTTGGTATTATATATTCTCACAACGGGGATTCGTGAAGATTGGAGTATGTCCACATTTGAATTTACGAGTCGGTCTAAGCTCGATCACTAATGAAAACCTGGAAGCACTGGATGACCATTTCATCCTAGTATGGGACTCTTCTGTAGAGCTTATTCACGATCCCGCACGCGGATTTCGAACCCAGGATTTTCGATCGCGTGAGCGAACTCTTAACCTCTAGACCACTTACTTAAGCTGCACTCTAAAATACTTCTAGATATTGATGATCACAATCTGGTATAGAATTATTTAGAGTTGCCTGTTTAATATTCGGTAAGAAAACCCTACTTACTTGCCCAAATGACTTTTGCAGCCAATGGCACACTGAAGTGTACGACAAAAAGACATTCACTCTAGTAAAACAGTCATTAAGCATTTATAGGACCCATAAGAAAACTGTTGTCAAATACAAAACACAATAAAAATGACTGACGGACTATTTAAAAATTAGGAGAAACATTCTCATGATATTAAGCAATATTATATCCTGAAAATGTAAAGACCTGTTTTGCATTTCAAAAAATCATCCGAACACTTACCGAATATAACTGATAGGTTGGCATTTAAATAACATTTTATATGAAGCCCAATAACGTTGAAGTAAGATTCGATTATTGAATTCGGTCGGCGCCAGAGTATTACCAGCAGGCTGTAAGTAATGTGACAGATAACTAGACTAAAATGAGTTTTTTTCAGCGAATAAATACTTAACTGATTGAGTAGTGAAAAATGACTTGTTGAAGTTGTTATATCCTAGTGAAGATTAAATTATGGGTAACTTCTGAGACCTATAAATGGACTAATATATATATATATATATATATATATATATATATACTTAATGTATAACTTTACAGTAGCTAGATTGTGTATATCTATATTCCTCTCATTATAAGCTTTATTTTGACCTATAGATCATTATTATGCGATTTGCTGTTCTTAAGTTCTGTTCGGTTTATTGATTACAGTCTCTCATGTTCACAGGCACTTTTAGGCTTGGTTTTGTAGAAATGTTATTTCCTATTTTATAGTGTGATGTGGTCTGTTTGACTGGTATGTAAACCAAGTATGATTGAAATAAATAATTAGCATAGTGGAGGCTGTTATTGGCGTTCTGGATTCAACCAGACGGGCTAGTTGAACAAAAGATCAATAAGGACGTTAAACTGCTCGAACCGGTCGAACGTCATTGATTTAGCACAGTAATAAGAGTGAATGTCATATTTCGATTGGCGAATAAATCACGTGATAACTAGCCGAGCTTAAAGACAACAGAAGTAAAAAAGAACAACAAAGTAGGATGAGTTGTAAGACCAACACTTAACATATCATACTAAAATATGGTAGTTTATCATGAGAATGACCTAGCGAAATCTTAGAATAAATAGATTATGGCTAGCTCTGGAGACCAATACAAGCATTCCGTCCTGCTTGGGACTGGTCGGATGAATAAGCTTGCAGCTCAGTGTTGATATTCACATTGGAGCTGGAAAAGAATTGTAAATATCATCACGGATAGTTCAGCGAAATATGGTGATAACAGCCTAATGTAAATTTGTAATGAACTTAGAGAGCTTACATTAATAAGTCAAGATAATGACTTCAACCATGAGAGACAGTCGTTATAGATGGACAAATGTATCAAAATTTTAGAATATTATTTGTCGGATCTTAAATTACTGACCGAGTCACACTGTGTTCCTTGCTAAATTCTGAGGCCTTGTATTCTACTCCTGTATACAAAAGTCAGTTTCCCAATCCTGATGAATTCCCAACCTAAAACGAATTAACTATACAATACACTCGATTATATTGCAGTGTTCCATTAGTTGAAATCATCTAAAAAATTTATACAAAAAACTTTTACTTCCATGTCCTATTCAGTGAAAATAATATTTGTGAATTTTTAAAGAATGAAAACCATTAATTTAAGTAGTAAAAAACAAACTGAAATGTGTTCCCTATAAGTTTACCCAATCACCTTTATCTCAAAAAATAACACCACAATTTCTGTATTAGAAAGGATGACATTAAAGAAAAACAATAATAGATAAAAGTATTTATTTCTTTGATTTTCATTGAAATGAATTCGTTATGAAAGTAAACAATATGTACGTAGAATTTCGTTGAAAATGAAAACAACGCAATAATCGTATACAATAAATCAGTAAACTGAATAACAAAAATGAAAATCATGAAGTGAATATGTAATTTGTAAGCAAATGATTGAAAAATAACAAATAAACTTGAAGGCTTAGATTATCAGTCAAACTTTCAATGTTCAAGTATTGTGAGTTATATTGAGCACTTACAGTGGTTAACCCTATGGCAAGCCCATACAGATCAATTTATTCCTTCTTCTTGAGTCAATTTTGACCATGTCAATTATTCGTCTCTCTTCGCCTCAATTTGATCTGACTATGAATAACGATTCACACTTGGTTAAAGAGATTAGGTTCACACGCCCTCTCCACCGCACGTCATTTTGTTTCGCCCTCTTCTCTTCAGTTCGCCCCTCTGATTATCTTTCTAGGTTAATGAGTGTACGAAATATACGTATTCAAAAATTCATTCTCATAATTTGACTTATTTAATTCTTTATTCACTGACGCGACCAAAGTCGATGATAATATACGAGTGACAATAGGTATATTTCAATAACAATACTATTTAAATGGAGTCAGATATAGGGCCACTAAAAACTTTCGATGTTTTTTTTCGTCTAATAATTAGGTTGTTATTGCATATCAGAGTGAAATTCTCACCAGAGATTTCATTTCAAAATCTAACTTTCAACTTATTTGTGTTGTTTTTATTCTATAGTTTGAGTTGCGCTACACTGACATGTTTGTAACGTATAGTCACCAATAACTCCAGACTCTTTAAATGAAACTTTCAATAAGAACTACAATACATAGTACCCACCTACGAAATGAACGAGAAAATGGCCGACAGTACTGAACATAATACATAATACTTGAACACTGAGAACATGATGAATAATCTCAAGCTAAAATGAAATGTGTTTTCATTGAAAACATAAAATTATGGTACAAAATAAGATGAAGATCAACAACTAAACACCAAATTATACATACACACATACACAGTAAGATAAACAAAGCTTCAACATATCAAACAGTTAGTGAGTGAGTATACTAACACAAATAAGGTTATAACATCAATTATTTTACATATAACTGATAAGCAACCTAAACAAAAAATGGATGACCTAAGAAAAATAGGTTAAAAAGTGTTCGATACATAGAATATCAATACTCGAGCCATTAATGGGTAAATGATAATGTTTTAGGCATTAGTTTGGAGTCGCCATTTACAATTATACTATTAAGAGAGTTCTTTGGGGTTTAACTAACTTCATGTTGTTAAACCCTAAGTGAATACTTTTTCTTCATGTTATGATTGGAAGTAGTGTATTCTGGAACTAGTAGACAATCGTTAGGAAGATGAACTCAGAATCTTCAGAGAACTGATATTTCTTCAAAGATCCAAGCCTACATCAGTCGGTGTTGGTAGAATTTGATCAACAGTAACGAGATAAAATGACATCGTTATCTATTCAGTGAAGAATAAATGTTAACATGATAATATTGCAAGAGGTAATGAAGTTTGAAGACTACTTGGTTGGGGTCTGATCAATTACGAATCATAACTGTATCATACGTAAACACAAGCTAAAGAAAAAAGTAGACATCAAAGTGTACTCAAGTATTGAATAAGTCCTGAGTGTCATTTGGGTTAGCTTAGCGACCTTATTAACATATTATTTCACAGGAAATTCGAAATAAGAATGTAATGTGAACCAGTGACTATGTGTTCTTATGTATGGATGTATGAATATTAGCTATTTTATTAGAGGATGAATGATGTACAAAGAATCAAAAGAGATATGAATGTATGAACCAACACGTTTGATAGTTTTTTTGTGTAAATCACTAAGCTTAGATAAATTATTTATTGGAATCAATCAAGCCAGTGTGGATGGCACAGGAACTTAGAGATGGGATTGCATAAGTTTCGCAGCACAAAAACATTTCAATTAAATTGAAGATGTGGACTACAATGAAATGAAGACATCATACTAAGACATCTGTAAGCATGGAAATTAGTATACGTTGTCGAAAAGTAAAGTACTTCTACGAGAATTTCAGAAGCCTACACCTTAACTCACACTTTATAGTGGGCTGTTAGAAGCAGTCGCAAGGTTAGCGTAGCTGAGTAATTGTGCAAGTGCTGGTGATTACGTGACAGATGAGGTCAGTTTAATTATAGAGAAATTCAGAGCGGCTAATGACAATTTGGGACGCCTTTAGTATAATCGTGATGTTAAATCAGCTATGAAAGGTCGAATTTACAATGTGTTGGTGAGGGTAATATTGCCCTATTCTTTTGAAACCCAGCCGAATTGGAGAATCTCAGGGTCCAATCATCGTTGTATCCGAAGGACTGTTGGAATCTGACAAATAAACCGTGTTAGAAAGGCCGGGGTTCAACAATGTGACTTTGAGAGCAGTCACGAAAGCTCAACTGATGTTGCTATACTGGTACACTGATTTAGGTAACGTGGATAGTTTTTACGAATGTTATCTACATTGCAAATTATTTCCCCGCGCTAGGGCTGGGTGGTAGAAAGCAGAGGTTGTCAGTTTATAATAGATAATCGTGGAATAAAAGAGAACTATAAATGATTGGAGGCATCTATTCGTCCAACACGACTTCCTGGTTGGAATCCTAGCAATCATGCAACTCAGTTGCTTAATATATTATCAGACATTATTCTAAGCAGAAGGCTATGGCGATGCTATTACAGTTTTGAGTTACACTGTATCGAAAAATGAGAGAAATTCCCTTTACATGAAAAAATCCATTTTGGCTATATGTACTCTGTTACCCCTTCTTAATTTCTTCTTCTGTATTTTGTGTGGTACACACTATTAAAAGTACACAGATGCACCAGGTATTACGTATTAAATAAATCATAAGATATAAATGTTCAGTAGTTTATTCAATAATGAGGTTGTAAGAAAATATTGCTGAAGCGTTTCAAACTAGGAACAGATGATACATATCAAGTTCATGGTTTTGACAGTTCACTATGTTGTATCAGTTCATGATATAAATCATCTTCAATGACTTATCATTATATTTTTATATAAAGCGAATTACACAACAAATTGAATGTGATCACACATATAAAACAATAAATACATCCAATAAGAAAAACAAATTTGTTTGAAACATCATTTACAATAACCATGTTCCATATAGTCCTTGATAATGTGTAATTGTGATATTACAACATATATAAGTAATCATGAAAAATGTGTAAACAAAATAGTATACACCATTTTGTGAGGAGGAGGAAGAGGAGGAGGAGGAGGAGGAGAAAGAATTTTAAAAGAAGAACAAATTAAAAATACTAATTTGATGAAAAGATATAATGTGATAAATAAGCAAACATATAAACAGATAAGCATATATAATTTAGACACAGATCTACTTACCCCATAACAACTGGGAGATATTGTTTTTTGTTGTAAAGTTATTAATGATAACTTTTCAGTTGGCTAATTTCATGGCACAGAAAATTTATACGCGTGTATAGTTTAATGTTAACAGAAGGTACATAACAAAATTTTACACTTAAATTATTATGAACTATGAAAGGCATAAAGTGTGATAGAATAGTTGTTGAGTGATTTAAACACTTGATTTTTTGGTTACAGTAACCTTAATTTAAAAAATCACTATATCTACTTCAATTCAATCAACTGGGTAGTGGTAATAGAGTAGTAGTAAAACTATCCAACAAATAAACAGTATGACGCGAAATCAGGTATATCCACATACAGTTGGTCAGTGAATTGTATCAAATGAAAAATTAAATATATAGATTTAACTATCACACTATAACAACAGTGATGTGAAATTATCAAGATAAATGCCAGAATATAAAAAGTAGTGACAGTATCAGTGGTAGTGGGAAACATTAGGAAATAGATAACACGACTCAATAAAAAAGCCATATTAAAAGGTGGAAGATAATTTTCAAACTCGACATCTAAAGGATAATAATGAGTGAACGCATCTACGCCATTGTGGTCAATTCTAAACCATATAATCTAGCACTAGTATCAGCCATTGGTTACGATGACCGCGAAAACCCCAATTTTATAGTCTTCATTTGCTAGCATAGCTTCATTCAACAATTTATACCGCCAAATGCCCTGGTACAGCTAAGGGTAAGATAAATCCTACCACCCATGCAAAATGTTTTCGTACTGTCATTTATTTATAGTCACTGGAAACGAAGTCCTATTTACTACTTTCATGTGGTGAGGTTGTCATTTAAGAAAATAGAATGACAAGAAGCGAACGTCCAGCGCTTAAGTAGGGTCGGTGGATAAAAATGGTCCATCTACGGGAATCGGAAAGTTCTGATTCCAAACAAACGATATAAATGGGTTCAATGATCCTATAGAAACGAATAATGTATGAACCTATTTTGATCACAGGCTACCGTGAAACGATATCTCCTAACGTTATTTCACTGTCTTGTGGGTTAGGCCTTTAGATCCAGAGCCTGGAAAATATCTCAGTACATACATAAATAATATTTCTTTGGTGCCCAATTGCACCAACTGTTATATTAATTAAGGAAACGCCTAAATCCTGAGCTTATATCAAGTTTTTTTCAACCTACTAATTCCTGTACCAGTAAATATCACAAGTTGTACCTCGAAGCAAATGCTGAAGTAGATGGATTTGCTCGATTTTTATTTTCACAGGAATAATACATTGATATCAAAGAACAATGAGACATTATTAGTAACATAATGATGAAATAATTTTTTTGGCAAAAAGGCGAACAAAATTGCAAGAAGATGAAGATGTTTTAAACACGATAAGTATTCATCACTAATAGCTACTATATTATTGAATACGAAATAGTATACAACGACTAGAGTTATTCACACTGATATCATGATATTTAAGCAAGACTGATAGAAAGTGTTCAACAGTGAAACTATGAATTAATTCAACATGATAATCATTCACTTGAACATTCCATTGCAAATTGGTGATTGGAAGTAGTCGGGAAGAAACTGTGGATATAGGTTTCGTGCTACTTGGCAATCGTCAACAATCTTTAACAATAAACTATCTCTATAACTGTTGTTCACACGTTTAAATAAATCCATAATTCTACTAAATTTAGCCTGCAATAAATACTAAATTAACGGGATACTATTTATTGGAGTCACATATAGGGGAAATTAGCCTCTACACAATCATAATGGTTATCGATTCACGTATTATCAGTAAAAAAAAAATCTGTTTTGATGAGAAATAAAAACTACATCGGTTATACTGAAGCCGGAATTTAATTCATATAATAAATTACCATGGTGGTCGTGTATAATGATAAAGAGTCCGACCCTAGGACGAAACAGTTATCCAATGCCTCCTAATTTTCAATAGTTTCTTACCTATAATCAGTCTGTCTTAATTAAAGGCTATTACCAACTAGTCTAATGACCGAATAGCTCGATTTTCAACTAATGAGTTGAGAGTTTAAACTGAGATCCACTTACTTTAGTTTTTTTTAAAAACTTGATAGTATTGCTAATTCTAACTCAAACGACATGGATCAAAGCTGACAAAAATAAACTGTTACAATTTGTAAATGAGTTCGACTTGAAATTATATTTCATTTCATTTTATTTTATTCACCAAGTATTCATCAACGGACATACATGTTTTCAAAATCGAACAAAAATACACATAGTAAATGAAACCAGTCTAATAAGCCATTCGATTCAAAAAATAATAATTAACCATCAATTACAATCTCGGCTGACTTATGGAGGATTATAATTGAGAAAAAAACATTAAAGAAAGAACACTTTGTATTGGTTGTTTGGATCTTCTAACTGATGTTTAGGAGTGTAATCGACAAGTCTCTTGTTAGTATATGTGCATCCTGTGCGAATTACCTTGATATTACCTTAAGTCATAAGCATTATAAGCAGAGATGAATGATGGCTAGATGTGGAATCCAGGTCGAATCCTAAAAACGATGAAACACGCGTCCTGGATTCCATTGCTAGCAACTATCTAATTCTACTTATTAAAAAACAATTTTTCAGGAACACCAACTTCATCATAGAACAAACAAAAAATGAGAAACCTAAATGTTTCATGCAGCCCGAAAACGATTTCCAGTACAATATAGTAAATATTCATTTCAAAAATAGAATGTCATAGAATCATCAGTTTATAATATATAACTTTGAATTGTTTTACTGATATCAAGGCATATGAAAAATTTTCTAATTATCTTAGACATTTACAACATTATTGTTTGAAAATCTTGATGACATCTTTGTTGTAAGAAAGCTAACAATACGTATTCATTAGTATAGGGTTGTAGAGATTGTTGAGTTTCAAGTGAGATCATGGACCAGTCAACGTTTTTTGAGCGTGACCGAGGATCCTGGATTTGAATCCCGAGTCCGGGGTCGTGAATGAACAATGATAAGTAGTCCCATGCTAGAGTGAAACGGCTGTCCAATGCTACTAGGTTTTTAAGGGTAGCTTAATATTGATCAGTTCACGATCACAATTTAAATACTTAACCAGTTGGCGTGCCACTAAAAATCTATTGATACATTATTGATTTTAAAGTCTCTACATCGTACACACAGAACCTGAAAGCGGTTATAATTAGTAAGAATAATCATAATATATTTTTCCTATAAAATAGTTTTCTTTAAATAAATAATTTTTTTGTTTTACCTCATGTAATGGATAAGCAGCTGAGAAAATTCCATCCGAAATCAGTTTAGTTATGCCTAGATTTTTTGTTGCCATTACATACAATGAATTAGCTTGATTCGATGATCCCGAGTTTTCATCTGCGAGGTCATGACTTGTTACAATATCACCTATTTATGTGTTTAACAGAAATGAAAAACAGATAAGTACATAAATAGTTAAAATAACTAATGTCATATCTGGCACTGTCGGGCATTTTATCTAATTCATCTGTTAGCCTTGGATATAAGAATGTAATTTTCACTGTGAACTTCATTTTAATCACCTAAGACTATTTAGATATACTGATCTATGAACAGGGCACTGTAGCACATCCCAACTTTCGGAATGAAAAAAGCAAATGAAATGAAAGTTACAGATTAAAATGAAATCCCCAGCAGAAACTATGCTCTTATATGCAACATTCACTTATTAGATAAACAGAAAAATGCTAGATGATGTACACATATTGAACATTGAGAAGCAGATACATTACAGATTCACGGACACATATCCGAACCACTGACAAACAAGCAAACAGGCAAATGGTTACAGATATCTTGGTATACTCAAAGGTTATTTTCTTTAACGCAACTTATGACATTTTTCCAGTTAAGATTGGATTTAGAGAAGTGGCAACTGAATACTAATCCAACTATATGCTATATCAAACAAACAATTACAGTTGACTGTCAACCAATTTTTAGTTCAATGCCAAGTGTTTAATATTTAAACGATAGTTTGTATTGAATCAAAAGGAAAGTAAATATTGTCTCCTTTTACTTGCATTAACTAACCAATACATTCATTGAAGTTCAAAAGATGTAAAAAGAAGTGAACAACGAAGAATCATTGAATAGTTAAAGTATTCACATTTTATAATCAGAAAGGGGTTTTGTGGACATTATATTATATATTATATATTATGTAATGTAGAAACTGTTTAGTTTTCTCGAGCAGTTACTCTTATTGGACTGGTAGGTCCTGGGTTCGAACCTCGCGGGGGGGCAGGACCATAGATGCGCACTGCTGAGGAGTCCCATACTAGGACGAAGGGGCCGTCCAGTGCTTCCAGGTTTTCCATTGTAGTCCAGCTTCAATTGACTAATGATTTCAACTACTGAAATTTTTAAGATCCCCACAAAACCCCTTCTGATACTCTTATCATTATAATCCTCTTTCATCTAATTACTCAATATTATCTTATAGTCACTGTGACATCATATGGTGATTACGTAACCCAACTACTTAATGAGTATATATATGAAACACTAATTAAAGAGAAATTCCTTCGCTGTATTCGTTCTTTCTACTAATCTATATCATTTTGTACAGTAGGTAAGTGACCTAAATATTTTTTAAAAAAACAGACTAAAACTAAGTACACGAAATTAATTCGCACCGATTAATGAATTCAACATCATTAAACAATGATCTTGTGTTAATTAGTATAGACAAAGATTATTATAGTTAGATACGGTTGCGACAATTTTGATCAGTATAAAACCTCGTATAACTTGTAGCTAAAATCAAAAATATAAATGTCAGACATTTTAGTATTTTTCTTCACTTCCTACTTCATTTAGGTAACAGACTGTTTAGTGAAGAAAAAAAGTAGTTTTCTAATCAATCTTTATTTGAGAATAAAGCATATTGCATTCGATATAGAATTTAATAGTTAATAACTTCCAGAAATAGATAATTTTGTAAGCATTCAATTCTGATGCTAGTCTTATAGTCTAAATGTTAAGTGATTGGCAAAAAAACCCGAAAGATCCTAGATTCAATCACGGTAGCTTCATGAATATGCCCTGATAGAGTACTTCTATACTAAGAAGCACTTCACGATACATGATATGATATTATAATAAGTTTTCTTCATTTTCTCCAGTGAGTAACTGCGTCACACCCGACACGGTTGAAGTCTACTGGTCACTCAACAATCTCCACAAACCCAAACTGAAAATTATCATGTGCTCACTAGTGACTAGTTTCGAGAGGTAATTCTCGGAGTTCTAATGAGAAGCCGTGACCAGTGGAGTATTCTTTATTAAACAACACTCGTGAAATTGGTGAAACGTTATAGCACAACAGGAAGTTTTCATCAATCCGGTAGATATTTGAATTATACAACCTTCTATTGGTTTCCTTGATGGAGATTGGATTTAAGCAAATCGAAATTGTAAAATGATGAATCAAATATTAGTATAAATGGATATTTATAAAAGAAATGAACTTCAATCGATAACAGAAAATACTCTCCCTCTCTCTCGCATGAACATATACATATATATATTCGGAAATCTTACTAATGCTAGGTTCGTATAGATCTTCAGTATTCACTAAATCCTCTGATTTATAACCGGTACGCCGTAGAATATGATCTAAGACAAGAGCTCGTTCGACTGCAGTGAAAAATTCATCTTTATTTTCTGGTATATCAAATCTATAAATAAATGATAAAACATAAGGATATATATATAAGAAGTGACCTATATGAGAATAATGATAATGATAAAAGAATGACAACCCATCCTACAGATTTATATAGAATACATGTATTGTAACTAGCATCGGAATCCAGCTCTGCTCTATACAGCTTGTGACAAAAAGGCTACATTAAATTAACTGGTACAAGGTGTATATATCCCAACAAAGGTTGGTAAAAATCCAATCCTGAATATCAATCGGATAATTCAAACACTAAACTTTGGAAACAACAGTTTGAAAGAACAAATTACATCGAACTCAAGAAAGAGAAATAAGTAATTTAACAACTGCAACATTTTAGCCAGCTGTTCACTACGTTATTCACTATCTATAAACTTCGATAAAGATCATTACGTGACCTCCAACAAAGAAGTCTAGATCTACCGATATAGATCACATCAACAATAAATGGCTTTATAAATTGATGATAAGTCATGATCTGTAAGTGCTAACACTTTATTCAACATACTCATATGTCAGCCACTGTTGCACACGAAAATATGAGGTTGTTATGCATGCTTAACATACGTCCTAACTCCCACAGTCGATGAGGGTTTATCGCTTCACCAAGAAAATATTTACCATAAAACATATTCATACATCTTAGACTGATATTACTTAATCTAACTATCTAACATGAAATAAATAGAAAGGACCAAAAACAATCAAGATTAAATTATCAGCCTCATAGACCGATTTAAGTGATACAACCATTAAGAACCAAGAAATACTGGAGAGCTGTTTCGCCGTAGTATAGGCCCAGCAGTCTAAATATTTGGCTTTCACCGCGAGAACTAAGCGTCCTGGATTATAAGCAGAGATGATGACGACAAGCAGCGAAATATAGGACACGCGTTTCGATCGTTTTGGGACTCGTCAGTTGGATATACCAGCATAACAGAGTTGATGTTCACTACGGGACTCCAACCTAGTAACGTTCGCTTCAAACCTCATCGCGTTATCCACTTACATACACAGTCCTGATAGCTACAAGCTTGTGCAATCAGGTGAAGTTTAATCCATTTTTGTATTGATTGTTCGAATCTTCTCACTGATGTTTAGGATTGCAATTGATTAGTTTCTTATTGGCATATGTGCTTCCTATGCGAATTGCCTTAAGTCATAATCGCTGCTTATAATGTTTGTGACTTAAGGAAATATCAAGACAATATGCACAAAATGCACATATGCCAATAAGAGGCTGATCAATTGTTTAAACAAACAATACAAAAATGAATTAAATATCCTGGACTCGATTCTCGGTGGGAAAGTGGAAACGCACTATTCATAAGTCCCAAACTAGGACTAAACAGATGTTCAGTACTTCCTTGTTTTCAATGATTGTCTAACTAAAATCATTGGGTGTTGCAAACCATGATATGCAGCAGTCGTCATAAACCTTCTGAAGTAAAAATCAATACTATTTTGCACAAACCTCATAGCACTAATAAAAAGTGTAACAACTTACAAGTATTGCTTATTCAGTGAAAATGGCCAAGTACAACATGAATCGATTGGTTTGATAATATTTTTGTCCGACTGTAAACATTTAAAATAATCTTTTAAAACAGAAGGTTTAGGTGGTCGGTTCTCCAGCTAATTAGAAAATGAAAACAAAACAAAGAACTAATGAACAAATAAACGTATTTTTCTTGAAAAAAATAGGTAAACTACAGACTAATATGACAAATAAATAGTGACCAGTAATGGAATTCAGGATGTCCATTCCGTCCTAATTAGGACCCATCAGCCGGATGTACCTGGATTCTAGTCAATATTCTTGTTGGGACTGAAATTCAATACTAGAAGGCATTACAATAATTAGAATTTTGACATGGGAGACAAAGCATGAAATTTATTTACGGAAGATACAAATAGAGGATAAAACCATATTACTTTTGGTCTGTCATCTGTACGTTAGAATTATGTATTACAAAGATTGGAGACTGATAAGCGGTCTTCTAAATTACAGGAATAAAGCTCAGTGTATAAAATAATGGCATTTGAGGTGACAGGTGCTAGGTTCGAATTTCATTGGGAATAATAACACTGGGATGCAGGCATGTCCAGCTGACGAATTAGAAATAGGACAAGGCGAGTGTTCCGGTTTTCACTGATATCCATTATCCAGCCTTATCAAAGTTTTAAATATTAGTTCAAATGATCCTCTACTCACAGCAGTTAGAACAGAAATGTTTTTATAGTAGACGAAAGAAAAGTCGTAAACGATTTAAGCTAATAGGTATGATTCAGACGACAATCGAGTAGCAACATGTTGTTATTCTTCATAAACCATACGATGTAATTAGGCCAACTATGAAACAATTCTTGATTATATTTACACTTCGGGACGATCCTTTAAAATATTTGTGTTGTTACTATAATATATGTTTGACTATGAATATACTCCCAACAATAAACTCACGATTCCTGTTACTGTATCCATCACATAGTTGATAGATCATGCAAACTACAACATCCCTATACAGCTGAGTTGGAACGCCAAAAATTCAGATAACTAGTTACAAGTACGTATATTATTCAGATTTATAACTCAGTTTTTCCAAAGTACATGACCGAGACGCAAAATAATTTTAAAACAGTGTTGACTGATCTGTGATGTATGAACGGTAAAAGGCACATCATCAGTAAATGAGTTATAAGAGGGTTCATAAGTTGAGTTATACGACTATTTATTAAATACTTATTAAAATATATTTATAGCTCACTCCTCCCTCTTTATTTCTCAACAATGTAGTCATTTGGTTGTGTAAAGTATATTTTTTGGTTCCTTATTGCAACATGATGCAGGAGGTATAATAATATTAAAAACTTACATACTATTAACAGTAAAGCCATAGGAAGAAGCAAGAATTTTAATCAAACTACGTTTCTTGATGAGGTATTTACTAGATTTTTATTAAATAAGAAATAAACCCTAGTATACTGAACCAAAACTATATTCTTCAAATAAAATGTGACCATGATAAAATAACCTTACTGTGAAAAGGGTTTTGGCGCGTCATTATTACACACAACACTGAAAAATTGAAGAACGCAGAAACCTAGCATAAATTATATACTCTAAGCTAGTGAGATTCTCCTATGATTTGAAGGCTGAACATGATACCTTCATGTTAAAATCTTGAGGAAGCCTTTAAAGTCAACAGCTCATAAATCAGACTACAATTTAATCACTGAACGATCCTATAATAAAAATTTAGAAGTGTATGATTTCCGTCCAAATGACAGACAGTTGACTTATCAATAAGTTCTACTCGGATGGTAGACTACACTGAAATTTCAGAATACATCACAATCAATAATTTGATGAAGTAAACTTGATCACTGATAATGGCGATCAAACTACACTACTTGGTATGAAAAAAATTGATAACGATTATAGACATTCATATGATACTAATTGCTAGTTGGTTACTGGTTCGCTTAAAATAAACATTTTAATTTGTGTCAGCCACATGTAAATAACGTAGGACCTGAAATAAACGTGGATCGGTTCAATTTAGCACATTCGAGTCCTAGCATAGATTGCACGTGAGAAAGAGAGGTGGAGTTAACGAAAATGGATTGGAAAGTGATAGAAGGGAATTTAGGGAAGAAATAAGAAAATAGTTAACAAACTGTGTCGTTAACTGACACTTTACGGCTGTGTTATGTTCTTCGGCCTCCAATTCAGATATACACACTTCCTATACGCTAACTCAATCAGCTATACGAGTGAGAACTGAGAAATAACCAGAAGGCTTTAATTGGCAAACTGAATGAATAGACACACATATAACTGCAATATTTACCTTTGTCCTTCTAACTCAGACAATAACATGTACGCTGAAGCCTTGACTAAGAGCACAATAGACTTTCTCCAATAACATGTCTCAACTATAATCTCTTACTTACGCTTTGATCTAGAAATGACATGCGATTGCTGGTAAGTTATATGTCTAGCATTAATTACCCAGTCTATTGAGAAGAACACTTCGTTTTGAGGAATTCGAAGAAATTGGATTAAAAATGTGGCCCGATTAAAATGGCTCAACTGAGTTATCAAAAACAGACCTGTTCATAGCGTCCGAATAAATGTCAAGATTTAGACATGACCTGTATAGGCGCTGACGCTACACACATAAGATAGCCAAACTTGTCCAATTTAACTTATACTACGTATTTAATATAAATGATTTGCATATGTAACCAACAGCGAGAGACACTGAACCCGAAATATACTAAATAAAATAAAGTCATCGTAGAAAGCAAAACAACAGATCAAACTGATCTATAAGTATATATAGGGGTAATTCTCAAGATATTTTACACAGTTTGTTTAATCATACAATTAGCGTGATCATTATCTCACAAATGACAGAAAAAACGCAATTGATTCAGTACATTACACAACAACTCTACATCACCGACAAAATTAACTAAACAAAAATGATTTAAAAACTTTTATGCTGATGAGACTGACCGACAAAACTACATTGAAATCCACAACACCAATTCAATGAAAGTAACTTCATTCATTCATTCATGTACAGAGTTTTGTTGAACCCATTAAACTTTTCTCATAGTTTACTATGTGAAATCATTCAAATGGTGAGTTGATTAAACACACAAATTATACAGTGAAACAGAATAATAATTAAAAAATACTACATTATAACAACACAAACGAGAATATATTGAAATCAATAGACATACGTAAAGAAAACGAAAAGGGATAACGAAGAAAAAAGGTCAGTAAAATGATAGTTCAAACATTAGAACAAGACAATAAACCATAAATCAGTCGGATTTTTATTTAAAAAGATAACATTCCAAATAATTATAATGATAAATGAATCCATTTCCATTCAATGTATTTATGGATCTTCATAAAGATCTAAGAGAAACTGAGTAGTTTTGAGAAAACTACAATGTTTTTCTAAAATGGTTATCAACTTTACCAAGGGAAAATAAAAACAAGGTATTGAATACACTCATCCAATGGTTTAACAATAGGTAAACACAGTGAAAATATATAATATGGTCATATTGTCAACAAACTTTAAATATGAAACAATTTTATCACATCAACAAAAGTAAGTTGTAATCGCCTATTTCAAAGAACCTTCAAATGTTAAAGTATTTTAAACTATTGGAATGAAATTCCAGTATAATGTGAAATGACACTGGGATACGAAAGAAAACTATATAGGACTGGTAACCTTTTTCATTGCCTGGCTAGGGGGGTCCTAGAGATTGTACAACTCGGTAACTTGAAACATTAACAGACATAGCTTAGAATAGAAGACATTAATGATTGCGCTGTGGTTTCTTTTTACAATCGTCGTAATAGTAAGAGGAAATGCTTTAGCTGGAAGAATTCTTTCTTGAATGCATTTTAAACTGAATATTATGACGCTTATTGTGTACTATTCTCACTCATATATTCATTCTTTATTGCATTCTCTTCCCCCCTCCTTTAATTTTTCAGAATATTGTCGCTTTATTCTGTATAGTGCATACTATTTTTGAAGTGACCAGTTGTACCAGATTTTATGTGTATTATATAAGATAAAAATAAGGATAGTAATAGGTTGAAAAGTCCTTAGAGGAGTCAGGTCAAGATTTGTTACTGTGTAGTTCCTAGCCGTTGATCAATACAATATAAAGAGGTGTTAGCTAGTAGTTATCTTGGTTCCTTCAGGAAAGAGAGGTGGCTGTCGAGCAACATAATGCACAGATGTATCCAATATTTTTTGCGTAAAACAAAATCTGAAATATCTAGGCTTAGCGTTATTAGTTTATCCATATCACTTCAGTTGACAGTGATAAATGATATTGATACATAAAATATTAGTAAATAGTAAAGGCAAAATAAATAGTGGAAGGTTAGTTACTTGTCATTTTATCAACAAGCTATGGAAAACTAGTAATATAAACACACACAAACACATGCAAATGTGTACACAAATCAAGGTCACTATTCGTCAGAAAGCAAACACATGCATGCGTACATTTACCGTTCAACAGTATGAAAATAACATACTTACTTTCCAACCATAAGCTAGCTGAAAAATTTTTATGTTTGTATACAACAACAAGCCAGCAAAAATATTGAATTAATTGCTATCAATCATTACAGATAAAAATAGGGATGGATACACCTACAGTATAATGGATATTTATGGTAATATTGGTAGCAAGAAATTTTAGAATATACTTTAATGATAATCTAAAGTATTGGGTGTTGCGGTTGGAAACCAACGCGGTCAATCACTGGTTCCAAGATAGACATAAATTGATCTTAGCTATATCAACATTGGAAATCTAGAAGCAATTGACGGCTATCTCGTCTTAGTATGAAACTCCCCAACAGTGCACATCCACGAACACACACAGGAATCGGACCAAAGACCATCGGTTACTCGCGCGGACGCTTAACCTCTACACCACTGAGCGGAATCCAACGGTGTTAATGTCCAACTTCGATCAATCCATGATCTTGTGCAACCCTTTATCCATTCCCTATGGTGGATAATTATATTACATGCGACATGCATTGAACTCCACTGGTCACAGCTTTTCATTAGGACTGTGAAAATACTACAAATCCCGTATTATACTATTAGTTTACTGAACAACAACAGACAACCTTGCTCTAAGTACTAACATTTTAATAGAATCTATTAATATTCGTTATGATAAACATTCGATATTCATAGAAAAAAGATTATTCAAATAAATAAGTATTCTACATAACACTGTTAACCATGATCGAATATCCTATAAAGAACCAACTAATAATGTCACTAAGAAATTTGTTTAAAGACTAAAGAGGATACTAAATAGGTTATATTTTTAATAATGTCACAAAATGATTTACAGAATGTATATTTAAACATTGAATAGTAATCATTTCATAAAGTTGACTAAGTATACCTCAGTAGTTCAGTTATTCAACTTACAGAGGAAAAAATTAAATCCCATTTCATTTTGACCAACCGAGTATAATATCATTAATCTTTACAATTAAAATGTTATATATAAAGTCAAGTACAATAAGCCAAACAACAACAACAAAAAAAAAACACAATTATGAATGAAAACATTGTAAATTCATTGATGTCGATTGTTTTAATTATGAACTAAGTAATGGTTGCCAATATTTGCAGTAAAACGAATCAAGCACAAATAAATTGTTCTGTTACTTGTTTGTTTTTAATTATTACAATAGAAATCAATGTAATTATGAATGATCTAAATGATTCATTTAAGCATTACATAATAAAGAAACAAACTTTATGTATCTTAATTATTGTTTGTTTATCATTTTAACTTACTTGAAAAATTTTATCAGACTTTAAAAATTAATGTAAACACAATTAGAGTTGGATATAAAATATAAAGAATTAACTAGTGGATAATAATTAATCGAGATATTGAACAATTATCTTTGATCATCTTCGATGAATCATTGCTTTACACTTGACATGGTTTAATTTCACTGGCTGGTTATAAGCTTCGTATTATAACTCCAGGAATTACCTCAAAATTAGTCACTAATGAATATATGATAATTATCGGTGTAGAAAGTTTGTAAAGATTTTCAAATGTTACTGAGATCAATAAGTGGCCTTGGTTAAACAACCACTGAAACCACGATGCACTGGAGAGTTGTTTTTCTTTTTTTTCCTAGTGAAAAAATTTCTGAATAGTGTGTATCTACAACCTAAACGGTGATTAGACTCAGGTCATTCAGATCGCACATAGCGTATGACTTTTAGACAATTGAGCCAGTATACAATTTTTTATATGTCTAACCTCAATCAATCCTCAATATTGCTTAGACATTCTCTATTATCTTCTGAAGACAACTGCTTCGCACTAGACACTTTTGAACTCTAATGGTTATGGCTTCTCACTAGAACTCCGGAAATTATCTGAGAACATAATTTTTGAGATCATGTTTTAATCCTACTAAGTTTGGTTGTTCACTCAAAGAAAGAAATTAGAGACTATTAATTTAGGTTGTTTGAGTTTTGTATGAAATTTGGGTAGCCACCGAGTACCACCTGTAGTGTTAATACAGATAGTATCTTAAATAAACGAGTTTCATCATTAATTATGTGTGTCTGGAAGTAACATCACTTCAAAAACTACCAGAAACTAGTATGTAATATACTAATTTTTTGATAATATCATTGCAGTGAGCAGGAGTAACATCTCACACTATTTGAGATTACTACCGAAAAGCAAAATGTTTCATGGTAAAAAATAAGTTATTAAATTTTGACTGCTTAATGATCACTTTGGTTGATTCAATGGTAAGTAGACTTTGATGTCCAGGCTTCGATCCCAGGCACAGTGAAGTGTTTTCACTATAAACAAATCCCAAACTAAGATGGATAAACTGTTCTAGCTCTGTTCAGTTTGTTATGAAAAGTATTTGTATATAGGTTACAGATTCAGATAAGATACAGCTTGCAATTAATAGTGAAAATTAAATATGTAACAGATAACTTGTATCTTTTCCCAGTTGAAATGTTCAGAGAGGGTAAGGAAAAAGTTTGAACAAACTATACAACATTAAAGATTCATTTTTAAATGAAAGAAATTTGTCAGAAATTTGAATCTAAAATATGGCTGAACAAAATAATCAATATTTCTGGAGATAGTTTTGAGTAGATTATTCCTGAAAATAAGGTACAGAAGCTCAGGATGAAAACACACTAGAACTCTGAGCTTGGTCTTAAACATGATGTATGGTGCAAGATCGAAGAGTAATTGGCTTCTCACGATTGTTCAGTTGACGAGTTTAGTTCACAATGAGAACTTCATAGAATAATATTTTGCTGTTATTCATGAACCCGTAAAACTCTCTTAAACTTCTACTTGAAAGAAATAATTTGTATAATATTGGATGGAAGTTGTAAAGTAATGTACATTAAAGAACTTAATACGCTAGATTCCAGTCCAGTGATCGAATATCAGTAAGTTAACTCTACCTAGGGGAGGTTAAACTAAGACCTGGCATTAGTCCATGAATTCACTGACTATTGGATAGAGTAGTGCTAGGCGCGAAGTACTTGGTTGGTGAGGTCACGATTATCGTAACTAATGATTGGAGACATTAGGTGAAATAGCGCAGATGAATTCACTCTTTGTCTTCCTTTAGTTCTTTAGTTTTAAAATCATCTCATCCTTTCTATTCTGTCAGTTTATTTTACTTTCTCATACCATTCAGTCAGTCAGTCAGTCAGTAACAACGTAGAACTTCGTACGTACGTACATCAGTTCGAGTTGCCACACCACATTAGCACAGAGATGCAGTGGTCGATTCAAATCCCGTAGTAGTAGAGGTAATAAGAGTATAAGCAGTAATCAGGAAAATTAGTGTTTGGAGATGTTATTTCAAGAGTATAATACAGTGAAATAAATTTGGGAAGAGAAAAAAAAAGAGACAAGGAGGAATAAGGAGACCAAAATTTGGGAGGACACAAAGAGTGGATGCACCTGCACCATTGCAAACGATTTTGAGCCATGTCATTCAGGGTCTCTAACCATCGGTTGCTATCATCTCGCGGTCCCCAACCAGGTAATCTACACCTACCAACATGACTCATACATGTCTCATACCATTCATGTATAACTATACTTTTCTGCTTTAACTGATACCGTTACTACTTCTATTACTCTGGTATTTGTTTTCTCAACTTCACATGATATGCTAACTAGAACATATATGCCAGGTTCTACGATCCCTACAATTAATTGACTAAGTTCCCTGTATCATACAAATAAGATAGTAATAAAGTACTCAACGGTGAATTATCAGTCATTTAATCAATCATAATAAATCAAATTAATTTTAAGTGTAGAAGTGGTAAAATGGTTTTACTTTTACCTATTATTAAGATTAAATATTGCGAAATAATTATGGAAGGTGATGAAATGTGATTAGGTGAACAACTAGTCGATGTACAAAACTTGTATCCTACAATTATTTACGCTTTTAACTTATTCGAACAACATTATTTTGTGTATCACTTTTATTTTACTAAACAATAATTTTGACAGTTGAATTGCTGAATTGATCTAAGCTAGATCACCATTGAAAACCTGGAAGTACCGGACGGCCGTTTCATCCTACTATAGGACTCCTCGGCGGTGCGCATCCACAATCCTGCACGTGGAGCTCAAACTCAGGAGCTTCAGTCACGCACGCGAACGCTTAACCCTTAGATTTCGCTTGACAGATCGTGGATGAGCACCACTAAAGAGTCCCATACTAGGACGAAACAACCGTCCAGTGCTTTCAGGTTTTCAATGGTGGCCTGGCTTAGATCAATTCATCAATTCAACTATTAGGATTACTATAGTTTCCACAAAAATCCCCATTCTCATAAACAATAATTAATATATTTCCTAACCAGTTGTACTACTTAATTATTCGGCAGATTTTGTCAGTAATTAGATGTTATCAATCAAATATGATCGAATATAATTCTATTTATCATTCAAATAACAAAAAAAGAGCTCATAACTAACCACTTTAACTAAAATAATTAACCATAGAACACTAAATGTACAAAATCATATGTATATTTTGTTATTCCTTAAGTAATGTTTGAAACATCATAGATACAGAAAACTAAGCTAACACTAATGGAATGTGTTTAGGATACAACCTTAAAACATTGTTGATATTCGTAATTATATCAATTCAACGTTTCATGTGTATCAATGCTCTGCAACTTCATTTTTATGTTTACATTTTACAATTGATATTCTTCCGTTTTGACATATAATTATTTATAATTATCTTCAATATTCTTTCTTTACAAAAACTTTAGTTTATTTATTTAGGGTATACTACTGAAGTAAATAAAAACTTGGTGGGTATAAACAATTAACTGTTTATATCAAAATTATAGAGTGTTTTTTATAAAATATGAAAATCATAAATGTAATACATTATTTGCACATCTTCTTTCAGTTATCCTTTACATGTTTCATGATTCTTTCCATTTTTGTAGTTAGAACAATTGCGCTTTATTATTTACATTTCTTTTCTCTTCAATTTAATCTTCTCAATCTTCTACTGGCAGGCATTTCACTTCTAATTGCTGCTATATACTGCTTATATCTGTCAGCATAAGTAGCATGCACCATACTGCTAGTACTACTAAGCTTTGAGCAAAATATCTTATGTGAGGAGTTGATGATACTTTCCCAAGTTGCAAAACAACCGAATCCAATGGGGTGTTGGATTCGGAAATGTAATCTAATGTTGAATATTTGAGTGTTTTAACTACTTAGTTATCATTCACATTTATTTATTCTACGAGAGCTCACTGTAAATATATGTGATAATTCGATAATAGATAAAACTGTATTTTTTTTAGTTACTGTCCACAAAATTTTGATAATTACTTAAACTCACTTGACGAAGTGGTTTACGCATTTTTAAATACTCTGCATAATATGTCATTGCTTCCCATGAAGCATGTAATTTAACAAAGACTAAATTATCTGGAGTCATCAAAATTGTTTTGTCATCCAAAGCTTGGTGACGATAACGATCCATGCACGATGGTGGACTTGTATCTGTTGGTTTATCTGGTTCTGCATAATCAATAGATGAAGTAGGCATAAGAGATTCAGAATATTCTCCTGGGTGAAGAGGTGCATTGGCCTGTAAATGCATAAATGATGGTTTAAGAGTTAATGATGAAAATTCATCTTCATTTGATGCTACAGTAGCACCAAGTAGATTACCATTAGAATCTTCAACCTAATGAGGATAAATAAAAAAAGATAGGAAAACATTATTTATAAAATTTATAATACACTTATAAAATAATGATATATCAATTAAATATATTTAATAAGGTTATTTATTCTATTGGAATGAGTAATTGAGAAAACAATATGTGAGTTTACTTGAAGAACATGCAAATTAGTTCAAAATATGATAACATACAGAAAATACATACGAGAGAAAGTTAGCCATCATCAATAAAGAACCTGGCATAAATCAAATCACTATACCAAGTCAGCACAATGAAGGAGGATTAAAAAGATAAATAAAAAAGGAATTACAATAAGTTTAGTAGAACTGATGGTGAGATAGAATAAACACTGAGTATATCATAAATGAAGAAATGAAAAGGTACGCATGAAAGGATGCTGGAACTGAAGATTTAGTGGAAGACAAAATGTGGATGAATGTTAGCGATTGTAACAAATTCTGACTAATGTCACCCAATGCCTCTAACCACCGATTTTGGTTATCACACGGACACCAACCAGGTAGTTTGCATTTTTCAATACGGCTTGGTCTGTCAGTCAACGACTTCACAGACTGACACTATCTTAGTTTGGCCATTCCTAGCTTTTTTATAACATACTCCTGCTCTAGCCCACAGCACGCTGAGGCAGGCAGTGATCAGATATACGTAACATATCTCAGTCATTTCTGTCGACGATATTTACAACCTCACTAACCAAAATCCCGACCTTGACTGGTACACTCAATTATTGTTCATCCAGTCATTCCATGATACGCAAGTAATTCTTGTAAGCCCCCAAATGCCCTGGTACGGCCGAGAGTGGGGAGAGTCCGCTCTCCCTCTCCAAATGCTCTCACATGGCCACGCGTATACAGCCCCTGCCAGGGAAGTCCTACTCACTGCCTTCTCGTGGCGGGGGTGTTGTTTACGAAAATGAGAGGACGAAAAGCGAACGTCCGGCGCTTTAACCGGATTCCAAACCAATGGTGCACATGGACTCCAGTATCCTGCGGGAACAAATGGCGTACGAACCAGTTGTTGGTCACCGGCTTCCATGGGACTGCATCTCCTTACGATGCTCCATTGCCTCGTGGATCAAACCTTCAGGTCGAAGGCTCGGGGAGTGGCCCCCTAAGAAAACCACCTGCTTCGATTTGGGCACCCAGGCAGTATCACAGCCCTCACACATACCGAATGAGATTTGTGTGGCGCATATGTATTTGGTGCCTCTTTGTAAGACATCGATAAAAAACGTACAGTTTAAGCATCTTCTACTCTAATAAACCGTCCTTTACATCTATAGAGAAATATAGACCATACATACAAGTAAATATGAAGCCTCTTTTCATTTTACTGGCTCAGTGTTTGAAAAAGTGCTATCTCACACCTTTTGTAAATAACGTTTACCAGTTTTTAGGCAACTCGAGTGGCAAACGACAGATATCCGAATCAAAAAGTCAATACAACAGAAGAACCGGTTCTGACTTCTCGCTGTTAATTACCTATAAGAGTTATAGTGATTATTTGTTTGATAAAGAGTAGTTGGTTTGTAACAACATCATCAAAATAATGAAGATTTTGCACTAAAATGTCTGTCTTATCAAAAAGACACATACGCTGTAAAAGTCGATTTCAATTAATTAGTAGTATTAAGATTTTTAGAAAATTGTTGAAAGTGCTTTTACGATAGACGCAGATATCTACTTCAAAAGGATGAGTAATACCCTAAAAAAAATTTTTTCCTTTAGAATATGACGGTTTATTTATTACTTTGTCCTACAACTATAACGCATTCTAAATCTCACTTTACTAACTCCTAGTTTGAATTGTCAAAATGCTTTAACCTCATGTCTGATATTGCTAATTATTATTGATTGCTTTCATTATCTGAACATTAGCGCAATCTGTTTTTACTTACAAGTTGGATCACTCTACTTCTCTTGTTATTCTCTCTGATTTGTTCACACATGAGGTTCATCACATTTCTAACATACAACATACTTTCACACTAGATGCAAACTTACCAAAGGTTGAATGTTATAAATTGAACAAACATGTACGTCAAGTATGCAGGTTCTTGAGTCGATAAGAGAGTAAATTCAGTTCTACCTTCAAAATAACACCATTTTTAGCATTAGAAATTATCTATGGTTTCAATCTGCGTAAAAAAACCATTCTTTTTAATAACATATCCTAGATTATGATCAAAGAGGGATATTCTGTATATTATAGTAATTTAATAGTCGAATTCATGAGTCAATTAAAACTAGAGCACCATGGAAAAGCTAGAAGCACTGGACGGCCGTTCCATCCTAGTATGAGACTCTTCAGCAGTGCTCATCCACGATCCCGCCTCGCCAGATTCAAACCCAGGATCTATCAGTCTTGCGCGCGAGGGCTTAACATCTAGACCACTGAGCCAGCATCCAGGTGTTAATGTCTTTTATTATTTTTTTAAACACATAAATATTGGTACAGGAGGGCACCAAACATATATGCGCCACACAAAACAATTAGAATTTGCAGAGAAGGAAAAAAAGGTAAGGAGCGTAAAAAAAACGATAACGAACAGATTAGTGTAAGGTAGTGTAATAATAATAATGAGGGAAACAGAAACGTACACTCAGAAGAGATCTTTCAGTTAAGGAAGAAGCAACCACTTTTTATGAAGAAAGTAAAAGGTTACAGCAGAATCGCCACTGGCTTCTATTCTGAGCCATATCTGATAACGTCTCTGCTCGAGAACGTTTAGATAGAACCGAATTTCCACCATAGACGAGCTGCTGTATAAGTCGAAAAATAAGGATAGACAGAGTAGGAATAAAAGAGTGAATAAATGACGTAGTAAATAATAAGAATAGTAATAATAATAATGTGAATCGTTTGATTAATAGTTGAAGTGTTAATGTCTAACCTCAACTAATCCATGAAACGGCCGTCCAGTGCTTCCAGGTTTTCTATGGTGGTCTAGCTTCAATCGACTCATGAATTTAACTATTAAAATATCCTAGATTACTGAGCGACTAATCATACCGCTTGGATTTTACAATGTTTCAATTTGACAACTATTAAACCTCCATAAAAACATAGAACCTCTGTGAGATTCGATGAAAATCTAATCAAAACATTATAACCCCCAAGATTTATAAGTTTGTATAACAATTGAATATTATGAAATGTTTGTAGATATAAACAACCATGAATAACAAAACAAAATAAATGTTAAACATTACCCCTTTTACAAGAGGTAATCGATAATATCAGAGAAGTATATTTTTGTATACGAATAGAGAAAATGATGACAATTACGATAAATTCACTTTTAATTGATTTTAGAAAGTTTTCTTTACAAAACCTTCAAATTACTGTGCATTTTTATTGGTGGCTCTAAAACGTTCTGTTGTGTGTATGTGAATACACAATGAGTTGACAACTAATATCCATGTTTATGAAATGTTTTTGACAGACATGAGATTGTTAGGCGCCTAAAATTTCATTGATTCCTAACACCAAACTGATGTAAACAATTCAAGCAACGTATGGAAGCAAGATAAGAGGCAATTTTACTTTATCAATAAATAACTAAAGTACTCAAATATCAACTTAAAGGTCACACGTTCGAATACTGTGTCAGCATCTTAAATTTCGGTAAAGGTTGATATCACTAACCTCCCTTGAAAAAAAATAGGCTCAAAACATATAGTTAGTAAATGAATTGCACTATTAGCAAAAGCTGGTACAATAAATGTAATTCTGGTTAACTTTTGATGAAATTTTGGTATTCAAATGATCTGAAACGGACAATCTTTAAAATACTTCATTATATATATCATTCTACTCTATTGTCAGTCGCTTATTCTTTGCTACTATTATCCTTATAGGATTGTTTTTATGCGGTTTCAATTACACATACTTAGTGTTTAAGAAGAGGACTAGACGACAGTTTTATCCAAAAAATCTTCAATAATTTTCTTTATTCTTATACAGTATGCTATTTACTTATTTGAACATGTAAACACCGAGACAAGAGAGCACCAAAATATATATGCGCCATACGAAAAAAATGAAGCTGTGAAGAGATAAAGACAGGTGGGTAAAATAGTTTTTAAGAAGGAACAAAAAAGAATAGAAATCAATGTATAAGAGTGGAATAATAATAATGGAAGAAGCAGTTCAGTTAGGAAAAATATAACCAGAAAGAATTTTTTGAATTAAAGAAGTTACTCTCAACTTTATGAAGAAAGTAAAAGAAAGCCACAGCCACTGACTACTACTCTAAGTCATGTCTGAAAACATTTCAATCCACTGAGTTGTATCATTTTAAGAACACCAAACAAAGAATCATTAAGGAGCAGCAAAAGCCAGTCCATTGCAGCTTTCTTGGATACAAAACCATGTCATACACTGACTACCTATCTGCTTTCTCCAACCAGTTCCAAGATATCAAATTAGCTGAGAAGACATTCGTAGTGTAAGTCCAAGTCACTAAGGTCGATGTTTCAAGGTGGTGACACGAATTGAATTATTTTTGCAGTCACTGAACACACGTTTCCAAACCTCTGCACTACTAACATGGTGTTAACGATGAATGTCAGCAATCCGTTGGATACAACAGTGATCAAACATAAAAGGTTGCTTAACATCCTCAACTAAGAGGCCAGGTTTCGCAAGCAGACAGAAAAACTTCTCTCACAGATTCATTATAGGTCCGACTTTATGCAGTCAGATGACGGCACGAAAGATGGCCCAGATTGACAGAAGCCCCTCTGATTTTCACCATGCGTGAATTGTTCTCATCACTCACGCCACAGTTACCCAGGTACACGAACTTTCCAACTACTTCTATCCGCTTACTACCAAGAATGAGTGCAGGTTCGAGGTCCTTCTAGTCTTTTAAAAGAAATTTCCACTTAGAAAGTGCAAAACGCATGCCATACCTACGGAAAATGACTGACAACTGATGAAATAAAGATTTCATGGCTTGGGTATCATCGCACAGTAAGACAATATAATTGGCATGCTTATTGTCAAAAAGTCTTTCTTTAGGCAATGGATCCAAACCACCATTACTTACACCCATCAGCGCTGTTTCCAGAATGTCATCGATAGCAAATTTTAGGAGAAATGGTGAGATTGGGTAACCCTGCCTAACCCCACTACTTGAATGAAAAAATAGAGGTTGTTGTGTGCCCTCACTCTGCCTGAGGTGTTTTCGTATAGGGCCTTCAAAACGTCAATAAACTTCCCGGCCACACTCTTCAACAGACAATTTGAGGGAACGGTCCTGTCCAACGAACAGAAGGCGGACATGATGCCACGAAATACCACGACTGTTAGCCTGGAATTAGTATGGCGGTATTCTAACATTTGGAGAAGGTTGAAGATATGATCAACGAATTCTCTACCGGAACGAAAAGCAACCTGCTCCTTGTGAGTCAATCTTTATCGTGCATTTAGGGCATTTTTATCCCCAAAATATATGTTAGTAAGTCTTTAAGTGGACTCAAGTTACCTGTCTGTTATTCAAATAACTTATTTAAAAAAATGTCTATTAAGAGGAACTGATAACACACAAATGCTTTACATAAGTACTAAGTGCAAATGAATTTGATGAACGTTATCATCAACTTAGAATCAGACATCAAATACTTATACGAACAGAAACTAGAAATTAAAGATAAAACTGAGCATGCATTCTTGAGTTTATTGACCTAGCATGCCAATTATTAAAGGTTAATGGTGAGGTATTTATATTCAGAAAGCCAACAAGTTGCATTAGTGAAATATTGTAACAGATGCTGTTCTGTGAGTAACTTAAAAAAAGACACTACAAAAATATTACTAGATTCTAATGGAACAGTCATAACACACAGAGGCCACCTTGTGGATCGTTTACACATGATTCACGAACTTAAAGAGAGAAATAGAACATTTTTACTTACTTCTATTTCTATTTTCTGCTTTGCTAGCTCATTGAGAAACAGGAGGCGTCGGTTTTGATCATTATATTTCGACGTGGAAAACCGATAAGCAAGCACATAATCAGTTCTGCGTTTACCATCCCGGAAATACAACTCTGGGTTAGTCTATGAAAACAATAATGATAACAAAGACGATATGTTTAATTTCTACAGAAACTGTACACAATAAACAAAGTAGCTACAACGTTACACTTCTCCATTATGTTTCACTTGGGGAAAATTTATACAAGGTTTACCATATTTGTTGGTAATTTACTGACATTATTAACAAAATATTGTATCTCTGAATATTCCTGGTGACTACATATGAGTACAAAATGATTATAAGTGAGAATCTGGAGCACGAGTTTGACATTTCACATATTCTATGCAATTAAAAATGGACAAGTTGTACATTGTTATTTGTACAATGTGAAATCCTAACGTCGAAAGCCACCCAATTATGAATATTACTTGGATTAATGAGACGAGCCCCGAAGTAATTTAATGTAATATGCCACGAAGTAGTTAGTTTCCAGTTGGTTGTATTAAATTAAACTATTCGTTGATGACGAACTTGGTATGACTATCTCTGAACAAACTATGGCAGATCTGATGATTTAAACTGGGAAGCCCATACAATTTAGACAAATACAAAAGTATATAATGGCTTGTGGTCATTATCTGGCTTCGGTATCACCTTTTGCAACCTAATACTTTAGAATGAAACACACTGAGTTTGCTAATGATTAGTGACAAATATCCTGTGGTTTGGCAATTCGTGAAATCGGCTTTGACAATTAGTTGTGGATTCAAATCCAGCAGCACTACTTGTATTTGGGGGGCCGAGTTTCAACACATTTACTTATGACTTGTAACTCACAGTAAGTTAAAAGGAAATATTTAGATACTAAAATACAAAAATCAGTTTTCAGAATGTTATCGATAGCAAATTTTAGGAGAAATGGTGAGATTGGGTAACCCTGCCTAACCCCACTACTTGAATGAAAAAGTAGAGAGGTTGTTGTGTGCCCTCACTCTGCCTGAGGTGAAAGATGAAGACTAGATAAATCTGCCTTTTTAATTTTTATTAACGTCTACTCCGTTGTTACACCAAACACTAGGAATGCTTAAACATTTTCTATAACAGTTAATCACACACGATCGATCGATTATCAAAATTAACCACTACATTAAAGACCTGCTTCGGTCTAGGCACCAAGGCATTATCACAGCCCACACACAAATCAAGTGACTTGTGGGGAGCATATGTATTTAGTGCCCCTTTGTACCAATGTCTATATGTTCAAATAAATAAATAAAAACTGCATTAAAGAAAGTGAAAAACTTACAGATGTGTACGTAGACGTAACACAACCAACTCCTGAGTCCATATGCTACATTCAACAAAAAGTACTGGTGATAAATAAATCAGAATAACAACATGCAAAAACGGAAATAGATACAGAAACCTAAGAACTTTCAGTAAGTGATACAACAAACCGAATGTGTCTACGAGTACATATGAAATACAGCCGCACATAAAATTGACAGCTCAGCGATATATGACCGACAACGTTGACCTGGAATTCTTACATTTTTTAAAATGTGAAAATACTTCCTATAATTAGCTTGTCTCTACAGTACATTGACTTAGCATTACAAATGTGAATTTGTCACTTCACATTAATACATCTCAGGCATCGTCTGTTTGTTCAAAAACCAAAAAGGTCAGTATTCTGAGCATGAAAGACGTTCGTAAGGCAACAAACTCGCTTGATCTGAACAAACATCACCAATTAAACTTTTAAATGTTCACTTAACTGACAGAATTCAGATACATATACCTACGATAGACTATGCTGCTTAGTAACCGCCATTATCACAAGTCGAAATACGATCTATAACTAATGCAACAGTCGATATCATCGAACCTGAAACTAAGAAGGAATAAATTTGGCTTTAAACGGTAACATGGAAAGTTAACTTTGGTCCCATACGTAAGTGACTCATGATGAAGCGGTGTGAGTATTGAGCCACTCGTAGTTGTAGAAATGACAAACAATTTTGCGTACTACATCTTAAAAACGATTTCATCAAAAACAATGTGACTTCAGCTGAAATTTAGGTTTGAAGAACTTTAGTTGCAGCATAGTTCATGTATTTCTATGTGAATAACCGTATAATCATATTTCGTGACTTTCCACTCGATCTACGACCCCGTACACGCTACTCCCTGTTATCGGAATAATCTTAAACCCAGAATTATAAAAAATTGAAGGAAACAGAAGAATAAAATAGCAATAGTTTATTTGGTAAGAGGATGAAGTCACACTTGATTTTCCGCCTTACAAGTGTCCTTGAACCCCCCATACGTAAAACTTATAAAGATTTCTAGTTCCGGAAAATACTTCAGATCTTCAGAACTATGACTTTTGGTTTTATAGGTAGGAATAGGTGATTCGCCAAAAGCAAGCCAAGCGAGTATATGCATTGTGAGACTCTCCAAGTTCAGTGCTAAGAAAGCGTAAGGGAACAAGGATGAACTTCCTGAATTTAACACTGGTTTAATATTCCTATGGTAGTTTTCCGGCTTTTGCCCATCAGATCAGTTGTCGCAAACAGGTGATTTATTTACAAATCATATTATTTCCCAAGATATTTGTTTCATAGTTACTCATATTACATTTTGAACAGATTTTCTGGAATTTTATCATTCTTCAGTTGTAAGAATAGTAAACTGTATTATTTCAGACTATGAAGACCTTATCTGAATTTAAAATTCTCGGCGAGGGGTATTTTGCTATATGTTCTGTTTGAGAAATGTAGTATTTCGAGGCTCTATCCGGGAAATGAACTTTTAAATGTAAAACGATTCATTACTGTTTTTGAACTTTCTGAAGATATCCCCCAGACAGTTTGGCTACGACTAGAGAAATGTCTGAAAATTGCGGCAGCGAGTTGTTGTAGTAGAACTCTTACGATTACTTTTGATAACGCTTAACCTCTGTCAATTCCACTCATCTGACAATGTTATCGACATAGTAACAATTCGTTTATACCTTTGTATTAGTAAGATCGCTATCATACCTACGTAAACGTGCGTATTTGATTGCCTATTTTACAGCCCATGCATATTCTTGTCTAATTCAAACCTTGGTTGCTTAAATATAGCTCGGTGTAATATTCTCCTTCTGTCACATATATATGCTAGTATTAAAGAGAAACTGTACTTTGATTCACCGTGTTTTTATTTGGTGTGACTATGGATTTGCCTCTATATTTGCTTGCAACAATTCGTTGACCGATAATGGGTTTGCAATTCTGTGGTCCGCACGATCAGCTAACAATTTAGTTGCAGCCTATCGCTTTTTGAATTTAATCCCGTGAGTTCCATGTAGTGACGATTATTAATGTGAACGTCTAACGAGGCAATGCGCATTACAGTACTACCAGACCTTGTTCAACAGCAAGACGACGAGAGTAGATCATTTCGTTCAGTTCTATTTTTATGAGACCAGTCAGAGTAGCATTCCATCATTTACAACTATTTAAGGACTGAATATTGACGAATGTCAGGTGTTGATAGAATTTTATTGACTAAGCTGCAATGGGCCGGTTTACTTATCGACTAGATATCGCCTAAATTAATCATGAAGAACACGTTTACATGATTATGGTTTGGTTCGATATTACAATTACTATAAAAGTAGACCTCATCTCCAAAATTTTAGATTTGTCATGATTTGACTACTCAATATATAAATCTTACGTGGAAGTCACATCATTGTCTATTCGGACTTGTCCTATCGTAAGGATCGGCACTATGACGTCTAACATTTCCGAGGAACATATTTGGGCTGAGCAGAAGATAGTATATTTGATACAAGATTCAATAGGTTTCACATAGAGTGACCACGTCTGCCCGACCGAGTCATGCCATCCTGAATGATTCTTCACGCGTTCTTCATCACTGATCTCCATTAAGTGCTACATAATAATAATTATGTGTTCAGCTTCGTGAATTGTGTAGTTGGAACCATTATCGCTGCACACACTCCTTATCGAGAAGGTCATGAGAATGTGTGGTGGTCGGTATTCAATATAATCCTTAAACTTCGTATACAGTTCATCTTGATAACCGTCACTAGATAACGCCCCAGCGGTATATTAATCAGAAGGCAAATACGAAGTGTCAATTATGTTTATTGTGGGACCACACACATATATCAAAATGTACAGATGCGTTAAACAAGCATAGATGAGTTGTGGCGAAAGGCAAGCAAGCGAGCGAGAGCCAGAGCAAGAGCGAGACGAGAGTGTGTGTTTAATACGAGTAACATGGACATATATATACCATGTGAAATGAATGAGTAATCGAATCAAATAAGCACTTAGTAGTAAGACTAGCAGAGTGAATAAATGCGTAGGCCGTAATCAATATTCGAGCATATGTATTTCATACAAGCACAAAATAATAAGGGTACAATAAGTTGTTATAGTGCGGATGACTTTGTCCGCTAAATGAGTTAGCAAAAGGGCTTAACTGAGTTAAATGAGAATAAACTCAATTGCACGTGAGTCACTATAAATGTATTTCACTGGACCACATTTATCTTAGCTTTGGTATTATCCAAAGAATTAGATGTTGCAAACAAAGTGCTCTCTAGCAGGAGAGTCTCAACGATATAATTCCTAATATCAAGAGAAACCTTTAGTTCAATTCTATACCTCATCGTTATTAATGACCTCTCAAACAAAATCACGTCACCAGTTCTCCCATATTCTGGAAACGCCAAATTATGGAGTGCCACAAGAAAAAAGAGGACTGACTCGGTAATGAGTAGAAATTCAACCTGTTACAATGTCGTATTGTAAACACACACTCAAAAGTAACATAAACAGCTTACGTACTCTAAGAAAATCAGTCAAATGTGTAGATTATCAACGTTGATGATCTTTGTCGAATGATTGAGGGCCTACTAGAGTTAGACAGGAATGGTGTGCGAACCAGTTAACTTCGAAGTCACACCTCGCGGTTAACTCCTTACGTGGATTACTGCATCAATGTATCAAGGTACTATATAAGCTTTGTAGACTGCACGACACAAAGGACGTTATTACAGGAAATGTATTAGTAAGAATGTGTACAGAGAAAATAGCGAGACCACCACCACATCGGACAGTCCATGACATACGATTAACTGATGCTCATTAGTTGTCCTTAACAGTAACGAGGATCGATTATTTGTTCGATATTCAGTGACCCAGCTGCTGAATGATTTGGCTAGGACTCGGTGACATTTCACTGGCTCTACAAATCTATCCTCAGAATGCGATCTAGGGATATTTTGTTAGGTTCTAGTTTCTAAATCCGGTGAAAAATCGTGAAAATGACAAAACTGTACTGAATGCACGGACCGACATAATATTTTGAGACCTAAAACCATCAAACCGAGAAGCGTACTCACACCGAACGGATGATACATGTCTTTCGGACGTCGTTCCAGAGCCCAATGTGCGTCTGAAGTATCACGCCCAATCAACACTCCGACCAGATTACTTTGCAACGCCAGAAGGGTGATGTCTTTCAAATGCTTCCACTATCCTAGGTGTTCCTCGCTTAAAGGTTCTACATAATCGATCACAAACTTCTTATTCGTATAAGCCTTGTTGATTTCCACAGATCCCTGTTCATCCAAATAAAATATCTTCAAATTTACTTTCAAACATTTACAGGTAGTTGTCCCATTCACAGTGGTTATTGTCATCGAAGCCTCTTTACCCTCGATACCCAACTGATTAAATAACTCTTCGCATACGAGGGAAGTATCTGAACCACTATCTAGAAGGGTGTAAGTTTCCAATGTTCCACTCGGACCATACAGTCTGATCGGAATGATACCCAAACAAACATTTGACGAGTCTCAATCCCTAACTAAGTTCACTACTGGTTATTAATACTATCAATATGTATCAATGAATTACACCGAATCTTGCAATTATCAAGGTCACACTTGGTGTCCGAGTTGCATGACGTGGCTATGTGACACTCCCTTAAACACAGGTAACATAGACCACGTCTCCTCACTTCCTGTCGCCTTTCTCTAACATTCATTTTCGATAACTTCATAAAATCCGCCTCTTTTGGTCACCTAAACGAAGTTCGCAACTTAAAATCTTGAATGAGTTCCTTGAGTCCCACTTACCTACATTAAAGCGTGATCTCTTATCAGCTTCTCCTTCATAATTCATTTTGCCGAACTTTGAGTTACACTGAACCAATCTACCATAACGTGTTCGAGCAATCCTGGCTCTTTCTTCCACAAAGGTCTCAACTTCTTCAAAGATCGGCTCTTTCCCAGCCACCATGGTCTTATCGGCAACTTCCATCTACATATTCTGTAATTCTAGGGGTTGACATTACACAATTATTTCCGAATTAGCCGTACACTTCACATCAGACATATACCCCATTTCCTTCAACGTTATGCACGCATTACGCAGATAATTGCGAAGTCAGTTAAGCTATCGGATGATCCTTCAGCAGATTTGTGGTTAAGTAACTCAGTAATCAGCACGCGGGTGACAAGTTATTCCCTACCATACAGATCATATAAACTTTGTTTAACTATGTCAAAACCCAAATTACTGGGCAAAGAAATGCAAGCTTCACTAGCCGCCCTGGCCATTCCTTTACAATGATATAACAAATACGACAACAATTGGCCATCATCGGACAGTCTACTCCCCACAATGCTGGTAGACTGACTCGATTGTTCATAAAATACATCATATCAATTTCAGGTAAAACTGTAGTGGCATTGGACCATAACCACACAATCTTCAAAGCTGAACACAAGACTACTCGGAAAATAGATATTCAATATCTAACGTGGAGAAATACCTAAAGATGGAAAAGGCGGGAACAGTTAATTGGATGAATTGGAGTTGATCGGATGGCATGGCTCGGCCACGCAGGCGTGGTCCCTATCGAATGTTACCTTATATCTTCTATTCATATTAAATGTATTGTTCCTTCTCTAGCCTAACCTTGTTTTACATCATGTATTGGTAATTGATACGATACAGTGAGTTGGTGTAGTCGATGGTGTGACTTCCACGTAAGATCTTATAGATTAGGCAGTTATATTATGACAAGTCTACAATTTTAGGATTAGGTCTATTATTAGAGCAGTACTAATATTATAGTAGACCATAATTTTACAAAACCATATTATTAACCACAGTATGTACCATATCCTTTAACTCATCAACTCAATCGCCCTTTGAGATGCTAAATATCTCTCTTGGATGACTAGTACAGCTAGTATCGCAATCCAAGTGGCTTTCCACCTTAGCATTTATTTCACACTTGTCTACGGACAGCTGGTCATCATCCTCCATGATCTTACATTCTAATTCAGCCATATCAACCTCTTCTTAAGCTGCACTTCTAACTCAAGTTTCTTTTCTAAATTCTTCTTTCTTAATAATGTCTTACCTAACTTTATTCTACAAGTACTAATCTGGTCAGAGTACATACTATTAACACTATCATCATCACTTTTATTATCATCAACACCAGACATACCACAAACAGCTTTATAAATTTTACCATCCATTTCTTCATTTTCTTTCGGCCTTTTGCTTTGCGTTCCCATCGTATGCCTTTATTCCATGGAATCTGTTACCTAAACAAAGGTGAAGTAATCCGAACGAAATCGAACGATAGGACCAGATGATTGGACCCAAAATGTCCAAAAAATCCAAAGTATGTAGACCACAGAACAAATAATTGAAGACCTTTATGATACGTCCAAGTTTTTGCTCGCTTCCGTTATTGAAGTAGGGTATATCGATGTATTTGCAACGTACGAACTCAAGCTAACGATAGAACCGGACTCCAATTTAGATACTAAAGTTTATTTGCTATTTACAAATAGTCGACCCAAACGTCATTCTTTAATTTCGTAGGTTCCCGGAGCAAAAGCGTCCAAAACCTAAACAAATAAAATGAAACCAAAATGTCCGAAAATAATGATATGAACAAACAAGTTCAGAAGTTGAGTAAAACCAATACTTCCCAAAACTCAGCGAAATTGATAATATCCTATGCAAAGGTTTTAATCAGCCAAATATCTGCAGTTCTCCCATAACATATTTACTGCAGAGATCGTGGACACAAATCAAACTGCATTATAGACTCAGCCAAAAGAAATGTAACTTTTCAACCCAAATGGAAATAATTTAGCACAATCCCTCTAGATTTGTTTAAATCACACCTCAAAACGAACCCAAGGCATTACTTCAAAGCCCTAAACTTTACTCATCAAATAAGATGAAGCATGAAGAGCGTCAAATGAGTAGACGATAGGGCTAAGAAGTGAATCTTGAGAAAATAAACTTCGACTATTGGGGTGTTATGGTTCGGCCATACTAAAATAAGAGGTGAAATATTGATAGTTCACAACCTACTAAATACACCTGGAACCTAATAAAAACGTCCAACCAGGAAATCACCGTCACTCTCTACAAGGGAAACCCCGAAGATCTGCAAGTGGACGATTGAAAATGTAGGTATAATGTCACTATATTACTAGTAGTTACCTCTTTCCTGAATGCCTTCTCACCTGAAGTGATCACAGCCCCTTCAGTTGATACTCACCTCGCATTTTGGAACACCCGTGCCTGATACATATCTCGAAAATCACCTACCATTATCATCGTCACATCATCAAATAATCCCCATACCGCCTATCAACATCTCGAACCACCTTTCGTTCTCGCTCTCCTACCTTCTCACATCGTCTTCATTACCACGTAAATACATCATCTTCCTGTTTGTTTCTTGGAACATCCATCGCTCAACATCTGAATGTCTTCTAAATTATTTCCTTTATTGCTATCAACCAACCTAGTAAAGTGACAGCTTATTATCCATAACCGCTAATGATCTGAGACGAACTCACTTATTCAAGATACACGATATACAAACCTACACTTAACTAAAATAACTGACTGGAATAAATGCAGTCAAGTGGCTGGACTAATGATTATCGAACATTATCAAAGACTTGCAGTCGTACTGAAACAATGAGAAGCAAGCGCAAAGAAACTGACCGTTTCATGAAAGCTTGTCACAAAGACAGAAGACAAAAGGACAAAAAGGCAGAGATATGGAATATAGGGCTCACTCAACTATACTCTATATAAACAGAATACTCGCCGAATTCACTTAAACTGTAGCATTCAAGTCTTTAGATTAGTCTGAATAAGCACTATCTTGATATGATACCACCAATCAAGGAAACATTTCGGAAAATTAATGAATTTGATGAATCCAGCCCATAGTTGTTAAGATACGCCAGTGTCTTTAATCAATTTCTAGGTCGAATCCTTGTAGACGCTATGACTTCAAAATATGAATTTCGGACTGTTGGTTTCTACCCATTTGTTAATTTAGAGTATTTAGGTTATGGTTGAGGGGAATATAGGGTGTGGAAAGTCAACATTTTTGCGTTACTTTCAGCAGCTTTCTCCTAAAAATGAAGTCATGCATGAACCGCTATATTTATGGAAAGACGCTAGAGGCTATGATCTATTCGTAACTTATGTTTTTTTTTAACTTTTCTTATTCATACAGGAACTTATGTATCATGATCAACGCCGATGGTCTGTTCCTTTTCAGGCTCAGGTCCTTGTGACATTACTAGACCGTCAGTCAAAACCACCAGTAAGATAAATCTCGTTTGTATTTTTTACCAGCATGTCTAATCCTATATACCTCATATTTCACGAGTTAATTAAGTTGTCAGAAACTTTTCTGGCCAATAATTTTTGTCTGACGAGTCCCAGTATATGATGAGGTTAGTAAAAAGCTGCCTATACTAATATAGACCGCCAAAACGCGTCATTGCTTTTGTAAATTATTTCCATAATTTTCACCCAAGGAATCTTATGTGCTAACACTTTGTAACAAATGGTAAGAATTACTTGGATTTAATTTCAATCCTTTCGAAGTTTACTAATATAGCTGTCATTTCATATCACTATATGTAGTGATCTTTTTGATACCAAGTTGGCTACTGTGTTATCATTGGAAGAAATATGTATGTATACTAGCAGCTCAATGAAGCTTATTCTGACTCGTATGCTATACATATATAAAAAAGTATACTTGAAGTGTCTATCTATACACTTACAATAAACATTCAAACTGTAACTGAAGTTCTTCGTCGGCGATCTCTGCTATTTTGAAGATGTAAGAGTAATTTACAAGCTCAGTTGTTGTTATGTGTATGGATAGCTCGAGTGTAATCTAACAGTTAGTAACTAGTTTGCGTACTGGAATTTTAGTGAAAATTAAATTGCTAGGACCATTAATTCTGCTTAATTTAGTGAACCAACGTAGATAAGATGAAGCTTACACGTATGAACCTCCGGGAGAGTCTGATAATTAAGCCATCATATTTACACTGGAAAAATATCTTAGTGATATCTTCGTCACTGTATTGGATTTATCGAGTTTTTTTATATTTTTCTTTCCAAATCCAGACTAAACCAATACGCCTATTGGAAAGGTCAATCCATAGCAGTCGGTACTGTTTTACAGAAAATATGCACAATAAGTAAGTCTCAAAAAGTTTTTTTTAGCACGTACTTATTAATGAGTTTGCTCGTGGTGAAAAGTTTGGGAGTTTCTTGAGAATAATCAATTTTTATGCATTGTAAGTCGTATATTTAATCCTGCTTCGTAAGTCAAAGATCTTAAGATTGAGTTTGATGTTATTGTAGTTTTGTGACACCGAACTGGTTCTAATTTGAAATAAACTTGGTGATTTTGCTACTAGGGAACTATGTTGATTGATTTTAATATAGAGATATTAGTGATCAGTCAGTCAGCTACAACGTAGGACCAGGCACATTTATGCATCGGTCTAAGTTGCCATACCTCAATAACACAACAAGATGGACACCGGGTCCATAAAAGTAGTTAATTCAGAGGTGCTAATATATAAAAGAAAGATTGAAATAAGGATATAGTACAGGAAGAAAGAATTAGTTCATAGAAAGAAAGATATAAAGCAATTGTAATCTCATGGCTTAAGGGAAGACAGAGAGTGTATACACCAACGTCATTTTGATCGATTCTGAGCCATGTCACTCACAGTCTCAAACCATTGGTTAGGATAGTCACGCGGACCCCAACCAAGTAGTTTGCATCTATCGACATGGCTCAGACTAGAAGTTAATGACTTCAAGCATTGATGCCACGATTTGGTTTGGCCGCCTCTAAATTTCTTCCAACCATTTGCAATACCGGATAGCATTGCACGTCGTGGTAACCGGTGTTCAGGCATACGTAACACGTGGCCCAACCGTCTCAGTCGATGAAGATTCACAACTTCGTCAACTGATTTACCATCATTACCTAATACCCTGCGTCTAACCTCACTATTACTTACCCGGTGATCCCAGCGGACGCCAGCAATATTTCTGAGGCATCTGTGGTCAAATACTAGTAGCTTACGAGTGTCTTCTCTTAATGGCCATGTTTCGCTGCCGTAAATTAAAATAGAACGGACTGCCGCGCAGTATACTCGTCCTTTTATTGATAGACGGATATCTCGCCTTCGCCATAGGTGACGCAAGTTGGCAAAAGCCAAGCGAGCTTTTCGAATCCGTGCTGAGACTTCGTCAGGCACCAACCCATTAGGGCTGATCAGACTTCCAAGATAAGTGAAGTTGTCAACGCGTTCGACTACTTCACTCCCTATCCTTAGTTCAGGTGTTGACGCAGCCCAGTCCTGGAGCAACAACTTGCATTTAGAGGGAGAGAAGCGCATTCCAAACATTCTGGCATTGTTGCTCAGTGCTACCAAAAGACTGCATTCTATCAGCGTCTTCACCAAACAGGACTATGTCATCCGCGTATTCTAAGTCGATAAGTGGACCTCCTGGAAGGAGATCAATACCCGAGAATTCAGTCGACGAGAATGTTATTTCCATCAATAAGTCTATGATGAAGTTAAACAAAAATGGAGAAAGTGGACAGCCTTGACGGACACCACTTGAGGTTGCAAAAGCAGATAACAGTTCGCCATAAGCTCTGACTCGACTAGTAGTGTTCGAGTAAAGAGCCTTCACAGGGTTTATGTACTTCTGAGGTACGCCTTTCAATGACAGACACTGCCACAGAATCTCTCGGTCTACCGAGTCAAATGCTGCTTTCAAGTCGAGAAGGACCACCATTGCCGGACGCCGATAAGTTTGTCTATGTTCTAGAACCTGACGAATGGTGAATACGTGGTCGATGCAGCCACGACCAGGTCTGAAGCCAGCTTTATTCTCTCGTGTTTGCAGTTCACGAGTCTTAGTTAAGCGTCTGATAATTATCGAGGCTAGTATTTTAGATACTATATTAGTTAAACTAATCCCTCTATGGTTGTCACAGGATGATTTTGACCCTCTCTTATATATTGGGACGATAAGTGATTGTGACCAGCCAGATGGAATAACGTCTAACTCCCAGATCGTAGCTAAAATATTAGTCAACCTAATCGCTAAAATTGGACCACCATCCTTAAAGACCTCTGGAGCTAATCCATCTGAACCAGCTGCCCTTCCTCGTTTCGGATTAACTATAGCCTTTTGAACTGCTAGAGTTCGGGGACCTACTTCAATGTTCCATTCACACTGTCTGGGAATGGAGGGTAGTTGTAGAGTAGCTGAAGGCCAGCTGAAATGTTCCACCCATCGTTCTAAACGTCTGGACTAAGAGCAGATGAGGGTGTCGTCTTTTTCCGAAATAGTCTGACTTACACTTGACTTATTAATTCCAGTTTCTTTTATTAGTCTGTAGAGCTGTCTTGTGTTCCCTATAGTCGCCGCCTTTTCCATCTCTTTTGCTTTCATTGCCCACCACTGCTCACGGTCGTTTCTTAGACTTTTTCTTAACCTGGATCTGATTTGTTGTCGCTCTTCATCGTGTTCAGAGCCTAATGGGATGAGTTTACGAGAATCCATCAGTGCAATAGACCTTGAGGAAATCCATTGGTTCTTTGTAACCCTGTGGTTTAAATCACTGATAGATGTCACTGCTGTTTCCACAGCTGCTTGTATGTCTTTCCAAGCAACATCTGGGTCAGCCTCGTCTTCAGAACTACCTAATTGTGAACTCAGTTGTTCTTGGAACCTACTTTTGGTTTTCTCGTTACTCAATTCAGTTCTAATGGGTCTTTTTAGTGTGGCGTTTTTGCGTCCAGTGAAGCGCAAGCGGATGCGTCCCAGTATTAGGGCATGGTCGGAGTCCAAGCAGATACTCCAGAATGAGCGACAATCTTCTACCGACCCTCTCCAACGATGACTGATGGCAATATGGTCTATTTGAGTCCATCGTTGGTTCGGTGCAGGCGGTCGCCATGTCAGACGATCACCATTATCTGTTCGTTGTGCCGGAATACTAAAATACCCACCTAAATGCCTTTCTGTTTGGTTTAAACTACCTATCTGGGCATTAAAGTCACCTGCTACAAATACTATGTCTGAACGTTTAGCTTTCTGAAGAAGTTCAGATAGCTTTCTGTAAAATTCATCTTTCACTTCATCTGAGCTGCAGTCGGTGGGAGCGTAGGCAGAAACGACAAAAAGGCAACGACGTGTGTCCCTATCCTTCCGAGTTCTTACGGAGCCGTTTAGCCGAACAGCACACAAACGACTGTTAACGGGGATCCACTCTAACAGTGCTTGTTCCGCCCTCATGCTTAGTGCTATCCCTACTCCTGCCAGTCCACGAGAGCTGGCCATCGCGTCACCAGATACACGGAGGGTGTGTCTCGTTGGCTCTCCGTGTTGCCGAGGTGAGGTCAAGTGAATGACCACACTGGGATCCTGTATGCGTGTTTCAGAGACACAGCATACATCAATGGTACGAGATTCTAGGGTTCTAGCCAAGGAAGCCTGTTGACCGATATGACATAGGGTGCGTACGTTGAAGGCTCCAATGTGTAGTTTGGAGCGAGGTTTCGGTAGACCTGGGACAGTGTTTTGAGCACTAGAATCGTTGGCTATGGTGACATTTGAGGAGGAAGCCGAAAAAGGAAGTTTAGAGGTGAAAGTCGATGTAGGAGGAGTAATAGGAAGTGAAGACGGAGGTTGATTATGAATACAGTGGTCTTGAGTGTTGTTAGAGGTATGAGGGTGGTTATCACTTCCCGGTTGCCCACACCGTAGAAGGGTTGTTCTGGAGGTACCTGGAAAGGAAATTGGATTAGAGGTGGTCTTAGTGACCTGGGAGTGTGACCGCAGTGCCCAAGGGACAACTGCTTGAGGTCGGTCACACACGACCTTTTTATGGGTAATTTTTGTGTTAGCTCCGTACTTTTTGGGACCTTACCGCCGGAGACGGATATCCGTGGGATAAGGCGAGGTGTGCATTTTTAGGGTCGACCTTTTCTAACCCCACCCCTCCTTGTGGGAAGGCAGCATCGCTGTCATGCTGATTGTCTGAAGGAAACACCCTACTGCTGTCACACCTCTGTACAGTCAGCAGCACGACTTCGCCTTCGGACCTTGGGTTTGTTGCTTTTAGTCTTACCGCTCTTCAACCGACCTGTCTGACATGGTAGGACCTTGAGGAACAGTTGTTCCAGCCAGTATAGGTCGGTTGCTTCATCACGATAGGCAAGCCCGACCACCACGTCAAGGTAGCAACAATGGTCGTGAGATATTAGTGATACACCTACTTTTCTCGTGACCATAGCCAAGACTTTGATATTTGAAATGAACAGCAGCTGATAAGGCAGACGATTGGCTTAGAATCCTCGCCATAAATATACCTGTCTCATGATGTAATGTGAACTATGTCGCATAGACTTCAACCGCTAATTGATCATAATGCCCTTTATATTGCACGCCTATCTGGTTCAACATTGACTCAACGTAGTGCTAAATATATTAGTTTATTGTTTGTGATAGTCATACTTATATCCATCATTTTTAGCATTGACAAAAAGCTTCGTCTACCGCTAATAGGAATCTATTTCATCGTTAAATGTGACCCACCAAATAGTTCATCACTACTTTTTAAAGTAGTAGCTTGTGGATCTAAATAAATTTAATAATAGTTTACAGTTATATTTCCTAGCCTGTAAGCCACACCTAGTGTTTTAGGACAAGTTTTTACATAACTGACTGTCATTAAAACATGTAAGCAATAATGTAGTATGTAACTCAACCATTCATAAGCTTTTTTCGTCTTATTTGTGATTCAAGCCAAAGTATAGGCCAGCGTAGAAAAAATCTTTGGATTTGAAATGACCCCTTAAATAATCCCTTTTGAAATTATCCTCCCTGTAACTTTCAAGAATATATCTGTATTATATTTACCGTTTATTGACATGATGGGAGTTAGTAGATAGTTTATGGTTTAGTGCTACAAAAACATTCATATTTCCACTTTATAGTGGGAGTATTTCAGATGCTGACTATGAAGAGCTCCTCAAAATTTTCCAATGGATATTGAAGAATAAAAGTGGACCAGTAGATCTAATCGGTAAGTGTATATTTTAGTTTATGAAGAAAATTTCTAGTTCATACATCTGGTTTAGGATTCGTTTGCGTTGACGCTTGAGTTAATGATAGTGTGTCAAAGTTAAGTGCATCGAACATACCACTTATCTTGGAAGTATCATCAGCCCTTATAGACTAGTGTCTGACTAAATTTCAACACGGACTCAAAAGGATCGATTGGCTCTTGCCAACCTGCCTCACTTGTGGCTTAGATGAGATATCCGTCTTCCAACCAAAGGACGAGTTTATTGCTCAGCAGTTCACTCTAACATCGATTCCTGGATGCAGGTGCATCCTGCTGACAAGTGCCGAGCAGGACGGAACGTGCGTCCTGGATTCCGTTCCTAGCTACCATCCATCTCCACTTAGGATGAAGGTAATAATTTAAGGTTTTATGATAAAATTGTATCTTTTGTGGCATACAGAACTGTTTTCACTGGTAGATATTCGCATTACTCCGGCAAATGACCTACTTTACTATGTTTTAGTTGAGGTAACTTCATTAGTTCGAATTATAACCTGTTTATGAATTTGTATTGAGAGTCATTCGTTCCACTCTTACGAAGGTTGTGTTTAGATCTTACTGTTTTCTTTCGTTTTAGAATTAAGGTAACAGAAAAAATTTCATGTTGTTTTCATATATTTTACTTTCAGCTCAAGTTTGTTCATTCTTTGAGCAACCATTAACTAAACTACACAATTCTTAAACTTTACAGATTATATTTTGACATTTGGTCTATCAAATGGATTATCATATGTCTTCTGTAACTCAGATGTCTGAAAATTGTAGTGTTTAGTGTTCTTATTCACTTTCACGGAATATCTTCAAGAGAAACAATTCAAACCCCATTTCTTTATCCATCAGTGTAACTGCTATGGTAGATACATGTAAATTACTTAATAGTTGATAATGGCATTAAGAGTGTGCTTTCTAGTTTTTAATCGTGTTTTGAACATGTTCTACACAAAAGGACTCTTTGATCTGGAGAATGAGCTTATTTAGCGTAGTTTTAAACCTTCTTTTGAGTGTCCGTCGAGTGTCATTATCTTTAAAGCTGAGGTTGTTTGTTAGGTTGATCTATGACATCCATAAATTTCACAAACGAAGAACTTATCTAATTACTATTCACTTGCTCACTGATGACTGTTGTCTATTAACACTTCCAAGAGTATTGAAGAGAAAATATAACCTGTTGAGTCCAACCATGCTCTAAATGAGACGGTGATTCACTGGTAACATTAAATAACCACCATTTCTCGATCGCAGATAGACTAAATATGTGTACCGTTGAATTCTTACTCAGTGGTCTGGTGGCATAGTTATCTTCTGGTCCAGATGCCATAGATTTTATCAGTTCCCCAAAATGCCCTAGTACAACCGACGGCGGGGAGAGTCAGCTCTCCCTCTCGAAATGTTCTCACATGACCACGCGTATGCAACGGCTGCCAGGGAAGTCCTACTCACAGTCTTTTCGCGGCAGGGGCCAGTCATTCGGCTACAACGTAAGACCAGACACATATATACATCGGTCCAAGTTGCCACATCGCATTAGCACAACAAGATGAACACCAAATTCATAGAAGTAGTTAATTCAGAGGTGGTAATATTTAAAAGAAAGATTGCAATAAGGATATAGTACAGGAAGAAAGAATTAGTTCATAGAAAGAAAGATATAAAGCAATTGTAATCTCACGGTTTAAGGGAAGAGAGAATGTATTCACCTACACCACTGTGATCGATTCTGAGCCATGTCACCCAGAGTCTCCAACCATTGGTTAGGATAGTCACGCGGACCCCAACCAAGTAGTTTGCATCTGCCAACATGGCTAAGACTAGAAGTTAGTGACTTCGAGGACTGATGCCACGTTTTTGTTTGGTCGCCCCTAACTTACTTCCAACCATGTTCAACACTGGTCAGCATTGCGCGTCGTGGTGATCGGTGTTCAGGGATGCGCGACACGTCGCCCAGCCGTCTCAGTCGACGAAGTTTCACAACCTCATCAACTGATTTACCATCATTCCCTAATACCCTGCGTCTAACCTCACTATCACTTATCCGGTGTTCCCAACAGATGCGAGCAATATTTCTAAGGCATCTGTGATCAAATAGTAGTAATGTCCGAGTATCTTCTACTCTTAATGGCCACGTTTCGTAGCCGTAAAGTAGAACAGAACGAACTGCCGTGTGGTATACTCATCCTTTTATTGGTAGAAAGATACCTCGACTTCCCCACAGGTGATGTAAGTTGGCAAAAGCCAAACGGGATTTTTGAATCCGTGCTGAGACTTCGTCAGACACCAACTCATTAGGGTTGACCAGACTTCCAAGATAAGTGGAGCTGTCGACGCGTTCTAGTAATTCACTCCCTATCCTTAGTTCATGTGTTGACGCAGGCCAGTCCTGAAGCAGTAACTTGCATTTAGAGAAGGAGAAATGCATTCCAAACATCCTGGCGTTGTTTCTCACTGTTATCGGCGTCTTCACCAAACAGGACTATGTCATCTGCGTATTCTAAGTCGATAAGTGGACCACCTGGAACGAGATCAACTCTTAACAATCTAGTCAACGTGAACGTTATTTCCAGCAGTTGGTCTATGATGAAATTAAACAAATGGATGTAGTGGACAGCCTTGCAGAACGCCACTTGAGGTTTCGAAATCAGATGAAAGTTCATCATAAGCTCTAACTCAACTGGTAGTGTTCGAGTAAAGGGCCCTCACAAGGTTTATGTAATCCTGATGTACACCTTTCGATGACAGACACTGCCACAGAATCTCTCGGTCTACCGAGTCAAATGCTGCTTCTAAGTCAAGAAATACTATCATTGTCGGACTCCGATAAGTATGCCTGTGTTTTAGATCCTGACGAGTAGTGAATATGTGATCGATGCAGCCACGACAAGGTCTGAAGCCAGCCTGATTTTCTCGTGTTCGTAGTTCACGAGTCTTAGTTAAGCGTCTGATAATTATTGAGGCTAGTATTTTAGATGCTACATTAGTTGAACTAATCTGTCTATGGTTGTCACTGGATGGTTTTGACCCCTTATTATACATTGAGACGATTAGTGATTGCGAACAGTCAGATGGGATTATATCCAACTTCCAGATTTTAGCTAAAATAGTCAACTTAATCTCTAAAACTGGGTCACCATTCTTAAAGACCTCTGTAGTTAGTCCCTCTAAACCAGTTGCTCTTCCTAGTTTCAGATTATCTATAGATTTTTTAACTTCAATTAGAGTCGAGAGGCCTACTTCAATGTTCCATTCAGGCTGTTAGGAAATGGTTGGTAGCTATAAAGTATTTGAAGGCCATCCGAACTGCCCCTTAAAGTGTTCTTCCCATTGTTCTAAACGTCTGGGCTCAGAGCAGATCGGCAAGGTTGTTGTTTACGGAACTGGGAGAACAGAAAGTGAATGTCCGACGCTCTAACTGGGTTGATGGATATAGAGGATCCACTTAGGGGAGTTGGAATTCCTGATTCCAAACCAATGGTGCACATAAGCTCCAGGCTTCTGAGGGAACAAAATCACGTATGAATTTATTGTTGGTCACCGGCTACCATGGGACTCTATCTCTTAATGTTGCTCCGCCATCTTTTTGATTGGACCTTGAGGTCAAAGACTCGGGTAGTGGGCCCCTAGGAAAACTATCTGTTTCGTTTTGGACACCTAAGTAATATTGCAGCTCTCACACAAATCAATGATAACTACTACTGGCCTCATTGTTATTGTATGGCGCATATATATTTGGTGCCCTCTTGTTCTAATGTGTATGTGTTCAAATAAATAAATAATCAAGTTCAATAATGTATATATGCTCTGTTAAAAAGTCTGAAATGAGGTAAAACATCATTCTATCGTTTTCTGGTTTCCAGTTGGTCATTCCGTAGTGTTAAACCACTAAAAAATTTGTAAAATCGTATCACGGCTATAATGTTACATTCATCAAGTATGTATAACCAGCGGATTTTTACCATAGTTTATTTGGTTTTACATACTGCTAATGATAATCAGTACTAATGTTCATGCTAGGGTTTTGTTCTTCCAAAAAGAGAACCGTCAAAGCTACATTATTTTTAGACGTGTACACAGAGAAAACAAGATTACAGTTTAAGTGTTATGAAAGTTGGCTTTATTTATTGCACTAACTATGATAATGATACTGAGTGGTTGTCTAAATTAAACTTTCTGAAATAGGTTTATATTTTTAATTTTCGGTTTCAATCATGATTCTTTCCGTCAATTTGCCTAAACAACTAGGAATAATGGTGTTTCGAGTCAGTCAGTCAGTCAGCTACAACGTAGGACCAGGCACATATGTGCATCGGTCCAGGTTGCCATACCTCATTAGCACAGCAAGATGAACAGCGGATTCATAGGAGTGGTTAGGTCAAAGGTTGCAATAAGGATATAGTATAGGAAGAAAGAATTAGTTCGTAGAAAGAAAGAATGAAGTGATTTTAGTCTCTTGGTTTAAGGGAAGACAGGGAGTGTATACACCGACGCCATTGTGATCGATTCTGAGCCATGTCACCAAGAGTCTCCAACCATTGGTTACGAAAGTCACGCGGACCCCAACCAAGTAGTCTGCATCTACCAACATGGCTCAGACTAGAAGTTAGTGACTTCAAGCACTGATGCCACGTTTTGGTTTGGCCGCCCCTAACTTTCTTCCAACCATCCCCTACCCCGGTTAGCATTGCACGTCGTGGTAATCGGTGTTCAGGCATACGTAACATGTGGCCCAACCATCTCAGTCGATGAAGGTTCATAACCTCATCAACTGATTTACCATCATTACCTAATACCCTGCGTCTAACCTCACTATTACTTACCCGGTGATCCCAGCAGATACCAGCAATATTTCTAAGGCATCTGTGATCAAATGCTAGTAGCTTACGGGTGTCTTCTACTCTTAAGGGCCATGTTTCGCTGCCGTAAAGTAAGACAGAACGGACTGCCGCGCAGTATACTCGTCCTTTTATTGATAGACGGATATCTCGCCTTCGCCACAGGTGACGTAAATTGGCAAAAGCCAAACAAGCTTTTCGAATCCGTGCTGAGATTTCGTCAGACACCAACCCATTAGGGCTGATCAGACTTCCAAGATAAGTGAAGTTGTCAACGCGTTCGACTACTTCACTCCCTATCCTTAGTTCAGGTGTTGACGCAGCCCAGTCCTGGAGCAACAACTTGCATTTAGAGGGAGAGAAGCGCATTCCAAACATTCTGGCATTGTTGCTCAGTGCTACCAAAAGACTGCATTCTATCAGCGTCTTCACCAAACAGGACTATGTCATCCGCGTATTCTAAGTCGATAAGTGGACCTCCTGGAAGGAGATCAATACCCGAGAATTCAGTCGACGAGAATGTTATTTCCATCAATAGGTCTATGATGAAGTTAAACAAAAATGGAGAAAGTGGACAGCCTTGACGGACACCACTTGAGGTTGCAAAAGCAGATAACAGTTCGCCATAAGCTCTGACTCGACTAGTAGTGTTCGAGTAAAGAGCCTTCACAAGGTTTATGTACTTCTGAGGTACGCCTTTCAATGACAGACACTGCCACAGAGTCTCGCGGTCTACCGAGTCAAATGCTGCTTTTAAGTCAAGAAATACCACCATCGTCGGACGCCGATAGGTATGCCTGTGTTCTAGAACCTGACGAATGGTGAATATGTGGTCGATGCAGCCACGACCAGGTCTAAAGCCAGCTTGGTTCTCTCGAGTTTGTAGTTCACGAGTCTTAGTTAGGCGTTTGATAATTATTGAGGCTAGTATTTTAGATACTATGTTTGTTAAACTAATCCCTCTGTGGTTGTCACAGGATGATTTTGACCCTTTCTTATATATTGGGACGATAAGTGATTGCGACCAGTCAGATGGGATAAAGTCTAATTCCCAGATCTTAGCTAAAATATTAGTCAACTTAATCGCTAAAATTGGACCACCATCCTTAAAGACCTCTGGAGCCAATCCATCTGGACCAGCTGCCCTTCCTCGTTTCGGATTAACTATAGCCTTTTGAACTGCTAGAGTTTGGGGACCTACTTCAATGTTCCATTCACACTGTCTGGGAATGGAGGGTAGTTGTAGAGTAGCTGAAGGCCAGCTGAACTGTTCCCTAAAGTGTTCCGCCCATCGTTCTAAACGTCTGGACTAAGAGCAGATGAGTGTATCGTCTTTTTCCGATATGATCTCACTTACTTGACGTGTGACATTAGTCTGTCTCATTCGTTAATAAAGTTGTTAACATGGTTTATCTTTTTCCAAAAATATACTCCGTTAAACTAATGAGATATACAGCTTTGTATTTAATTGTAATTTACAAATTTCAAACACATGTGATACCATGAACCCTGATAGATTTGAATTGCATTTCAGTGGATCAGTCATAGTGTGACAATTGATATATCCTTTCATTCTATAATGTCTGTTCTACTATTAACTTCAGTATATTTACGTGCAAGTCCAACTGTTTGCTTCGAGCGTTTACGTGCTAGAAATCGTTCTGGTGAAGAAGATATTCCTCTTGTAAGTTACATAGTTAAATTTTATTACTGTTCATACGCTTACTTCATATGGGGGTTGTAATGTTTATTTTGATTGCTCGTATGCTCTTTTTATATTACAGCTTTATGACAGTTTACAACTTCTTTATCTTGTTCAAAACTCTTTAAGATAATTTATCTTGATTTTCATAAATAAGCTGAAAATCTCAATGTCTAGGATTCATATAACATCGTACAATGCTATTTCAAATGGTGCTTCTTGCTTCCTTGGTAAATTTTATCCCTACATTTGATCTTGATAAATATTTTCCCTAGATGTGATGCAAATTATCGCTTTCACAAGACTTGGTTGATGATCATTTGTAGAATATAATGAATTCACTGTATTCGGTTAATTTATCCCCAGCTTATAAGTCTACTTAATATGTAATATTGACAGAATTTTTTATTGAGATCATAAGCTGATCAGTATCAGGCCACCCTTGCAAACCTGGAATCATTGGACTCAGCGGTGAGCATCCATGATTCTGCATGCGCGACTCGGATAAGACTCAACAGTTTCCACAACCGTATACTGATAAATAGAAGACAAAATTGTGATTTTGTTTATGTTGAAACTTTACGTATATTTCTCTGGTCCAGTACAAGGAAAAGGGTTTCTAGTTATTGTGGATATATTTACAAAGTGACTGGGAGTATATACCACGCCTTACTGTACAACCACAGAAACAATCAACAAGTTTTCTGCTTTATTTAATTGTTTCGGAGTTCCAGAGACACTGGCTCACAATTTATTTCGGACTCATTCAAGCACTTCTGTATTACGAATGGAATAACACATCTTCGCTTGCCAGCCTATCATCCCCAATTAAATGGACATCCAGAACGCTTCATCGACGCTTTTAAAAGATCACCACTGAAAGGAGAAAGCGAGCGAATAACTAGTCAGGTAATCATAAGATTTTTAACAGCTTATAAAACTACTCCCAACCCTACTTTCCCTGGTGCCCCCAAATGTTCTGGAACGGCCGAGAGTGGGGATAGTCCGCTCTCCCACTCGAAACGCTCTCACATGGCCACGCGTATATAGCCTCTTCCAGGGAAGTCCTACTCATCGCCTTCTCGTGGCGGGGGTGTTGTTTACGAAATTGAGAGGATGAAAAGCGAATATCCGGCGCTTTAACCGGGTTGGTGGACATGGAGATTTCACACCTAGGGAAGTTGAGAAACCCCGATTCTAAACCAGTGGTGCACATGGGCTCCAGGGTCTCGAGAGAACGAATAGCGTATGAACCAATCGTTTGTCACCGGCTACCATGGGACTGCATCTCCTAACGATGCTCCACTGCCTTGTGGATGAGACCTTCAGGTCGAAGGCTCCGAGTGTGGCCCCATGAGAAAACCACCTGCTTCGGTTTGGGCACCCGGGCAGTATCACAGCCCCTCGCACATATCAAATGAGATTTGTGTGGCGCATATGTATTTGGTGCCTCTTTGTACGAATATCTGTGTTAAAATTTAAAAAAATAAAAGCTGTCCCTGGTGGAAAGCCATGTCTAGAGGAATTCGGACTACTTTCAACACTGTGTTGCCACCTAAAACGGTGGATGGGCACAGACAAAATTCGAATATCCGAAGTTTTAATGTAGGCCATAAAATGTTCATCAAGTCACACCTCGGGAAGAATCGATGGGAACCAGGAATTATTATACAAAGATTGGGAAGAGTTTTGTATAGGATCCGAGGAACCTTTGGGATATGTATCAGGCACGAACAAAATCCACAAAGATAAAAGAACAATGCACACTGGAGATAGCCAAGCGAATCTACCATTAGAGTTAATCACAGATACGCCCAAGAATAACAGTAAGAATAAGAAAATGAAGACTTAGACAAGAAAGACAAGGAAAGGAATCCAACGCTGTCGTAAATCAGTGTCAATTTGCAAGTGGACCCCAGCAGGAAATCTTATTCTGAGGAGGTGTTGGGTTGGCTTCGTAAAACGCGACGAAGCCTCCAGAAGTTATGAAGGAACCAAGGATATTCCATCTAATCAGAACCTAATATAACCTGGAATATCAACGTGCCATTCCACAATTAGACGATAGCATAACTTGCTTCCTTGTGGATTGGTTGAATTATAATGATGTTATAGCCAACTCTAATAACTATAAATACCCATGTTTTTTTGTACATTTTTATTTTTTACCCAGTAATCACCTCCCGTGTTTCTTCTGTCTGTGGCGTTCTACCGTTAGTTCTATATCGTATTCTGCCGTAATCAAGTAGAGGACGTAACCGTTTTAAATAAAGCGTTTATGCAGAGCTGCTGTAAATTAAGTGAAATGATAGGTTTCTGGACTATACGCATTCCATTAAATTTTCCAGGTCAATCATTCTTGTACTTTAGGGCAACTGATTTTTTTAAATATTTATTTTGATTTCACTACCCTCCACTGATCATGTTCGCCGTACAAACTCACACTAATTCACGACACTCCTTTATCATTCTTGAAATTATTTGTTTGAAAAATCCACTAATTTTCTTCTAGTCTTTAACCTAAAGTTACTAACAGTTTGTTATCTTTTAGATTAGTTGTTCCGCAGCTTTAAATCAAAACAGAAATTACTGTCCTATCTTATGATCGTCTGACCTCTCTCGAGGTGTATGTTTCAAACTTCTCAATTCAAGTCCACAAAAGTTTCTAGCTTTATCTAGTGAAGAAGATTAGTTACTCAAGTGTATGGTTTTGGTTACTTTGTTCTCCAGGATTGTGGTTAAATTACTAAGCTTTCGTTGTAGCTGTTATGTTGCGCACTGTCTGAGACTGATATAGATAATCAAACTTAAACACAAGCTCTTAACCTGTCACTGAGCGAGAAAAGTAATGAAGGATGAAGTTTATCAGATTAAGCATATATATATATATATATATATATATATATATATATATATATTCCTTAGAAAATGAAACTGTTTCTTGGCTAATAACATGTACTTGTTATTAATAGGTACTTGATTGGTGCAACGTGTTCTTATTTGACGAATTTCGGTTGATCCATTGTATTGTTTTACATGACATCGTTAGCGATGACTTTTTGCAAAAGTTAGCTGTTTGATCATTCTAAGAGTAGTAAATCAACTTGTTCTGGTGACGTTTTTTAGTGTTTGTATCAGACTTGTTTAAAAGTCTTTTCAGATTTTTTAATAACATCTTAAATGTTCAAGAGTTTCTCATCAGGTTAAATTTATTATTTAGATATTTTATGATCGATAAATCATATAATGATAACTAATGATCTAAATTAATTGTTCTAAATCAATCAGTCAGCTACAACGTAAGTCCAGGCACATATATACATCGGTCCAAGTTGCCACATCGCATTAGCACAACAAGATGAACACCAAATTCATAGAAGTAGTTAATTCAGAGGTGGTAATATTTAAAAGATTGCAATAAGGATATAGTACAGGAAGAAAGAATTAGTTCATAGAAAGAAAGATATAAAGCAATTGTAATCTCACGGTTTAAGGGAAGAGAGAATGTATTCACCTACACCACTGTGATCGATTCTGAGCCATGTCACCCAGAGTCTCCAACCATTGGTTAGGATAGTCACGCGGACCCCAACCAAGTAGTTTGCATCTGCCAACATGGCTAAGACTAGAAGTTAGTGACTTCGAGGACTGATGCCACGTTTTCGTTTGGCCGCTCAATTCTATTTGTTTGTGAAAACAATTTGTTATTTAAGTTTCATTTTTATTAACAGGACCCTTTTTCATGCTTCTTAATATTAATCCTTTTTGTCTAATCTTACCATTTTCATTAATGATTGAATGGTATTGGCAATTAGTAAAATTTTACGAATGTTTCTTGTTTGTAATTCACATTCTGCAAACCAAATTCCAAGTTAATTTTTGTACTAACTAAAGTTAAATTGTTATCGTGCTGTGTAGAGCTCATTGCGTATCTTTTATGTACGGGCTTTTACATGAACTCTCGTAGCTGCCTAGTTGGAACGATAGATAATTATAAACATTTCGGTTAACTAGTAAGTTATCTAATTAAACAGTTACTCATTACTACAGTAATTGGTCATCAAGTTGTAGCTAGTGTTTAGTTATCAGTTTTAGTTCAAACATATTAATCACATTAAAGAAGAATTAGGTCCTGGGAGTGCTGTCGTTTGTCTAAATTTGCCTTATAATAAGTAAATCATATCGTCATATCGACTGGCTTGAATTAGTAGTTAAATTTAAATTTAGTTAGCACTAAAAACTAGATATAACACTGGTCACTACTCATTTAGTTAAATAGTGTGAATAACTTACTCCTTCAATAGGCTTATCAGCCGAAAAATTTGCTTGTTAGTAAAGTATTTCTAGATCTACTAAATATTAGGATATTAGCGAGAATTTAGTTAGATATCAATTCTGTGATTATTAATTAAAGAGTCTTATCAGCTGAGGAATTTTCACTAAACATAAAATCATAATGAAATAATCAATACAAGGGAAATACATTAAGAATCAAATAACTATTTATAACTGAATTACACTGGAAGCTAATGAATGGAATTCTTTTTAAATAATTTAATACAATATTTTTGGTGAAATAGCGTTCCCATCACACTGTGATAACATGATGTGTGTTTGAATCTCATAGAGAGTATCAGTTCTTTGAAAATTATTTTTACTGATGACTATGAAATAACAGAAAACTTATGCACAATGGTTCCCTTCCACGAATTTCCAGCCACCAAAAATAATTATTAATCAACTATGATTTTCATTCATTTTCTTTTTTCTGTTGGTGTAATATATGTCCTTACATCTGTTACTCCTCGTAGAGAACAGGTCGTCGACCAGGATTCTCCAACCAACTGCGTCTCGGGTTCCCCTTTCCAGTTGTTTTCAATTGCTACTCATTCTCTTGGTGTCTGCCTCCGATTCTCGACGCTATGTGTTCCTTGGTCTTCCTCTTTTCATGGTGAGAGTAGACAGCCTTACCTGACACCAGTCATCACTTGGAGTGCATCTGTGACCTGTCCTCCATACAGGAATTTGTAGTGTAGTCGGTCTTATGAATTTCGTATGATGTTAGTTTGCCTTGCTTATTTTTGACTGATCGTTGGTATGTTGTCTGATCCTGCTGCTTTCCCAAACCTTTTTGATGGTCATGCTGATCTCTTTAATTGTTGATGGGGAAACAACTGTGGGAAGTTCTGTAGGTGCTACTTTGATGTTCAGTGGGGTTGGTGTATCCAAAAGTTCTGTAAAATGTCCGGCCTACTTGTTACTGTGCTCTTGAATCTTAGTGATTGGTTTGCCTCGTTTGTTCTTGACTGATCGCTCTGGTTTACCATATTTCCTCCTCAGTTTTTTCGTCGTATCATATAGTTGTCTCATATTTCCTTCTATCGCACCTTTTCCCGTTGCCATTGGAGTACATGGCCTGTTATGTACCTTAATGGTGTTCTCGTGGCGTTCGAGTCGCTTGATGTGCTAAGGGAAATAGGGTAGCGCATAACGCTATTGTTGCTTGTTAGATGCAAAGCGTGTTATACGCTATGTGCATGTGCTTTTTTCCGTTTTTCTTCCTTATGTAATACATCACGGCTTTAAAACTTATTTATGCGATTATGTTTTCAGTTTTTAAGTGATTATGTAATGCACATTTTATTCACACTGTTCTTTAAGTTTATGATGTACTGTGTGTACGTATACCCATTCGAAAAATACATCACTAAACATTTCGGTTTCTTTGTTATACAGAAATACCTTGAAGATTTGCATGAATTACATGAAGCTTGGTTAATTGAACGCCGTTTCGGTCAGCTACCTGCTCCTTTATTAGTGAGTGCTTACATCAATGGTATTATTGTGCTTTAGGTTACATTTACATCGGATATTAATCATTGCTGTTTTAGTCATCAAACACATTATGATACAAGGTTTATTTGGATATGAAAACTGATCCATCTGACTAGATGCCTTCTGTTTTTCGCCTTAATATTATGAAAATGTAGTCATAATTTCTTTAAGTTTTGCCAGTAAAATAATAAATAACATAAATATCCGAACTTTATTTCAAAATGATTTTTGTCAGGGACTAGTTTGCTACAGTCGGATTCAGTTGTACAGGGAATAAATAGTTAGGAGTTATATATAAGTAAAGAAACCTTTGTCACCTAACTGACCAAGTCAATGCTTATTTATTGATGTCACATTCCGACATAAGTTAATTAGTTGTTTTGTTCTAGTGCAAGACCTATCAACAGTGTGCATCCACGACCTTCACCCGGGATCAAACCCATGACCTTCAAATCTCAATGAACGCGTAACATATAGACCTCTGAGGCGGTATATGATTGCTCTTCCAACTATATCACCTGCACGTACTTCTAAACGAAGTTTGTTGCGTTATTTTCTGTTGAGTTTGGAGACCACTGTCTAGTATTACGTACCAAGTCATCAATATGGATCTTAATTCTATTTTTTGTGCATCTCTTATCTGTAATTTCCTCCGTAACCTAGTGTCATTGTATTAACCGGTTACACGCCTCACCAGTACCGTTGATTCAGCCAGTGCAGTTAAGTTTTTATTTTTCCACTATTCTCTAGTTTCTCTCCATACCTCACCTTGAGTCTAAGACGTCAGCATCCAAATTCAACTACAATTATCTTTCAAACATACGTGGATTTATATGAAAATATACTGAACCGCGTCATACCATGAAGTGGAACATGCAAATTACACGTAAACGAACCAATATGGGCTGCAAATGGGGCGAAATGTAATTAGATAGACTGACAAATCAGGGAGACTAAGTCGTATAAAAATAGTTTAACCGAAGGCCTGTGATAAATGGAATATATATACATAGTAACCAATCTACTATGTAATTATACAATAATAATATTTTTTTGATTGAGATCATGAACCGATTGATGTTAGACCAACTGTGGGAAGTTCTGTAGGTGCTACTTTGATGTTCAGTGGGGTTGGTGTATCCAAAAGTTCTGTAAAATGTCCGGCCTACTTGTTACTGTGCTCTTGAATCTTAGTGATTGGTTTGCCTCGTTTGTTCTTGACTGATCGCTCTGGTTTACCATCGGTTCATGATCTCAATCAAAAACTTAATAATCTCCACAACCCCTATACTAGTAATAATAATATTCATAGTATAGATAATCCCTTAGTTAGATCCTGGCGTTAACATTCCTTTTCATAAATCACATTTTGAATTAACTGATTATTAAACTGTTTAACTCGTGATATTTTGTCGTTGGTGACCAAGCAACTCAGAAGTAGTGCTCACAAACATGCTTCATACCTCATTCCATTGATTCGTTTCGATTAGTTTATTCTCAGTATTTTTTAATTATATGATTGCCGCGATAAAATGTGATTTCTGTATTTTAATATAGGTATTCGACTGTAATGCACCATTGCCTGAACTTTTATCAACCTATCGATCGCATAGAGAACAAGTTATGTGCGGCGTTGAGGCATGATTATAGGAGTTTTATATTGTTAAAAACGAGCTATTAGATTTCTGTTATTTGTATTTCGCTCTTTTATTCAAGGCTCGGAATTGTGTACAGAATTGCAAGTACTTTTTACATTTCATTTTTACATGTTTGTGTGTTTTCAAGTTTTTAACAAAACATACTATGTATTGTATATGTTCTCAAAATATCTGTAATATATGCTTTCTCCATGCAATTTTTCGGTTATTGTCTTTTTATTTTGTGTTATTTCACTTTGAACTTCAAGTAGTTTGCTTTTTACATGTTATGTGTGATATGATTTTAGATCAATCAAAGGACTTGTGTTAGGTAGGAAATCCGGTTATTACATCTAACTAGGAGAGTTACAGTAGAGTAGTTTAATGAAGGAGCCGTACAGTTCTTGTCAGGATAATAACTGAGGCCGACGACAGTATTATTGCGTTGCCACACATACTGCTAGATCATGACGGTTTGTTTAGCTCTTAAGATTTTTGGTTCTGTGATAAGTTTTCACCACTACATAAAAGGAAATGCCAACCTAGTGTCTTGTAGGCAATGCTGGACAGAGTTTTTACGAAGGCATACAGCACACAAGACACTACTGTAATGAACGAATGCTTGGTGGGATAGGTAATTCAATGTAAAATTACAGGGTTACTTCGCAAATTGTGAAAAGCCATATATAAAGTACTTCGTTTGCTGATCTCTCACCAACCATCCTTTACATCATGAATCTTCCAATTCACAATTCCTTTCTGTTTTCAGTGCAATCTTCCCAACCTTTCTTTTTATAGGCATTTGACAACTGGTTGGTATTACATACTACTTATGTCTGTCGATGTAAGTAACATACACCACACTGCCATCACATCACAACGGTACTCGGCCTGACATTCCGGTAGACTGCGTTAAAGACATCAACTAGCTGCTTAAAGCAAAACTTGGGGATTTTAGTACATCTATGACCACTAAAGTAAATTACTTGAACTTCGACCAAGTTAATGTCCGGAATGGCTTTGCGAAAGCGAAAACGGAGGGAGGAAATATCTTGTTTCAGTTACATGGGTCCGTCTTATTCTTTTAAGATAAGGTGGTGCATGATCACCTTTCAGCCACTAACCAAAAATCATAATTAAAACAAGAGAAGTAGCGAGGCCCGTAACTTGTATCTCAAAGAGGTCTTATGGAACGAGCAGCTAATGGTGTTGGTAGGGATACATCCGTCTCAACGCTCACTTATTGTTTTCGAATGCCAATAGGTGGGATCAGCTGTTAGTTCTAGGGAAGGATAATTGCCGACAGATCTAGCGTTCAATATAAAAAGGAGTTTTCAAACATCTTAAATTTTACAAGTCCAGATGAAATCTATTTTACCATTGTTATGGGGTCGTTAGTTGATGTAATTCTCAAACCAATAGTATGATATGTAATTAAAGCGGTCAAAATACTCCAAAATTAGAGGGGCGGCATTGTTATTTCTGATCATGAAGCTAGACTTAAACATCTGGTAGTTATCAGTCTGATAGCCCTATTACCAGTTATTACATCTAGGAGAAAGGTAATTTATCATGTTACTCTATGTCTCTTAGAAAGGTGAAGATCTATTTGAAAAACATCAAGCAGGTCACGAATTTGAGAATTAAATCCTCACTGCAAGAGAAAGGACTACAGTGGATGATATTCAAATAATTGTCTTACACACAGACTGTGATGAAACATTTTCTAATGAATCTCACCTAAGTTTATACTGAAAATAAGAGCTTATGAAGGCGGATATAAAGTTTTCGGTGGAATAATCCACTTTTCATTGTTAGAAAGCAGTGTGTGGAGGTAAGATATGCCCATTTATATTGACATATTTGAAGAATAGAGTTCATTATTAGGGATTTCTTGTTGAGCGTCCTGTTTTATGACGTAAAAGAACAGCTAGAGCAGCAGAATGAAATGAGCTATTTTCTATGGACAGCAATTAAATACAGGAAACTATATACACTTCAGTTCTAGCTATCTTAATTATGCGTTTTCATGAAACAATTGATTTCTTTGCATTTGCTTATTCTTGTTTCTTTATTAACGCAAGTTTCCAATAATGTACAATAAGTAGTGATCCAGTCACCCCACTGTACTAATTCTAGTCAGTTTTTTAAATAGTTGTCGGCTTCTTTATCTTGTAGCGTGGCGTCGAGTTGAGATTAACTATGAACACCGCTACCAAGAAACACGTGCCAAGTTAATCAGAAGGCGAAGGTTGGACGTAACCAAAGAAACTCATAAAATCTCCGAGAAGCCAAATATCGGAAGGCAAATAATGGACCAAGTCGAGTTATATTTGCTGGCGATCTCGTGGCATCGAAAGGATACCGAGATCGTGCCAGGATACAACCTTAGTTACAGAAGGTAACCGAATCCGCGCGAAGTTACAATCGAAGTGTAAGTATAAGAATGGAAGCACAAAATAGCTGTCATTAGCACAGTCAAACAAAAGCACATTAAAACAAGCACTGGTACAGTTGGTTATAATAATCGTTTTTATTAAACCAGTCGTGTTCTCGTGATAAATGGGAGTCACTACAATCTAATAATCTGAATGAGTTCGTCCACATTCAGTAGCTTTTATGAATATTAACAGCTGTCACTTTATCAGGTAAAATGTTGGTTAGTTGCAAGGAAAAAAATCAAGAAAACATTCAGTTGCTGAGCGATGGTTGTTTCAGGAAACAAACAAGAAAATAATTTAAACACATGGTAATGAAGACTATGTAAGAAAACCAGAGTGCGAGAATAAAAGGTTATCCGAGATGCTGACAGGCGGTATAAGAAAGACTGAGGATATTTGATGATCTGTTAATAGCAGACCCATATTACCATCTTTCGTTGTTCCATGAAGACACTTATCATGGAGAAAGTAATCTGTTTTATACTATTCTGTATCTCGAGATGAGGTCATTGAAAAAGTTTCAAATTCGAATGTAAAATGGTTGTTTTGTGTACATTATTTCAACAGAACTGAATTTCCTCGGACGTTTTGTGAATCACATTCACAGCTGCCTAAATTTTAGGATCGTCCGCATGGATGAGGATTCATGGGTCGTTTTCTGGTATGTCACAGAGGAATATCACGAATGTCAAGCTGTTAACCTTAGCCTGAGTCATGAACAGCGTCTTATGTTGTCACACAATGACTAACTCGAAATGACAGTGCCTGATGCACAGCCTATCCATCTATCTATCGCGCTGAAATATATAGCCTTGACAAGTAATTCAGTTCCTCCGATGACAAACGTTAAGTCTGCCGCAAGAGTAATGATGCTATAGCGATAGTAGGATAATTGTATTATCAATCGATACCCATATTTGTACTGTCATTAGTTTAAAGTTGTAAGTCGGACAGTGTCGTTGACAGCTAATAATTAGTGTCGAATTTCAGTTATATCTATATCTAACAGACTAACCGTAAGTACAGAAGTATAACAGTGAAGAGTGGTCGTGATTTCGTTGTGCGAAGCTATTGACCAACTTGTAGTCACAGTTTGAAAAGTCGATGACTGCTGTTACAGTCAGTAAGGGTTGAAGGCTACAAATCGACAGCAAAAGGTGGCACGATGAAGTCTCTAAAAGATGATAAACGGTGAATGCTGCGTGTTTGTTCGGTTAGTGAACAGAAAAATATCGAAAAGAACATAAGAAACCAAGAGTGTCACTCTGGACTCATGTCAATGATACCCGTGAAAAACGCTGTCAGTGTTGGGATAGAGGCGACAGTATCGTTTTCAGTTTGCAGGAGATTCGCTCGACTGCATAAACTGATGATTCGCGCGAATGATATTGTCGTCAGACCACCAATTGAACTGGACAGGTTGTAAATCGTCGAGTAGTTGAACAGCCGATTGATGTACCGGAATCATCGGTGAGATAACAGCCACGAGGAAACAATACTTCATAAAATGAAGTACGACATCGAAGTAGAATAACTACAATAGTTCGGATGTGTTACAATGTCAAGTCTAAATAACATCGTTCTTACGTATACTGGCAGTTGCACTGAACGTTCGTTAGGTATGATTAGCGTAACAGTTGGATGTGTGAATAAAAACATATACGAAAACTATGGTTGGGTTCGTGGAGAATTTTTGAGGACGTTTAGATATTTTTCAAACCCGTATCGCATGTAAATAAACCGAAAATAGAATTAAAATGACTGTCGTGTAATAAGGAAATCGAGCCATGATTTACCGTGTGAATTATTAGCAAATACAAGGGGTATAATAAACATTAATTAAAATGGTAACCACCAATGTAACTAAGGTTTAGAGGGTCCAGGTAACGTGGCCATTTCGTAAAAGGCTGATACAAAGAGCTTATTACCTAGCGTTAAGTGACATATTAAGTACGACAACATGTGTACTTGGGATATGGACTAAGCGTGCTCGTGTACATGCAATATGTTTTACCACAGTATGTCGACTAACGAGTCATAAATGTACATGATTTCGACTAAAACTTGACGGCAGTGACAGAATATATGACTAGTTTACGTGAAAGCAACTACGAAATGTTATCACGCATCATAAATATAGTACGAAATAAGCTAATGAAATTATGAAACTCGCCTGGGTTACTCTTGCCTTTAAGTAATGAAGTAGGCAGTAGTTTGAATCTGGATTATGTACGAGGTACTGTTGATTAGATTTTTCGATTAACACAGCGTTGTAGACTGACGAACATTCTAAACGAGATCTAAGATCGCAGGAAATTTATAGTTCAAACTCACCGTGAATTTCTAGCATTCGTATCCTCTGTTTGGCCATGGAACTCAGCAATTGGAAATTAGGCAGGCAGTGGTAAAAAAATAGCAGAACATTCTAGTGGATAGTGGTTAAGCAGAAAGATGAATTTATAGTCGATAGTTAATCTTGTCTTATTTATACCAGTGGATAAGGTACAAAGAGATATGCGTTCGTGTTGCCTTGTGGCTATACTCACGAGTGGTTGATATTTTAACAGACATATTACACAGGAGCATTTACATGCTGCTAATGCTTGTTAAAGAACCACGATAGCCGATTATAATCGTAGTTGATTGGTTAGTTCTGTCGATTGAACGAATTATCTAGGTTTAAATGCTAATCAACATTGACATGAAGCAACGAAAGTTCACAGTAACAGATTAACATAGGCGATGATAAAAATGAAAAGGAATAAGTATAGAATACA